ACCTGCACTCATGCCTGCATAATCTAAACAGCCAAGTTATTTCTGGGACAACCTTAACCTTGTTTGATGGGAGATTCTTACTGAGAATGAGATGCTGCTTAGTGTTATTGTTAAGGATGTTGACAACTGACAAGGATGAGGTAAGGTAATCTAGATGAAGAAAGGATGAGGTGGGGGTAAAGACAGGGCAAAAGCAGGGGAACAGGCAGAGCATGGATGGAGCTATCAACATAATAGAGTCAAGAAACTGCGAATGAGAGGGAAAAACTGTTGCGGTTTCACTCATGCACTGCCTCTTCCCTGGCTTTGTCTCCATTCTCCTCTCTTGGTCCCCCTCCTTATTTTTTTGTTGAATATGATCTATGTTCGAATGTGATCATGGATTCAACTTAAAAAGGTAATGACTGTTGTTCACAGAGCTTGGCTAAAGAAGTATGATCACTTGTTCTATGTGTATGGTCCCACATTCTTAGGTGCCTAATCATTGCAAACTGCTACTTGATTCACAACTTCATACCTGTTCTTGTCTCCAATCATTCAGACAAAATGTATGACGCTAGCGATAGAAAATAAGTAAATAACAATTTCACATGTTAGCTAAGGTATAAAAGCAGTGTGATAAATTGTATGGCTCGGAATTATTTCCCTTTGCTAGTACAATCCCCACAAAATTTATTTAACCATCATGTACTCATTTTCATCTCATCCAATTTGAAGTTGCACTAACTTATAGCTTGCATCTTCCTTCAAGTTCAAGGTTAAGTCCTTGTAAGGGTTAAGGACACCAGAGTCTTATCTATTCCATAAGTAAGCCAATCTAATTGCTCACTGCTCTAACAATAACAATCATTCTTTTTTATGCAGCATTTTATCGCAAAATTTTTAAATTTTGCAAGTACTTCATGTCATCTGAGTTTTGATTTTAGCAGGAATGATATGTTGCGTGGTCTAAATTTAACAGATTCACAAAACCACAGCCAATAAAAGAACACTTGGAGAGGGAAGAGAAAATAATTTTATTCAACAAAGAAGAAGAATGACTTACATGCTCTTATATTTATCAGACAAGGACAAGGACTCCATAGAGTCAACTAGGACACAGGGCTGAGCTTCTCCCAATTGATGGTCCAGTTTTCCAGATTCTATAAGCTCTAAATCCTCCAATAGAAACACATAATGCTCTTGAACATCCACAGCACTTTTTTCTCCTCCAACCATGGCTGCAACCACCTCCCACCGTTCTGGGTGGTTCTCATCTACCACGGCTAAAGCTAACTCAAACAATTTGTTCTCCTTCCAACTCCACTCACTTGCGCTCTTAGCAAAATCATTCATGTCACTAGTCTCACTCATTCTAGATGACACTCACTATGACCCTTTGAGGATATCACAGTCATTCATTTACATTATGGTAATTTAATTTTGAAAGACGATTCATTGTTTGAGAATTGAGAATCTCAGTAGCACCTTTGTTGATTGTTGTTGTTTTCTCTGATCAAAATCTCACAACCATACCCCTATGAGCCCTCGGGAAGTCAGATACCTGCAATGACCTGCAAAATCACTTTATCTTTCTTGTCATTAGAAAGGTTACATAATATTAATTAAATTTCAACTTAAGATAATGAAAGATTGGTTATATTGGGCCGAAACAGTTAACTGATGATAAACTAAAGACAAAAACTAAGTACCTTAATATGCATTTCTTGCAAGAACTAGTATCTCAATTTTTTTACAATTCCAAGCACTTGATGTCATGTGGTGCTAGCAAGCTTGATGTGGAAATTTGTATACGTAAAACTTTTAGGCATAATAAATTGGCACATGGAAGAACGGTCAGAAATCATCCACACATTATCAATCCATGATTTATTTTTTCTTTTTCCAAATTTCAACATTTACGTTGCAAGGATGGTAGGTGAAAATGGTGGTTAAGATCGAACAATGCTTGACCTTTCTGTAATATTCGAAACGATTTGATGCCTCACCAATCAGAATGAGGTCACTTTCGAGGGTTAGTATGTGATCAAAGGCTAAGATGTGGGAAACAAAAGGAATTAAACGAGCACAACATAAGTGAGAATAAGGATAGATGTTTTTTTTGGAAATGTGTTAGTTGATCCACAAGACATCACAAGTGATAAGCAATTTTGAATTTAATAATATTTAAGAGGTTGCATAAGGTTGGAATCTGCAGAAGTAATATTTATAGAAAATAGCCATATTAATATTTTAAGGATTAATCTCATTTAAAATCGAAAATGGGGGCATAAGATGAGATCCATAGTACCTACGTTCATGTGGGTTTCATCTTTACGATGATCTCGGGGCCATGAAGGGTAACTAATGGTGAATTTGAAGCATCTTAGCCTAATAGTCGTATGTATGTAGGTACCCATATGAATTTAAGCGAGTCCCGTAGAAAGAAAAATTTTCAGTAGCTAAGAAGATTTGTATAAGAAATTAAAATTTTTAAAAAAATTATATACAAATATTAAAAACAGAAATAAGTTATTTTAAGTGAAAATAAAAATCAGAACAAAAGTAAGGTGACAACTTTATAGTTAAAATTGAAAAAATAACATTTTATTTTTACTTTAATTATAAAAGTATCACTTTTTATTATGTTTTTAAACCCTAAACAATAAATAAAATAATTTTTTACTATTTCTTTGGCAAATATTTGATATAAATAAAAAATAGGCGATAATTTAATAATTAAAAATAAAAAATTTAGAGTTGATTTCAAAAATTAATTTTATATTTTAGATTTTTAAAAAATTCTTTATTTTTCATTTTATTTCTAGTTTTTAAATATTTATACAAAAATGTCAATTTTTGTTTATTAGAAACAGAATTTGTTGGTTACATTTAAAAAGAAAAGAAAAGAAAACCTAACCATTGTTCATCATTTGATCGTGACACTTATAATAATTTCATTTTTAAAAGTACTTATAGTGTAAATAATTGCAATATCATCATTCAACCCATTTTTATATATGGTGCATATTATGCTATTCTATATTTTTTTAGATCAACGATTATGATTCTTCTAATATTTTAAAGATTAAAAAGTATTAATATCTTTTTAACTAAACTACTAACTTTACTACCTATTTACATAGAATTAATGGTAAAAAAAAATATTAAACTCTCTCAATTATATAAAGTAACGTAGATTTTATCTTTATATATAACTAGTTTTGGCACAATTACTACAAGTAATTGTTAAGTGGAATTGACTCCACAAACCCTATTCATACAATATTTAATTTAATAATAACTATTCCTTTTAGTCTATTTTATAAAATTCTTTTTGAAACATTTGATAGTCCTTGTGTGTGTGTATATATTAAAAAATATGTGTTATCTTTTTATATTTATTTTTCATAGTATTTTTTTGCAATTCAATAAGGCAGTAAAATTTATATAAATTGAAAATTTAATTTTAAAAAATATATATCAACATTTCTTAAAAATTTAATTAAAAAGCTTTATAATTTATTTTAAACTGTATATTTTATCATAAAGCTCCTATTTGCATATGGCATATTTTTGTGGAGAAAATAGTGTAGAGTAAGCACCAAAAAGTCTAAAATTATAAATACTCAATCGAGCGAAGGAAGGAAGAAAAAAAGCTTAATTGTAAAGAAGAAAGAATGGCCCTAGTGTGATGCAACTTCTACACCATAACGCAAAATTACGCAATCAAGATTAATCGTAAAATATGTTATTAGTTGTTTATTTTATCATGAAAGTTTTAAAATACAATTAAAACCAGCATTATATTTATAAAAATAAATATTTATGAGTTTATAATCAACAATGAATATCTATAATTATACTATAAACATTTTTCAGTAATTAATAAACAAAGTCACCTTGTTTTTTAGGTCGAATTAACAACTTGCTTTAAACTAATTAATATGCTATCTTTAAAAGAATAGAGAAAACAAGAGCAATCTCGAAAAATAATGATCTCAATGACAAAAGAAAATTTGTGCTTTTTTTTTGTCTTTAAAACAAATTGTGTTGGCCCATAGCTGTACTCCCACCTAGCACGTCAGCTAATGGGCTTTGGACTTCTTCGTTAAACAATTACTGACAGTGTTCAAACTGAAAAAAAGTTTCGATAATTTATATATATATATATATATATATATATCTATATATTGATTATATGATGTAATTATTTTTAATTTTTCTAAATTTTATTTTTAGAATATGATAAATTATTTATTAAAATAAAATTTATATTTTTAATTAATACATTTTAATTTAAAATAATTTTTATTTTAAATAATACACACAAATTATTAAAAGAATCATTAACTTTTTTGTAGATGTAGATTCACAAATTATTCAAAGATAAAATATATCAAAATGTAATTAAAATTGAGTTGGAAAAAGATGAAAACTAACAATTATAAAGATATGTTCTATTGAAGTTTGCTTAACTTGTCTAAATTTACGCAATATACATATATTTTCACAAAAACAAAAGCTCCAATTATTATTGAATTTTATTTATAAGTGTTTTGGTTATATTTATAAATACGGTTAATTTAATTTATCTTAAAAGATTTTAACCTTTTTTTTTGGAAAAAAATATTATGAGTTTTTATAAAAAAAATAAAAACTGTAAATAATATTTATTTATTTAGTGAAAAATAATAATTATTCTAATAATTAAAATTTAAAATCAAATTAATGGTGAGATACTCAGTATTGATTAATTGATGATTAGATGATAATATGATTAAATAGGAAAAGAGAAAGGATGAATAGACAGAAAGAAAATAAATGAACAGCTTTCTTAATCATTAAGAGTGATCTCCTCAAACAAGTAAAAGGATCGATTGGATCTTTAGTAGCATTGAAAGCAGTTCCAATTCGATATCCTGTGTGTACAACTCCCTTAGGGTACATTCACGCTAGAAAGATTACAACACTCGACTCAACATATGCAAAATGCAGCAATGCAAATGCTAGTAATAAAATTAAGCCTTGGTGAAACTAGCATCAAAAGGAATGCCAGCGGCAGGCAACCAAGTGCTAGCTTGGAGCCAATTTTCAGCAGTGAATTGAGTAGCTTCCTCTTTGCTAATAAGACCTTTGGCAAAAGGTGCCCTAGCTTTAACAACAGAACCAGGTCCAGTGTTGCCAAACTCAGCGAAGTAACAGTTCTCAGTGTTTGGTTCAACGGTGTTCCATGGAATGTAACCATCAGGTTGAATCAAGTCACCAATATCATTCTCAATGAACACTGCCCTTGAAAACGCCTTCCATGGCCTTGCCAAGTAAGACTTCACGGTCAAGCGGTCAGCGACGAGTTCAGCATCGGCCATGATCTGGCAGTTCTGAAGGACTATTCCGGTGGGCATGCTCTTCTGGCCAGTGCCATCAGCCACCACAATGTTCTGTTGGTTTGGGCCAGGCTTCCTCACTAGGATCTTGGAGTTCTGGATCAAGGTTGAGGAATAGCCGAAGATGAAATCGATTGTTCCTGAGATCTCGCAGTTGCGGTAAAACTGACGGTGGGCATGTGCGTACAATGTATCTTGATAACCTCTGAGTGCGCAATCAAAGAATGCTGAACGATCACCTTGGACACGTAGTGCCACTGCTTGATGTCCCTCCCAACCAGCGGTATTCTCGAATGCAATTGACTTGGCAATGAAATCATCAGCAGCAGTAGCTGAAAGCATGCACATTTTTAAATTATTATTTCACGTTAATCAAATAGCTACATTATAGAATATGATAGAGACACATGCATGCATGTATATATATTTTTTAACTTACAGAAGGTGGCGGTTCTTATTGTCTTTACACCGGCATTGAAGTTTTTGTTTCCGGTGATGATGGTCTTGGTTGGGCCATCACCGTACAAGAGAATGTTGGGCTTCTTCTTGTCAACGAGGATGTACTCATCATAGATACCAGCCTTAACGTAGATGAGGAACCTACCTTGGTGCTTCTTAGGGTAAGAATTAATAGCATCCAAAATAGTTTTAAATTGGCCACTTCCATCTTGAGCCACTATAGCATGGGGAAGAATTCCACCCTGGTTAGGTTCGTCGAGCTTACCCAAAAGCTTACGATCAGCAGAGGAAAGCCACGTGGGGTAACCCTCATGATCAACCTCGAGAAGGCGACGAGAAGCGGGTTTCAGAGCCAAGTTAAGGTCAAAGGCAGAGAGAATGTGTGCAATTCCAGACACGATATCAAGTGCCAAGCCAGTGAGTTTTTCAACGTTGTCCAAGCTTCCGGTTTGCAACTGCTCTTGCACTTGCTTCTCACCGTCGGTGTTGAACCCATCCAAGCAAGATTGTTGGTAAGCAACCACAGCTCCCAACCAGTTCTTGAGTTCGGCGGCGCGTGTGTTCACGTCCTGAATGCTGCTTTGTTGGACGAAAACACCCGAAGCGTCGAGCTCTTGGATTGCGGATTGTAACAAGTCTTTGCAATCGTCAAGGGCCATCTTCACGCCGGTGCTTTTGTTGCCATGCTCCACTGTGAGCTGGTCGCTCATGTTGAAGGCTTTAATGACGCTGTCCATGGAGGTTTTCACCACGGTTGCTATGTAGTCCTTTGGGTCGGTGGAGTTCACAGGGGACAGAACATCGTGGCAGAGTTTCTGGTCATCGGAGTTTTGGCACAATGATGCTACAGCCCTGTTGTGGTTACTCAACCCTGATCCACCACCACCATTGTTGCTGTTCCCTTTTGGGCTTTGGACAACAGCAACTACGCCAATGACAACACCTACAACGAGGATGAGAGAAACCGCGGAGCCAAGAATTTTGCCATTCATATTTTTTTAAAATTTTTTGGGGATATGATCTTTTTGAGATTTTTTTTTTTATTGGCTTTTTCCCTCCGAAGAGAACATACAAACAAGGATGAAGCTGAAGCGGAGAGAAAGTTATTGGGAATGTGGGAAGGATGGGTTTTTCCTTCCCTTATTGATTGTGTTTGAGGAGAAGGCGATGAAAAACAATGCAGAGGTTTGGGGTATTTATATGTGTCATGGGAGTTTCTTAATGCATGTTTAGCCATGCATTCAGCTTATGACTCGTTCAATGGAAGTTCTGGTTTTTGCGGCTTTCGTGCGTTTCACCATATTTGGAATGCATTCATTTGCTAAAGACGTTCCACGCAGTTACAGATCGCAATTTTGTTTACCATTCGTAGGGTAAATCGCTGGAATAGATCGATTATTTTGTTACCCTCATTTTTAGCATTCCAATCTCCTTACCCCTTTTTCTCCCATATTTTTCCTTCCTTATTTCTCTAATTAAATAATTAATAACTCAACATGGAAAAAGATTAAATATTAACATCTCATACTTCTAGTATACAAATACAACAAAGAATCAGTAAAATTAATTATGTGAAATTATTTTCAAAGTTCATAATAATCTCAACATTTTTACAACTTATTTTTTGACAATTATGTTACAATTTTTATGCATATATATATATATATATATATATATAATTTCTAAAATAAATTATATATTAAATTCACTACACATTGCGCTTAGAACAATATTTCCTTTGCTATTGTATTGGCTTCTCTGTACCGTGTAATTATATGTAATATTGATTTAGTGTAATTTTTTTTATAACAATGAAAATAAGTCGTATATGATAAAACGACCCAAAAGAAAAACTTGTAAGCACAGATCTTTGTCTACAATTTACTTCTAATTTTTAAAAATTGGACTTCTAAAATAAGAGTTACTGAAGATTTTTTTTTTTTGAAAAAAAATAATGTGTAAAATTTATCGAAATGACATGATTTTTAAACATTTTAAAAAACATATCGGTACAGTTTAAGGAAAAGAAGTTAAAGTGTATAGGAAATTTAAGAAAATAACCATGAGAAATTTAACCAGGCCAACTCAGTTAACATGTTATAATTTTTTTAAATATAATGATAAATAAATATTTTTTTAAAAATGATATGCAAATTATACTACAAAAATACTATCATTTACTAATATATAAAGGACTGTCAAGTGTTAGAGTATTTTTTATTAACATACAAAAAATTGTCACGTATCAAGATAATTTTCATTAGTAAAAATTTTCCAACAAAAAATAAATTATTAATAAATATTTAAAGGTCTATACCAACATGCAATGCATTATACTAATATTTGTATATTAATAGTATATGGTAATGTTCTGCCCTGATAAAATATATCATATTATTAGTATAAATTAAAATTTTTTGTAATAGTAATTTATTTTATTATGATAATAAAAACTGATTCAATATTAAATCGTTAATATATATTTTGTTTTCGTAATACTGTATGCGTAAAAAATTCCTGTTTGTAATGTTGTTATTCTTGTTGATTTTTTGCCTCCACATAATGTTGAGTGTATTGTGGTTCCGAGTCTTAGAATTCTGTGACTATAAGAGTACAGTAATTTAATTTCATTCACTAAAAAATGGTTATTTATTAATAATTCAACAATATATAAATTTCTGTTAGCATTATACATATATATATATATATATATATATATATATTAATAAAAATTAAATCATTAAATAAATATCATCAGTTTATACGAATATTAATATATACTATTAATAGATCGAATTTTAGCATGATACATTACATGTTAATATATATATATATATATATATATATATATATATATATATATATATAAATTTATATAAGTATATATTATATCATTAGTATATATCGTCACAATTTATTATAATAATTTAATTTTGTTCAAATCAAAATTATTGAACAAAAGTTATCTTAATAATTAGCAATTTTTGTATGATAATAACTGATAATTTTTCAGTAATTTAAACATTAAGCAATTAATATAAAATAAAATATCTTATTTTTATATTTGATTGAATTTTTATCCTCTTTCGTATACATGTGTTTCAATTTTTTAAAATAGAAAATGTTATAACTATATACGATATTAATTATTTAACGTTGAAATTGAAAAAGAAACTGTAAAAATCAAATCAAACTAACATTAGGAACAGAGTCTACAGTTAATAAACTTGATATTAAGAATGAGGTTGTGTGCTTTAAACTACTAATTTAAAACACTTTACCATATATTCACATCTATTGTATTTATTTTTATTTTATTTCTTGCCACATATCAGATGATAGATTGAAAAAATTGAGAGACTACATGAATCCCCCCTTGGGGGCTAGAAAGATTCAAAGATCATTTTCGATATTATTTTCAATATACTGTATCATAAGGCCTTGCTCTCGCCCTATATATGTACACACACATGCATGATACATTAATTTCTACCCTTACATTCTGCCTGAATCTAGCAATGATCCTACGAATTTCTATGATCTTTCAATCGGTATATACGTTGTGGTTCATTTGAAGGCTTTGAGTTTGACCCAAGTAAACTTAAATTACCTATCTAATAAACTTAGTTCTTTGTTCTAAAAGACGAAAATACAATAACCTTACAGGTATATAATATATATATATATATATATATATATATATACGCATGCAAGCCATAGAATTCAAGCTTTAGTGAAGCCAAGATCGAAAGGAATGCCAGTGGCGGGGAGCCATGTGCTGGCTTGGAGCCATTGTTCAGCAGTGTATTTAGCAGCATCAGTCTTACTAAGAACCCCACGACCCCACTTGACCCTGTTTTGCGCATTGGCACCCAATCCGTTGTTAGCATACTCAGCAAAGAAACATGTGTCAAGGAACTGAGTGCCTTGCCATGGAAGAAACCCATCTGGCTGAATCAAATCACCAATCGTATTTTCCATGAAAATTGCCCTTGAATATGCCTTCCATGGCCTCGCCAAGTACGATCTCACCTTCAACTTCTCGGGTGCCAATGCTGCTTCTGGCAATATCTCACAGTTCTGAAGCACTACCCCTGTGGGCATGTTCTTTTGGTCCGTTCCATCGGCTACTACTATGTTTTGTTGGTTTGGCTCAGGCTTACGCACTATGATTTTGGAGCTCTGGATTAACGTCGTGGCGTAGCCGAAGATGAAGTCAACGGTTCCGGAGATTTCGCAGTTGCGGTAGAATTGACGGTGGGCGTGTGCGTATAACGTGTCTTGAAAACCGTGCATGGCGCAGTCAAAGAAAGCTGAGCGATCACCTTGCACGCGAAGTGCCACTGCCTGGTGCTTGCTCGCTCCAGCGGTGTTCTCGAATGCCATTGACTTTGCAATGAAATTTTCAGCAACGGTGGCTGCACATTAATCATCAAGTTCAATGCAATCTTATTAAATAATAAAAAAATATTTTTTTTCTTAACCTTAGAAAAAAGTGAAATATAAGAAAGATGGAGAAAAACAAAACACAACATAGTTAAGGATTTATTATTTACCTGATAGGAAAGGACGAGAGATAGAGATAATTATAGATTGTATATATAGAATTAAGATGTTAAAAAAAAAATATTATACATTCAAATATCACATTACAACGATTGATGACGTGATACAATTATCTATTTGTTATATTATTATTTAACCATGATTTCTTAACATCAAAAAGAGTTTATAAACATTTAAAAACTAATGGCCATCAGAATAAAAAATCAAGGATTAAAATCCTATAAAATGATCAGAAACATATTTAATCTTAAAATAAAGTTGGTCATAGAGATGGAGAAAAAAACATACCGAAGGTAGCAGATCTCATTGTCTTCCAACCATCGATAAAATTTTTACTTCCAGTGATAATGGTCTTTGTGGGGCCATCACCGTATATTAGAATATTAGGCTTCTTCTTGTCAACGGTAATGTACTCATCATAGGTACCAGCCTTAACGTAAATAACGAATCTACCTTGATGGTTCTTGGGATAAGCATTGATAGCATCCAAAACAGTCTTATATTGGCCACTACCATCTTTGGCAACCACTGCATTAGGTGTGACGGAATCTCCTTTATTCATAGCAGCCAAGAGCTTGCGATCAGAACCGGCCATCCAAGAAGGATACCCATCATGATCCACTTCAAGAAGCCGACGAGAGGAAGGTTTCGAACTCAAAGTCAAGTTGAAAGCAGACAATATTTGCGATATACCCGACACCACATCAAGTGCTAACGCAGTTAGTTTTCCAACGTTGTCTAAACTACCCGTTTGTAACTGTGACTGCACCTTTTTCTCACCGTCCGTGTCGAACCCATCAAGGCACGATTGCTGGTACGCAATCACAGCGCCCAACCAGTTTTTGAGGTCTGTGGCACGGTCGTTAACGTTGTTAATGTTGTTGTCGTTAACTAGGATGTTTGAGGCCTGTAATTCGTCGATGGCGAACTGTAACAAGTCTTTGCAGTCTTCGAGGGCCATTTTGACGGTATTGTTGCTCTGGTTGTTTTCGACGGTGAGCTTGTCGCTCATGTTGAAGGCCTTGATGACGCTGTCCATGGAGGTTTGCACAACGGTTTTGATGTAATCGGTTGGGTCTGAGGTGTTGACATTGCCGAGTGTGTCGGTGCAGAGCTGGTGGTCATCGGTGTTTTGGCATACCGCTGCAACAGCCTTGGAGTGAGTGTTCAAATCGTGGTTGTTTTCGTCGCCGCTTGGGCTGGTGCGGACAAGAGCAACAACGCCCAGAGCAACACCCACTACGAGAATCAGAGAAACGGCGGAGACAAGTACTTTACTTTCCATTTTCTTGTATATAATATTTTTGTCTTTGAAATTATTTTATTGGAACTCAACGATTACGTGACATGAACAACGAGAAAGAGAACTGTGTTTGTGGGAATGGTATTGTGAACGATATGGTGTTGTTCGGAGCCATTTCTAGAACTTTTGGTTCTTATAGATGGTTTAAGGTTTTATTTTTAGGGACATTGACCATTTCTGTGGAAATCGACGACCACTCATTGACTTTGTTACGTCTGGGAGCTCATTGGCCATTATGTATTGCCTTCGCTATCCATCACTTTGGTTGCCCCAACTTTTAACCATTCGATTATTGTAGACAAATGTGCTAATTAATTATACATATATATGTTGTAAATGAAAACATCGATAGCAAATTATGATATATATATATATATATATAACAACGGAATTTATTCTTGGATTGAAGGTTGTATCATCGATATGGTGTGTGAGTGATTTTTTGTTCATCTATGATTCTATTTTTAATTTATATTAAGCATGCAAAATTAATGTACCATATATATTTTATAATAAATGAAATATCAACCATTAAAAGATACATTCAAATCTATATTTTATCTGCATGCCTCATAAAAAGATTTCAGATGCTCTTTCTGGTCTAAATTCGATCTAAACAGAGACAGCCCTCCATCGCATGTTCAGAACTAATTCCTACCCTTTCATGATCGAATTGTCCTTGTAAAAGTTGTTCTGACCTCAATTTTAAAACTGAAAAATTTAAGGAGCTCAACTTAATGGGCTTGAGTTTTTGAGATGTAAAAAAATTATTTTTTGTATTGGATTAGCAAAAGAGTAAGTACATTGTTGACAAAATAAAAAATAAAAAATAAAAATAAAAGAGTATGTTTACTTTACCAATCAAAAACATCTGTTAGTTCTATATACAAATTTAATGCGATAACCTCATTAAATAATTTGTACTGAATTTCTCTTTAATAGTTATTCTTTAAATAAACAAGGGACACTGTTAGTTTCCATTATACTTTGTAAACATATATCCTTATAGTTTTCTCTTAAATATATACTTTGTGTGTGTATACGTACATACATATATATATATAAAGACCCATATATAAATCAAATCTCTTTCAACTTCAAGTGAACGGAATGGAGTTTATTTTATTTTGTTTTCTATCTTTTTTAATTAACAAATAACACAGGCATATCAATAAGAAATTTTTATCTCTTCTAAGTAGTTATTTAATTTTATTTTTTCTGATATGTCATTTTTAAATTAAGTAAACGGTAAAAGAAATAGGTAACTTTTTTTTTTATCAGCTAAAAGGAATTTTATTAAAATATTGATAACAACAGGTAAATGTGTCAGGTCATTTCAAATACAAGTAAACATGTCTTGCATTTGGTGAAAAAGATAATCATTTGTTCTTCCCTTACATGGATAATCATTTATTTTCTCAAGTATATGGTTTTTTTTTCTTATTTTTTAATATTTTTACATTATAAAAGTTTTGTTTTGACATATACAATGCATTATTATAGAATATATCTTGAATATCGTCCTAATTTCTAAGAATTATATATTAGCTACTCGCCATTTTAATGTAACAGAGTTGAGTTTAATTATCAATCGATCGAGCAACACCTATGGTTGGATTTATTTGAACTCAATGTAAATTTACTTTTCTAATAGGTCAAAGAAAATTAGTTTAAAAGAATTTAAAGAATATTATATCCGTACATCAAAGTTCTTTAAAAACTATCCCGTAAAAGACTGTTTCATTAATGGAAAATGGCAAATATATAACACCAATCAGAACAAGTGAAAATTCCCCAATTTAATCAACTCCCAGTACTAGGATATAATGTTTATTATGAGATTCAAAATGCTAAGTCCAAACACCCCTATGCATATATAACATTTTTTCTTAATTATATACACCAAATTAATTATAGTATTTAATAAGCTGTGTACTGTCAAAGTTTTCTATACTAATAATATATCAAAATTAAGTTATTTAAGTTTATCTGGTCGAAAAAAAGTATTTATAATAATTACAAACGTTTGAGTGTTTTTATTTCAATATTTTCAAATTATTTATAAAGGAAAACACATAATAATTTGCCTTGGTTGAAAGGATTTTTTTTTAAATTCTAATATGCATTATGTTAAAATAATAATCATTATTGAAAACTAAATTAATCGTTGTCACAATGTAAACGCATGCAGGCATAGAGATCTTAATATTGATACAAATTTCAAATGAGTTATATAGATTGAATATATTAATAATAATAATAATATTTATATATGTTTTTTTAAAATTTTTCTCGTTCTATCATATTATTTTATTGCTCATATATTTTTTTTTATCTTTTCTTCTTATATATCTACTAAGTGTACAATGATTTATATTTTTTTTAAGAAATACGAGTTTTATAGATGGTAAACTAAATATATGACTAATTCGGATTCTCTCTAGGTGAAGGACCATCCAATGTTTATAAACAAACACTTGTCTCTCACACGTAACTAAATCTTATCCTCATTTTTACTGATCTCATTCATTAATAGAACACAAAATTAAGGGCTAAAAGATGTAGCTAAAGAGGGAGCTACATTAGAGAGTCCAGGTAGGATACATGACACACTTACGAAGTCATTTTTCAAAAAAAGGAATAATGTAAAAATTTCAATTTCAAATATTATTTACAGTTTCCTTACGTTTCCAAACCACGTGTATATACAAGAGGATTCTTCAAAGTAGAATCATAAGAACTGTGCTGAAAGATAATCCTGCGCTGTGTCACATATATTCAAGCTTTGGCGAACCCAATAGCATAAGGAATGCCAGTAGTCCTCAACCAATCATCAGCTTTTCCACCTGGTCCAGCTCTAAGGAATTGACCAGCAGTGAATTGTGCAGCTTCATTCTTATTAATATTGGGATGATAACCCTTCCACTTGACCCTTCCTTGAAGATTAGAACCAGGTCCAACGTTGTCATACTCAGCATAGTACAACGTGTCAAGAAACTGGTTCCCACTCCAAACAGTCCATCCTTCTGGGCTAATTACGTCTCCAATGGTCGATTCCATAACCACTGTTCTAGAATATTGCTTCCACGGCCTCCCCAAGTACGATTTCACTTGGAACCTTGCAGGGAACAAATCCCTCTCTGGGGTTATCTCGCAGTTCTGAATCACAATTCCTGTGGTCATGCTCTGTTTGGCGGTGCCATCTGCGGTCACTGTATTGAATTGATTAGGGCCTGGCTTTCTTACGATGATTCTTGAGTTCTGGATAATGGTTGCAGATGTTCCGAAGATGAAGTCTATGGTGCCCGAGATTTCACAGTTGCGGTAGAATTGACGGTTGGCTTGAACGTACAAGGTGTCTTGGAAAGCGTGCATGGCACAATCGAAGAACGCCGACATGTCTCCCTGGTTTCTGAATGCCACTGCTTGGTGCTTAGCAGCACCAGCGGTGTTCTCGAATGCCATTGACTTTGCAATGAATCCAGGTGCAACATTTGCTGTACGTATATATATTGCATGCACAAATGCATGTAGACAGAAAATTAGTATTGCGAAAACATATTATATATATGACTTACATAACTATTTTCAAAAATAGGTTTGGATATTATATAGTCTTTATGATTGCTAAATTTTTTAAAAGTTCAAATAATTTCAATAAGATGGCCAATTTACCAGACATGTTCTTTCACTTTTAAGGATAGACTAATTAAAAAAGTGTGTTAATAACAACGTGTTGTTAACATTTTTTTATATCGTTTATAATTATTCATTTTATAAAAAGTTAAAGTAAATAAAACATTTTCTTGTAATTTAATACTTACCGAAGGTGGCAGTTTGCATGGTCTTGACACCATCTACGAAGTTTTTGTTACCAGTGACAATGGTCTTTGTAGGGCCATCCCCATACATAAGAATATTAGCTGCAGATTTAGGAACGATGATGTACTCGTGATAGATCCCAGCCTTAACATAAATAATATATCTGCCTTTGAAGCCTTTAGGGTAAGAGGCAACCGCATCCTTAATGGTTTTAAATTTACCACTACCATCTTGGGCAACAACTGCGTTCGGTGGTATTGATTCAACTCCCTTACTCAACAGCTTACGATCGGAAGCAGAGAACCACGATGGGAACTCTTCACCATCAGCATTCTCAGCCTCCAGAAGACGACGAGAAGCAGGCTTCAAATCCAACTGTAAGCCAAAGCTCTGAAGAATGTTAGATAAATTAGTGACAATGTCAAGTGTTATGCCAGTGAGCTTCCCCATTTGGTCCAAACTTTGCGTTTGCAACTGTTCCTTAACCTTGTCCTCACCGTTTGTTCCATTATCAAACCCTTCCATGCATGACTGTTGGTACGAGATAACTGCACTCAACCAATTTCTGAAGTCTGGGGTTTGGTCATGCAAGGCTTGAATATTGTTGTCACGAACCAAGTTAGCCGAGGATTCGATGCTGTCCATGGCGAATTGCATTAAGTCCTTGCAATCATCAAGGGCCATTTTGACTCCAGGAGCATTGTTATTGTTGCCATGTTCCACACTGAGCCTGTCACTCATGTTCAAGGCTTGGATAATGGTTTTTGAAGTTGCTTCCACTGCAGCAGATAGGTAAGCCATTGGGTCTGAGGCGTTAGCGCTGTTCACAGAGTTAAGAGTATCATGACAAAGATTGGGGTCTTCGGTGCCTTGGCACATGGCCTTCACAGATTTTTGATGTGCTGCTACTGCAGGATCAGATGAGTCCTTTTTGTTAACAACAACAACAACACCTATGGCAACACCCACCACTAGGATGAGCGAAACCCCAGAGACAATCACTTTCCCTTTGGACATTTTTTTTACTCTTGACTTTTTAAAGTTTTTTTTATTCCCACGAAATTATAACGATGGAGCAATGTAGGAAAGATGAAATGAAGATTTCCTCCCCTTTTTCAATTTATTGGTTTCTTATTTGGGAGGATGATAATGCTATGTATTATTTATTGATTGATATTTAAGATGGTATGGAGCACAGAGCTACTACAAGGATTGATTCATGGGGTTTATATAGGGAGTTCAACCTTTTGTCTATCTCAGAATAGATGAGAGGGTAACTTTAACATGAATGAGTGTTCAGAATTGACGTTGGTTTCAGAATTTTAAGGGGGGTTGACTAGGACGCTGCTATTTCTTGAACGATAGTTTATTGCTATGGTGGAAATAATTTCCTATAATAAGCAAGATTAGCATTTTCTGGGTAAACTACCGTGTTGAGTTGATGGTAGATGGTGGGCATTGTTTTGGCTGAGAATAGTGAGGCTTGGACCGTTTTTCAGTCCGTAGTTATTCTTTCAGGTCTTCCTTTGTTCTTGAGAAACCGCAGGATTATTCGTGGTGGACTTCAATGACTATCGACCACTAATTAAGATGGTAAGGCTCACTTATCGATTATACAACGATTTGTAGGGATTGTAATATGGTCCAATCCACTGGTTGATCCATTTAAATTATCGATTATAAAACTAGGAATTTTAATTTCAATATAGAAGTTTTTTTTTTTTTACTCAGACCCCTTTTTAACATTCTTATTTAATTTAAAAACATTCAAACATTTTTGTAAAATTTAAAACATCTTTTTGGTATTAATACATATTGGTCGAAGTGGTAAGGGGTTTAATTCTTATAAAGTAACGTTAGGTTTAAATATTATAAATAAAAACAAGTAAATAAATGTCCATAAATTCATCCAAGCAATCAACTCAGATCAGTCGAAAGCCTATGAAATTTTCAGATACTAAAAATGTCGAACCCTAAGGCCCAATCAAAATCCCGAACCCCAAAAGGAAAAGAAAACTTGGGTTTGCGAAATTTTGTTCACAAAAATTTTACTCAAACGAAAAATGTAAGGAAGCCTTCGTTATAAGTTCTTCAACGTACTAGCCGTCCAAAAGAGATTATGAACTAGACAGAGTTCATCACGGGTATCCATATCATTATAAGTAAGATTCTAGAAGGCATATAGAAAAACACCTATATTAAAAAAATTATTTTACAATAATCAAATAGTAATCTGAACATAAATGATATAACTGTTATTTTAACACGTTCAGATCCCGATTTATTTTAAATTAAATCACATCTTTAAAGACAGGTCAAAGAATCAATCTAATAAGAACGGGCCTTTGCCAGTGATTGTTTTCCAGTGGAGATAGTCCACTGACTTGCTCTTAGCTAATGATTATACTCAATTCTGTTTCGTAGTTTTCCCAACACTTAATTGTAAAAATGCCAAGCATCTCAGCGGTGAGGGGTGGAAAGAAAAAACAAATCAAGAAAACAAATACATTAAAAAGAATAAAAGCATGGAAACCGCAAAGAACCTCATGGATTATGAACAAAATGAATGCAGTGTAAACAATGGGATATAAAGCCATATCAATTTACCACCAGCCTCTGAACCAGTCTCTTATATTTTGTATGCACACTCGTGCACATACTCACAGATATATTTAAGAGAAAGAGATAGAGAGAGATTAATTTGGTGTTTCACCAGCAGGTCCAGGTCGTGCAGTCAACAAAGGTTGAAGAGCTTTGACTACAATGCTCATGTTTGGTCTGAAATCAGCTTCGTATTGCACACACAGTGCAGCAACAGCAGCCATCTGTAATTAATCAATTATCATGTTGTTATCCATGGTATTGTTCTTGAGTAGATATTTTATATTTAAGGGCATTTGTCCTGGGTATCTGTGGTTCCAATAATAAAGGTTTCCAGAAAAATTTGATATTGTTCTACAAGAAAGTATTTGTTTATTTTCTTCTAGCATAATGAATACCCAGGTTCTTGTACTGAAACTTAAAACATAAACTATTTTCTTCCAATTGTTCAACTAATTCGTATATCCAACAAATTTCCACCTAAAGGAAATGATATAATAGTTTTTCTTTTAGATTTAAATTTTTGTCTCTTGCACAGTATTTTGTATTTACTAACTTAATAGAGTATAAGAACTCTGATGCTATCTCTAGTAAGCTGCTTTTGCATAGTTTTCCGGTCCGTATGAACACAATTTCAAATAATATATAAGCTATAATACATTTTCATATTCTACACCACCTTAGTAAGAAAATGGAAAAATAAAATAAAAATGTGAAGAAGAATATACTACAAGACAGTAAACACCTTAGCAACAGCTTTGGGTGGATATTCTCCTCCTAGTCTTGCATCAACACACTGCCTGACTTTATCCTCGCTGAGTTTTGGTGTAGCCTGAAACGTATATCAATTGCTGTTATCAGCTAGGATTTTAGATTGGACAGTAAACCACAATAAATAGGTTTAGTTTCTGCTTCTTTTTTTCTTTCGTTGGAGTGTGTTTTGGGGGCAGGGTATAACGATATAGCTTAAATTACTACCCAAGTAACTAGACTCTGCTGTCCACGTGGTAGTGTATGATCAACGGGTTTCCTTCCAGTCAGAAGTTCCAGAAGGACAACACCAAAACTGTATACATCACTCTTAGCATTCAATTGTCCAGTCATTGCATATCTGCATGCACAAGATTAGATAGATAGTAATTTAGCAGTCTAAGGCCAAGACACCAGTAGATGAAGACACACACTTGTTGGGTGACTTTAGTCAACTGTAGCAGAAAGGAAATTGAAAAATTGATAATCATATCTTACTCTGGTGCATGATAACCAAAGGTTCCAAGGACACGAGTAGAATGAAGACGTGCAGCCATATCTGGAGCCTGATTTGATAAATCAAAGTCTGCAATTTTAGCAACATCATCATCAAAGATTAGCACATTGCTTGACTTGATGTCTCGGTGGATAATATGGGGATCAGCCTTCTCATGCAAGTATTCAAGTCCTCTTGCAGCCCCTACAGCAATTTTTACTCTCTGTGCCCATGTCAAAACTGGACCAGGCTGTGCTCCCTTAACACCTTTTCTGCCTGCATGTACAAAAACAATGACAAGAACATTTATAAAAGTACAGACTAAACTAATATATGTCTCAAGTAGTGACATTACCAATCAAGGCATCAAAAAGAAAAAAATAATGTTAAACGCCATAATCTTCTCAGTTCCTCTAATGTAAAGAAAAAGAATTCAAATATTGCTTATAGATGTAGTTTTCTAATTTGACCAATTGAAAGGAAAAACTATATACCATGCAAAATATCATGAAGAGACCCATTAGATGCAAACTCATAAGCAAGAATACGGGAGCTTCCATCAATGCAATATCCAAGTAATTGAACAAAATTTTCATGCTTCAGCCTTGATACCATTGAAACCTGAAAGTTAAAAAACCTCGCAGTTTACGGGAAAAGAACAACTTCAATGACCTGACAAAAAATATTAATCCAAGATTGTCACACATACATACCTGTGCTAAAAATTCCTCATCAGGCTGTTTACTGGCATCTAACTTCTTGATTGCTGCAGCTTGCCCACTTTTAAGAACACCATAATATACTCTTCCATAGGATCCCTCTCCAATCAGAGAATCTTGACCAAAATTATCGGTTACTTCTTTTAGTTCATCTGCTGCTATATCAGGAACTTCAATGGGCTGAACTTTCACAGGCTGAGCACCCTGCTTTGCAGTTTCAGAAGCATGATGATTTCCATCATTCCCTGCGTAAATTAATCACAATAACTTTATCCATCAAATTTTAAGGAAAAATAACATCAAACAAATAAACACAATGAAATATCACAAAACAGCATATCAATCTCGTATTAGACTCAATCCGATTGAGACGGAAACATCACTTGAAGATGCATGAATGCTTAGAGTTGCAAACTGTATGTATCATCGTTGATACATTGCTCAAGCTTATACGAGCCAAATTACCTGCTGAATTTTTTACAACATATTGTCCTCCACTTTCGGCAGCCTTATGAAAGTCATCCTCTTCGCAACAGCTGAAACAACTCATGGCTCTTTCCCACTGAAATAATTCACTAGCCCGTCAGATCATACTAACAACAGTTCAGTATTAATCTTCAATATACAGTCTAATTTTTGTTCAGTAAAAAGAACACATTATTGCTAGAAAGGCTGCATCCCAGTTACAATTGCAAACTTCAACAATTTCAGAAAGAAAGAAGGAAATAGTGTATCTGCGTGTGTTTTCTGTTTCAATTACTTCGAGTTCTACCTTTAAGTATTAACTCAGCAGGGCTTCATTTCGTTCGCAGACGTGATGTTTCCACTCATTTGATTGATATTAATTAAAAACGCAATAACCTTGTTTAACTCTTAGAAATGCTATCAAATATAAAAATGAGATTGCAGTCCCAATCATTTGCATGATTCCGTCATCCTTGGAAAACAAGCGCTTGCAAGTGATGCATGAGAATTTCATTACTTCACAGCATTCTATCAATTTTTTTTTTTCATTACAAGAAGCTCAACGCCTCAGTTAGCAAATCTCAATCAAATGAAGCTAAATGGAAGCGGATCGAATCAGTTTCCGGCAACCAGAATTAAATTGCTACTAAAGTCCAAGCAAGCAATCACAGATCAGTAAAAAGCAGAACCAGTTATTACTTGCAGAAATCAAATTATGCTGAAAAATAAAAAGAGAAATGCTCGTCCATTAAAGAAATTATAAAAGCAAAGTCGATGGCAAAGATGAAATGAACATTGAGAATTTTTTGCAAAAGCAGAATAGAAGAAGTAACATTGAAGAGAGTGGTGGATCGATGAGTACCTGAAATGAAATGAAAAGGAAAAATGGAGGAATTGAGAGTGAGGGTGTGGAGGGGAAGATCTCGGTTCCAAAACCGGGGAAAGATGCGCAGGATAAACAGAGAGGAGTGCGTAGGATAAAAGAGTCGAACAAGTTTTTGACTCGCTTTGAATTGGAATCGGAATTACAATTGTCGTGTAACGTGTTTATTATTATTAGTTACAATGATTTTTATTATGCAACTAAGTATCATTTCACTATTTAAATACCCCTAATCATAAAACCTTCTTTTCTTTTCTTCTTCTCCACCGACCTTGCTCGCCAGATTTGACTTGCGCCGTATATACATACATTCGTACACGCCAGTTAGTGTTTGAATTAGTTTACTAAGAAAACAAATACATTTAATTTTAACAAATTATAAAATGCTTTTATTATAATAAATTTCTATAATTATGAATCTTAAAAAAGGGTAAATATTTATTAAAAATAATAGTGTCTTGTAATTTTTCATACTTTTTTTCATAAAACACTTTTTAGTGCATTTCATATATTTTACATTTTTGTAGTGGTATATTATTATTATTATTGGTCTAAGCAACATATGAAAAACATTTAATTCGTACTGTTAAATTTGTTCTATTGCATTTTATAATAAAATACAAACAGTTATATCTGTTATATTTTATGCGATAAGCATCCTATATCATAAATAAATATTTTTGAACTATATAAAGACTTTATTTTTCATGCAGTGTTAGTATAAATATTTTTATTTAAAAACATATATAAAATATGAAAATATACTATTAAAAAATCAATTATACAGTTATCCCATTTTAAACATTAATGGCAACTAAAAGTTTATAATATATATTCACATAAAAAAAAAGTTTATAATATAAGAGTGAAGTTGAATATTTATTGTTGCTATTTAAACAATCCAATCATATACCGTACGTCATACATAGTGCTTCCTTTTTTCTCACACGTATCTTGTAAAATTTTATATTAAATTTATTTATTTTCATTAATTAGTTATTTAAACAAAATAAGATTATTTTTTTAATGTATATTTACTTATATTTTAAAAAAATAATATACATTAAAATAAAATTATTTGTTAAGTATCAAATAATTTTAAAATGTTATAAACTTATCTATTTATTGCAAGTTTTAAATCAATGATTGAAGTAATAAAATTTAATATATATAAAAAATGATCAAACAAAATAAATTGGCTAAGTCTTACTCTTGAAATAAGTCAATCAATTTCTTTTCAAATTTATTAGATGATATATATTTATCAAATGTATAGCCTTTCAAATATTTATCAACTTAGGAAAACATAAATTGTGAATGTTCAACTTATTCCTACAGTGTATCTATTCTACTTTATTTTATCTTTCTTTTTTTCTTCTCCTCCTCCTTTTCGAATTGTCTGAGTCATGAATTTTGCTATATTAATTACGATATTAGTACTAGCTCAACTTGACAATTCATATGAGAAAAGTTGGACATTGAATATTCAGAAACTTTTACATAGTCATGCATTGAGCAAGTCAATAAAGACTCGGTATACTCTCACTATGAAAGGAGTACAACTCCCTTTGAAGAAATAGTTATGTGCCCCACTGATCGATGTTTCTTTTCTGAGGTAGGCTTTGTCTGTATGAGCAATTTCCTTGAAACAAATTAACAGGAAGAAATCAAGAAAACTCTTCCCACTTGCTCTATGACCACTCATTTGTTTTTGTCAAATTTCTAGGATTCCAAGATTATTACAGAATCAAAACTAAAAATCTTACTTTCATTTAGAATCTGTCATAAATAATGAGTATTCTCTTCTCTTCGTAAGATTGATCACACACATATATAGATGACAATCAAGTTGACCAAAGACAGTATTTTTTAGGAAATATAATAAAATACAATGTAACAAATTTGAGAATAGATTCATATTCCCTTATTTTCATCTTATAGCTAGATATTGTCCATCAATCATGCTCCTCGCGAATCATCTATAACGATGCATAAATTGTTCTGGAAGATTTTGAATTCATTAAGAGGACCAAACAGGGCTCACTGCTCAGGGATGTTGATGAAAGAATCGAATCAATCCGTTTCCTGTTGTCATGCAACAATGCAACGTGACCAATATCTCGAGAATCATGAATTAAGGTGCGTACTTAATGAGTTAGACACGTTATTAGCAATAATGCTAAAGAACTTAATATCATATAAAACAAAATTAAGGCTCATGCATGTTACAAGATTGTTCACATAATTAGTTTGTTATCTTAAGCAAAGGAATAAAACAAAAATGACGGAAGAGAAATTCCAAATAAGGTTGTCTCATATTTGCAACTTCAACGAAGGAAGGTTTTGTTTGGGTTCTGTTGTCTGCCAGCTTTGAGTGCTGTGATTCACTTGGCACTTAGCTTTATTGGAGTAAATATATAAGTGTGTGACTTTCTGGCAGAGTTCATGGGAGGGGGAACCATGGAGAATATTTACGCGGCATTGGTTGATTTGTGGGCTCGCCTCATCATGCAAGGAAGAGGACATAATTCAAACGGTTAGGGATCAAAATTATTATTGGAATGTTTGTTTTTATTGATTTATATATTTAATATGAGAGTGTAAATATAGAAGATATAGATATAAATTTAAAATTTAATGTATAGAGTAATAAGTAAATTTACAGTCAATTATATATATATATATATATATATATATATATATATATATATTATTCTACAAATTAATACATGATGCATTAAATTTATCTGATATGTATTTTTTATAAGTTTTAACTTTTAAAAAATAGCTACTTTATAATTTACTTTTTCATATATAATATCACATCGTTATTTTTTATTCAAATATATCTTCTTTTTCGTGCATTCGTTATCTAAAACGAAATATGCAAATTTGTTGGCCTTTCACAGGTATACCGTAATTTGTCTTTCAATACTAACTCTTATTTTTTAAATTTATAATATAAAAAATATATATCTTTTATTTTTTAAATTTATAAATTTAGAAAGTCATGTAATATATTTTAAATTTTTATTTAAAAATTTATTTAAATTTAATAATATCTATATAATGTAAAAAATATATATATTTTTAAATATTCAACACAGTTATATTCATTCAGACTTTAACTTTATTAATTCTTAGAAATTGCAATGAAAATAATATTAACGTTGATATAAAATGTTAGCCATTATTTTTAAATTAGAGTACTTTTAGAAACTATCTTATGTAAAATTAGTTTTCTTTGTCATCGTGCTATTTCGCTTCTTCTATATTGAGAATTTAATTTTTAATTTAATTTTAATTTTTTAAATTATGTTAATGTAATTATTTTTTAAAATTGCTCTCTTAAAACATATGCATTAAAATGAAGTAGTAGAATGAAGAGAAATTTATAAATTTTAAATTGTGTAATTTGAATAAAATTTAATTAGAATACATGAACAGTATAAATATTTTTTATACTATTTTTCAATAGTGTATTATTACATCAGCAATAATGATTTATTTTTGTAATAATTAATTTTAAAATTATATTTACTATGCATTATAATTAGTTAACTATATACTTTTTATATATTAATAGTGTATTAAAATTAAATTATTTTTTTAAATATTAAGTGAATGAAGACGTTCTCGCATTCGTTACAATAGAATCTCTATTTCGATCCTTAGAATGTGGTAAATTTAAACTTGTTGTAAACTCTCAGTTTGACAACTTTCTTTACCCTGAAAATGAAACACATCCTTCCCCTAATATAATGTGCAATATTAAGTAGAATTAAAGAAAATTAATTGTGAAATTTTTCAAAGAAAATTTATATTTAAAAATATTTTTATGAGAAAATATAAAAAATTATAATTAAAAAAACGAGGCCTAAGTGTTTCTTTTATGCATAGATTAAATATTTTGAATCATAAAGTGTGTTTACTTTAAGTTGTTTTTTATTTAAGAACATGAACTTAAAAATATAACATTCACATGTTTACTATATATTTAAAGAAAAAAAACCATCAAATATAATAGATTTAAGAACGAGTCATTTTATATTTTAAAAGGAAAAGAATATGACATTTTGAGAAATATATTAAAAGTTATCATATATTGTAATTAACGAGTTTTATTTTTATTTTGAATATCAGGATTTTGTTTTAATTTGCTTGCTTGATTATAGAGAAAATTATATATTTATGTATCAAATATATATATTTTAAGACCAAAATAAATAATAATAACCCATTAAATTTGCCCCTAAAAAAAAATGCTCTGAGAGGATCTAAAATAATATTCTCATGGATCCGCTGTGGGGAGCGGGCCCAAATAGATCCTGCGGACTGCCTGACTTAATATATGGTTGATTGGTTGTTGTTTCCCATAGACACTGTCAAAGCAACAATATGATTCGTTGTCTGATCATCTGATTAGTCCATAATATTAAATAATAAATGTTAAATAGTATTTCAAGTGTTAGTTAAAGATATAATAAAATATAGTATTTTTTATAAAATTTATAATACTATTTATTTTTAAATTTGTGCATATTCTTAAATAAATAAAAAAATTGAAGACAATACATCCTTATTAAACTTTAAAAAATGATTTCATTATTACCAAAACACGCCCAATAATTCAGCTCAAAGGGTCTTACAAATGCACTTTCAATAGACAGAGCATAATCAATACCGTGAAGTTAATTAGGACGTTTTACTATAATTTAGGTTGTGATAGTCCCGCTAACCAGTCACCAAAAGTCAGATAATCAATAAAAGCCTCAAGTTATGAATTTTAATTGGACGTTATAGTATGCGATCCTTACTTTGATTGTCTTGGCAAACATTTAGCAAAAGCTAAATTTATATAGTTGGGAGGGTGGTAAGAGAAAAAGTAATATCTAATGTTATTTTGTGTTTGTTAAATAACAAGATACAATAATTTATTTAGTTGAATTATTATATTCTATCTTTATAATTTAATTTTTTATTTTAAAATGGGTGATGGATTATGAAATATTTTTATTGTTTTGTCACTCATTTCTTCACGCAGAAAAGTGTCTACCAATGACATTGCTTACATAATTTGCATACCGCGTCTAATGTAGTTAACTGTAATACACCCTTTCGTAAATTGGATATTTTGGGTGGTTAAAAGTTTATTATATTTATATAAAAAACATTATCTTGGACATACAAGTTATGAAAAGTGATTTAAAAGAATGGATGATATTAGAAGGGACGTGGAAACCTTCCCCTTTTCTAGGCTAAAAGTATTGTTTATACAAAAAAGAAAAAGTTTTCCATTCCACAACATTCATGAACACAAATCTCAACATGGGGGAGTGGGGGCAGATACCCGGTACGTTTGCATTCGTTGGCATGCCATTTGAGGTTTCAAAACGTAAGGAAAATATGTCTTTATTAATTATTAATCAAGCATCGCAATATATTAAAATAAACTTTTAAATTATAGTGTTTTCAAGTAAATGGATTATGACTAATTACTATCAAAAGAAGAATACATACAAACACGGTGATCTACATGGATGAGTTTACCTAACGAAACTTGTACAGTTTACGATGGTCGTCATGTAAAGTAGCTTCCAGGTTGTTTTTCCTTTTATTATAGTTACTTTTTTGGTTTGGTTTTTTCTGTTTCTCGTTTGTGTTCCTATTTTTCCTTAAAAAAGAAATAGCGTGGTGAAATAAGACTAATCCACACCACACGAGAGTTGACTATATGGAACGGTGGAGTCAAAACTTTAGAAGGAGGGAAAAGAATTTTGATACTAATGACACGATTATAATAATAATTACTATAATTAAAATTTGATGAGAGTAAGAAGATGAGTATTAGAGGACATAACATGAGGAGTGGAAGAGTGTGTGGCGTTATGGTCACACGTGGTTGGCATGTGGAAAAAACAGTTACTTACAGAGAAGGGGAGGAGTGTGACGTTTACTTAACGAAACGAAACGAAACGTTAACGGAGGAAGAGAAGAGGAAGATGAAGATAAAGGATGAGAAGGGTGAAAGCAAAGGCATCTTTTGGGTCCAAAACGAAAAGAGCGAGGGACACGCAGTGTGTGGAAGTGGCCCACCACTTTGAGCCTGGTGGGTTGTACTGTTCCCAATCCCACCACCACCTACGAATTATTATTATTATTATTTTTTTTTTTTTCCCTGATAGATAGAATATCAAACCATACCTTCTCAAAAATGAAAAAATAAAGCCAATCAAATTCACATCGCCATCATCATCATCATCATCATCAACCATAACACCGTTTCCGTCCACAGAACCTGTTGGCAATTTGCGTGGCGCACTTTCCGACATTAACCTGCCGCCGATCTCCTTGCTTCTTACACGAAATCTCTGACGTACCAGTACGATGTTTCCCTTCGCTTTATCATCAATTTGTTGTTGAATTTTAGCCTTTTTTTTTTTAAAATTATTGTTCCTTTATTTTATTTATTTTTTGAATATAGGAAGGAAGAGGTTGTCTGTCGGTACTTGAGCTGAGCTAGGTTTCTGTTACTTCAGTTGACTTGGGGAATTGGAAGGGTTTGGGGTTAGTTGCTAGTAGTTGGCTATGTGGATTGCGCTTAATTGGAATCATGGTTGCGTGGGTGTGCTCTTTCTGGACTGTTGGGGATGAGCTGAGGTTAATCCACTGTGATTCCGTGCTGTTAATTTCGTACAGTAACTGAATTTAGCTCTAGTTATTGGTGTTTAGGAGTATTGGATTAAGATTGGTATTTCTTGGTTGTGACCATGGAAGCTAGATTGGGTGCGGAGGCTTATCATTTTTATGGTGTGGGTGCTGCTTCCTCGGATTTGAGGGGTGTGGCGAAGAGGTCGTCGGAGTGGGATTTGAATGATTGGAGATGGGATGGCGATCTTTTCATAGCTAGCCGCCTGAATCCGGTGCCAGTAGATGGTGTGGGAGCGGGGCAACAATTTTTCCCTGTTGGGTCCGGGATCCCGGGAGGTCTGTCTAACAGTTCTTCTTCGTGCTCTGAGGAAGTAGATCTTGGGGATCCCAAGGGGAACAAGGAAGGGGACAAGAAAAGGAGAGTTATTGTGCTGGAGGATGATGGTTTGAATGAGGAAACGGGCACCCTTAGCTTAAAGCTTGGTGGGCATGCTTCTTCGATGGTGGATAGGGAAATTGCGAGCTGGGAGGGTATGAATGGAAAGAAGAGTAGAGTGGCTGGAAGTACTTCAAATCGAGCTGTTTGTCAGGTGGAGGATTGTGGTGCTGATCTGAGCAAAGCTAAGGATTATCACAGACGTCATAAAGTTTGTGAGATGCACTCCAAGGCTAGTAGGGCACTTGTGGGAAATGCAATGCAGAGATTCTGTCAACAATGTAGTAGGTAATTTCCCCTTCTTTATTGGTTTCAACTTTTGCTGTAGTTGATCAATTTGAAATTTGTTTCACATATTTACGGTGGTTATAAAGGGAATAAATGGTATTAATTGTGATACCGAGATGTAAAGAGATTCTGAAAATTGAAAATTATGTCTGAATACTGCAGAATATTTTTATAGATTTCTTTTAGCAGTCCTTTATGCAATCGTTAGTTTTTATTTTTATGCAATCATTTAGAGATTCAATCACTATTTCATTACACTTATTCCATCGACAGGTTTCACATGCTTCAAGAGTTTGATGAAGGAAAGAGAAGCTGTCGAAGACGCTTGGCAGGCCATAATAAACGAAGAAGGAAAACAAATCATGAAGCTGTTCCAAATGGAAATTCGTTAAATGATGACCAGACTAGTAGTTATCTATTGATAAGTTTATTGAAGATACTTTCAAATATGCATTGTGAGTATTCCTTTAAATCATTATCTTTGTAACTAGCACCTAGAGGAATTGATTTCATTTAAGATCTGCTTGATTACTTCATATGGCACTATTGATACTTGTTTCTCTTGTTTGAAATGATGAAATGCATGGTATTAATTTAAAATATTCCTTCCTATACATTACTGCTATGTTAATAGCTGCAGGAAGGTAGTTTTGTCAGCTGCAAATATGTTTTATAAAAGCTGTATACTGTCATGCAAGACATGTTAACTCTGAGATTGGTCTGAATTTTCACGCAAAATTAGTGTAAGTTGTACCTAAGACGACACATTACTTCAGCAGAAAGATGCATGGAGGAAATTATCTCCTTCCTCAAATTTATAATTCATTTCATGTTGTAGAATTTGGTTTTGGTTGTCCACTTAATTTCTATGGAAAATAGTGTATCAGATGGAAAACAGGATGGGCACTAGTGTAGTTTTATGTTTTTTCTTCCTCGTTTCTGTTATGGGGACTGGATCTTTAGCTTTAAGGGCATGGTTGATATATTGAATATTTATAGTTTTTAAGAGGAAGAAGCTGGATCTAACACATTAGAAAAGGACAAGAAAAATTATTTGAGCTTGTTTTTTGTGTGGTAGTCAACTATACTGTATGAGCCCTCATCACAAGGTTAATTTCCACTGATAAGCATCTGTAGGTACATTGATAGACAAGAAATGGGATAAATGTTCTTCAATTGTGGCAATAAGATGCACTTTCTGGTCACTAAACTCACAAAATCCTAAGAATGACCTTGTCAATTAGTTTCAAACTCGAGTAAACTTGCTGATACCTTGGAAAGTTGTCCTACAGCTTTGCTTTTGCTACTCATGACTAACATTTACTTTTAGGGTATTTACCTTTTAGTTCTCTTAATTTTGCCGACAAAAAAAAAATGTTGGCTCTATTACCTGAATTCGTTGCCTTTACCTGGTGATTATTTGGTGCTTTTCTAAATTGATGTCTTTGCTTTTTGCCAGACACTTAGGTTTTAGGCCTTGTTAATAACCTGATTAATTTCACAACTGATTAACTGCTTGCACTTTGCCTCCTGTACAGTGGAAAATCCTAGTGGTAGTGAGTAGTTTTGTCAAGTAATTTGTTGCTGTTTGATATTGTGAGTACTTATATAATCTGATGCTCATGTATATGCCAATTAAGCATAAGACATATGAGGAACTTTGAATCAATAATTAAATGAGCTTTATAAATCTTTTGTTCTTGAAGTTTCTAAAACTAACAAGTTATGCCCAGATATCTCAGTTAAGTTGGCCAGAAGAGACCAATGATTGCTCTCTGAAGCAGGATCTGGGGAGTTACAAATTAATGAACAATTATATTGAAAATGATAAACATGCAAGGCTATCTCAAAAAATTTGTTTGTTCTCCTCCATTGGAGAATAAGTGCTCTTCAGTAATTGGTATGCAATAAATTTTTTGGGGGATAGTAAAAAATTTTTGCTTATGCAAAAGTGTCAATCTTGTATGATGTCATGAGGTCATTAGACTCATTATTTAATACTAATGAAGCACTTGTTTATTGCTGTATATGGCTTAAATGACATGGGATCTTTAATGACATCTAATTGTGTTTGCTTAGTAACAGTATTCTCATCTGTTTTCTGATTGGTATTTCTGCTACAACTGAGGTTTTTTTGGGATGGATAGTGACATTTTTGATGAATTATAGCTGACAGGTCAGATCAGACCACAGATCAGGATCTACTAACTCATCTTCTAAGGAGTCTTGCAAGTCAGAATGGTGAACAAGGTGGCAAAAACATGTCTAACCTTTTGCAGGAACAAGAGAATTTGTTGAGAGAAGGGGGTTCATCAAGGAGATCAGAGATGGTGTCAACTCTATTATCCAATGGTTCTCAAGGCTCCCCAACTATTACAAGACAAAATGAAACTGTATCTATGACTAAAATGCAACAAAAAGTGATGCAGCCACGTGATGCTGGGGCTGCTGATCTGCAGATCATGTCTTCTATAAAGCCAAGCATTTCAAACAGTCCTCCATCCTACTCAGAAGCCAGAGACAGTACTGCTGGACAGATCAAGATGAATAATTTTGATTTGAATGACATATATATTGACTCAGATGATGGCATGGAAGATCTAGAAAGATTACCCATCTCTACAAATCTTGTGACTAGCTCTCTTGATTACCAATGGACACAACAAGATTCTCATCAGTCAAGTCCACCTCAAACGAGTGGAAATTCAGATTCTGCATCTGCCCAGTCTCCTTCTAGTTCGAGTGGAGAAGCTCAGGTATGTTTTGTCTTGCTGCATTATTTTGAATTGGTTGTTCTAAATTGTGCTTTTCTGTACTGTCCTTGCAAGTGTACAATGCATCCCCATGATTATGTGGCTTTCCATAGGAAGGATGTTTTGTTGAAATTACCATATAAGTCAGTTGTATTACTTGTATTTCAAGGTAGTGTGTCTTGGTTCCTAGACTTTTAGTGCTGGCTTGAGTCCTTCACAATCATGGTGTTGCAGCTTGGTGGTATGACCCTATGACTATAAGAAGTGAATCCTTCATTTAGTCATGCTCTGCAAGTAGTCAAGAAGTAACGTGGCTCAAGGCCTTTGATTTGCTTGTTTGCATGATGATATCTATGGAAGAATGGATTTTTGTTTCTTGGTTGTTCCAGAGTTTTTTGCATTTGTTTAAAGGTAGGTTTTGGAAGCTAGTAAGAGGAAGGGAAGAGGTGGCTCATAGCATATTTGAAGGGATTGAACCTGCCATCTTTGCTTCCTAAGGAAGCCAGGTGCCACTAGGCTACATAGTTGTTGAATGTTCTAGTTTAACACATGCCTGTACAAATCTTGGTTTAGATAGCATGTCTGGATTTGACTTTTTAATCTGATATGGAAGCATACTTGATTTGAGAATGTTAGATGATGTTGGAGCACCTGGTAGTTATGATGGTGAGAAAGACAATGCTGGACCTTCCTTAGGTGTCAAATGTGATGCTGCTTGTTTAGATTGTGGGGAAAAAATTAGTTTGTGTTGCAACTGCTTACTCTATGCCTTCTTATAACACATGAAATTTCTAGTTATTGGCTATTTGCTCCTTCACTCCTTCCTGTGTATTATTAGACTCTCTTATCACCTCTCGTCCTCAACAAAATCTTTGGTGGGAAAATGCAAAAAAGATTAAATCAATAAATATTGATAATTATTTACCTTTTTCCTAGTCTTTCCTAGGTTGTTGAGCAATGCCTTTTTTGCATTTAATTTATTATTGAGATTGTCATCATTTAACTTTTAATTTTTTTGTTTCTACCATTCAGAGTCGCACAGATCGAATTGTTTTTAAGCTCTTTGGCAAAGAGCCTAATGATTTTCCTCTTGTACTTAGAGCACAGGTACTTTTAGCTTTCTAAAGTAGCTGAGGGTAACTGCTATTCATTTCTTTCATTTGAAAGTTAATCTCACTGAGGGTTTCAATTGCCAGATTCTTGACTGGCTGTCCCACAGTCCTACCGATATTGAGAGCTACATACGGCCTGGTTGTATTGTTTTGACCATTTATCTGCGTCAGGCTGAGGCTGTATGGGAGGAAGTAAGCTTTTACTTCTAAATTTATTAGGTTATTTCCTTTACAGGGGACACCGTTGAACTTACATGCTCCCCCATTTTTTTGCAGCTTTGTTATGGTCTGACTTCCAGTTTGAATAGGCTGCTGGATGTCTCAGGTGATACCTTTTGGAGAACTGGATGGGTTCACATCAGGGTGCAGCATCAGATGGCCTTCATTTTCAATGGTCTCTCACCATGTCTTTATTGTTGTTGTTAGGGAATTAAGATAACAGGAGTCAGAAAGTTACTCCCTCTTATCTATTTATAAGAAACAAATAAATAATTCATCAAAACTAATCAAAAGTAATTACATGACTAAATTTGTAGTATATTTTAAAAATATCTATAGTAATAAATGATCAAATTGGTCATTTCCACATTAAATGAATGAATCTATCCATTTATATGAATAAGGAGGATCCAAATCTTACAATAAATAAAGGTACCGAAAGAATTTAGCAATTGATGCATTGGGAAATTAGTCTTTATTTCTTATGTTTTAAACCAAAAAATAGTGGTAGTTGTTTCTTATAAAGAGGATCAGAGGGATTATTTCTGTAATAAATTAAGTTTATTAACAAAGATTGATGTCCTTGCTGTGATGAGCCATTTGTGTTAAAGACTTGTATCTACGTCTAATTTGTGTCTTGGCCGCATATATAACATTAGGTGGTTGGCCGCATTGATGTAATTTTATTGTGCTTCTAGTTTAAGTCTGCAATCTACATTGCCATCATTGTTGTTATGTTACTATGGTTTATGTACCATTAACTATATCATTAAGGACTAACAGTATTTATTTATATGACTAGTTATCTCATTGCAACTTTCATGCTTCAGGTCAAGTTGTCATAGACACTTCCCTCAGAAGTAGCAATTATAGCAAAATTTTGACTGTTAGTCCAATTGCTGTGCCATCATCAAAGAAAGCTCAATTTTCTGTTAAGGGTGTCAATCTGATACGCCCTGCCACTAGGTAATCTCTATTGCTTTGTGACTTGTCAATCCTTTGCATATTGGTAGTTGAATACGAACTTAGAAAGCAATTGGACCTACTATTTGAGTTCCAAGAATTTGTTTAAATATATTTATTTTTATGTTGGACTAGCATGTTATATGACCCTTACGCCTACCCTCAGGTTAATGTGTGCTTTAGAAGGGAAATATCTGGTCTGTGAAGATGCTCATGAGTCAACGGATCAATACTCCAAGGAGCCTGATGAAGTTCAGTGCATCCAGTTTTCATGTTCTGTCCCTGTGATGAATGGAAGAGGATTTATTGAGGTGCTTTTTCTTTGCTCTAACAAATTATCAACAAAATAAAGTTGGGAGGGACAGGCTTGTTTTTCCATGAAGATGATAAGCAATTCATATATTACCGTTTTTACTTTATGGCACACTTTCATACACACCAGTTAATGTTGAGTATTAGCAATTTCCTAACTCATAAGTTGTGATGTCCAATGCTTACTGACTTGCATACATCCATTTACAAGTGTGCCATATTTTAAAATGAAGATAAGCAATGCTTACTAATGCTATGTGGCTGAGCTTTATATTTTCTACGTTTTTTTAATTTGCTAGATCGAGGACCAGGGTTTGAGTAGCAGCTTTTTTCCTTTCTTAGTTGCGGAGGAGGATGTTTGCTCCGAAATTTGTGCACTTGAGCCTCTTCTAGAATTAAGTGATACTGTTCCAGATATTGAAAAGACTGGAAAAATCAAAGCCAAAAATCAAGCCATGGATTTTATTCATGAAATGGGTTGGCTTCTTCACAGAAGCCAGCTGAAATTAAGGATGGTTCACTCGAACTCTAGTGTAGATCACTTTCCATTAAAACGGTTCAAGTGGCTTATGGAGTTCTCTATGGACCATGATTGGTGTGCAGTAGTTAAAAAACTGTTGAACCTGCTGCTTGATGGAACTGTGAATACAGGGGATCATCCTTCTCTGCATCTTGCGCTTTTAGAAATGGGTCTCCTTCACAGAGCTGTAAGGAGAAATAGCAAGCAGTTAGTGGAGCTACTTTTGAGATATGTCCCTGAGAATATTTCTGATAAACCGGGACCTGAAGACAAGGCTCTAGTTGATGGAGAGAATCAAACCTTCTTGTTTAGACCTGATGTTGTTGGTCCTGCTGGTCTGACACCACTCCATATAGCAGCTGGGAAAGATGGTTCTGAAGATGTACTTGATGCTTTAACTGATGATCCTTGCACGGTAAAATTTCTGCTTTCTTAAATTATATCACTGTGAGGATAGATTTCTTTTAATATGTTGCGTATTTTTGTCCTGGTTTTATTTGGACCTTCATCACCACATTTAATTCATTCTTGCATTTATCTGTTGCGGTATTTGAATTCCAATTACCCTTGACTCAAGCCTACTCCATTGGTTGAATTGTTTTTAAATTTTGTTGGTTAATAAATTAATCAATCTGTGTTATCCAGAGACAAACATTCTGTATAGCCTGGTTGACCTACAAAACAACTCTTATCATCAATATTATCTGACTTCGCTTGTTTGATATTAAACTGGGTATTGTATGAATGGGCTGAATGAAATACCCCTTCCCCCTTGTAGATGGGAAGAAAAGAAAGTGATAATCATTTTCCTATTTTGTCTTGTTGGAATTCTGGAGCATTATGTGTTCACTAGTGCTACATTAGTAACATGGAGTTTTTAATACAGGTGGGAATTGAAGCATGGAAGAATGCTCGTGACAGCACAGGCTCAACGCCTGAGGATTATGCACGTTTACGTGGCCATTATTCTTACATTCACTTGGTGCAGAAAAAAATCAACAAGAGACAAGGAGCAGCTCACGTGGTGGTTGAGATTCCAAGCAATCTAACAGAGAACAATACAAACCAGAAGCACAATGAGTCATCCACTAGCTTTGAGATTGGAAAGTCTGAAGTAAGACATGGCCAAGGGCACTGTAAACTTTGTGATTATAAATTTTCTTGTAAAACTGCAGTAGGAAGGTCTTTGGTATACAGACCTGCAATGCTCTCAATGGTGGCCATAGCAGCAGTTTGTGTCTGTGTGGCCCTTCTGTTTAAAAGCTCACCCGAAGTTATATGTATGTTCCGACCCTTCAGGTGGGAATCGTTGGATTTCGGAACAAGCTAAGGTTCAATAACTTGCAACTCAATAAAACTTGGTAGCTAATGTAAGGAATGCGTTCATATAGACTGAATGACCGAGATTTCCTGTAGGACTTGCTCTTTGAATTAGCTAAATTGTGCAATATTATTTACATATTTGTTACCTTAAAGGACTTCCTTGTACAATGTATGTAGATTCAAGTTTCCTTTAAACTTTATTTGATAGGATCCTTTGTATTTCTGTGTAATACTTGAATGGAATCTTCAGTCCTGACTTTGATTAAATGACGAGTTCATTAAATGGTAATTAAATTGAAATGGCGAATGTCTTGGTTTTATTTGTATGTTGTTTTTTCACATAACAAAAGTTTTTACACAGTAAGTTTTTATATTGACGATTGCATGATTTAATGTATTGGTAACACTTTGAATGTTATAAATTTTAATAAAATTTTACTGTTTATTAATTTTTTATTGTGTTTTTGGATATACATTAGAAAAAATAGTTTAAATTATAAGATTAGTTGTTTTTTTCCTAAAAATGTCCTGAGGATGTTCACTACAAATTATTAGAATAAAAAGGTTTGATAATTAAATAAGCCAATGTAAATACGTGCAAGTGATTTCAATGTAGATTAACGCCAAATTATTAGCAAAATTTATCAGTATTTTGTTTCCTTAATACTTTAAAAATAACAAAAATAATTATCGTCTTTCAAATTATTGTATCCTTGTGTTTAATAAATTTCAACTTAATTTATTACAGAATAATTTTAAGGGAAAACAGTTATATTCAAATGAATTCATTAAAATATTGATTTAAATTAGTTTTTACAATTAACTGACTTTAATTTTGGCTTTGTTGCTAAGTCATGAGGCAAGTTTCAGTTTGAATTTAATTGAGAGCAAGATGAATTTACGCAGAGATTTTTAATTTTTTTTTCGTACAAAATTTTTTAGGAGAGGAAATAGTATCTTATTCGTAAGTAGGAAAAGACATCTGGTTTTGTCTGACTTTCATTTTCATAAGCAACTATGACTCGCATACCATTTTCAAATTGCAGAATACTGCACATTGCTATTGGTATCCATTAACAGTGTTTAACATTAACTAACTCATTTTTTTTCTTCTATAAATTTACTCATGGATCTAAGTCTTAGACACTTGTTTCTCTTAATATTTTTTGAAATATAAGCTTAACAAATTCAATCACTAAATAATATAATATTATCTTGATAATTATATATTAAATTTTAAATAAATTAAATATTTATAAATATATAATTTATAATTAATATTTATTTATATTTTACGATATTATATGCTAACATAAGTTTTTTTACTGAATTATTAAATAATTTTAAATTATGTAAAATTTTTGTAAATTTAATATATTTAATGTGAATTGGCACTAAGAAAAGAAAATTGAATGTGAGAAATCAATCAAATAGTGTAGAAGCATCTTTGTTTGATGAAGTAGTCGTATTCCTTTTATTGCCGGACAAGCAGATTTTTAGTCTGTATATATAATTTAAATAAGTGTAAATGTAAACAAAAAATAATAATTTGTCAACATAAATGGTTAATTGTGTACCAAAAGAACACACTTTATTTTTTTAATAGGTAAAAAATTACCCCCTCAAACAAACCATTCCAAACAAGGGGCACAGCAAATTTCAGTCCAATTTCTGCATGATTAAAATTTCCTCCCACAGTCCCACTTATAAGAAAAGACCTTAAGCCTGAGGCTGAGGCTTCTCCCACTTGAGTGGCTTGACAACTTCCCAGGTGAAGTCTGGCTCATCCCTTCCAAAGTGTCCATAGGCAGCTGTCTTAAGGAACCTGTTGCCACCCCTCTTAAGGTCCAAGTTAATCGTGATCATTCCAGGTCTAAAGTCAAAATTTTCCTTCACAAGCTTAAGAATCTCCTTGTCAGGAATCTTTCCAGTTCCATAAGAGTTAATAAAAACTGACAAAGGCTCAGGAACACCAATGGCATAAGAAACTTGAACAAGACACCTCCGAGCAAGCCCATTTGCTACAATACTCTTCGCTGCTTGTCTTGCAACGTAGGCACCACTTCTATCAACCTTGGTAGGGTCCTTTCCTGAGAAAGCACCACCTCCATGAGCACCCCACCCTCCATAAGTATCAATTATAATCTTTCTTCCTGTGAGACCAGCATCACCATGAGGACCACCAATGACAAATCTACCAGATGGGTTAAGGTGGAAAATTGTCTTGTCATCTAAGTACTTCTCAGGAATCACAGGCTTGATAACATGCTCCTTAAGATCAGCAGCAATTTGTTCATTAGTGACAGTCTCATCATGCTGAGTGGAAATGAGGACAGTGTGGACACGAACTGGAACCCTTGCACCATTGTCATCGAAGTACTCTACTGTTACTTGTGTCTTACCATCCGGTCTCAACCAAGCACAGGTACCATTCTTCCTAACCTCAGTGAGGCGAGCTCCTAGTTTGGTTGCAAGGACATGGCTCAATGGCATGTATTCAGGGGTTTCATCAGTGGCATACCCAAACATGTGACCCTGGTCACCAGCACCAACCTCTTCTGGACGCTTGGTGAAGTGGCCGTGCACACCTTGGGCAATATCAGGACTTTGCTGCTCAATGTTGACCAAGACCTTGCATTTGTCAGCATCAAGACCCACATCATCAGAGACAAACCCTATGTTGCGGCATGTGTCACGAACAATCTTCTCATAGTCTATGTTGGCCTTGGTTGTAATCTCTCCAAAGATCATGACCATGTTTGTCTTTGTGCATGTCTCACAGGCAACCTTGCTGTCAGGATCCTGTTCAAGGCAGGCATCAAGCACTGCATCGGAGACTTGGTCGCACAACTTGTCAGGGTGACCCTCGTTGACGGATTCAGAGGTGAATAGGAAGGTCTCTGTGCCCATTTCTCAAGCTGTACAAAATAGATGACAGAATATTTAGTCTAACATAGCACCAAAGCCTGCCAAAAGCACGTTTACTCAATTCTCAACAATCTCATCCTCGGAAGATTTCCACTATCCTAGATAATGCACAGGTAACAAAACGCACGTATATCTATATAAAAAATTGGAGGAGAATACTGAAATTTTCACTAGAAAAAGAAAATAAAACGATGTTTATTCTGCTTCAATACACAAAAAATGAAGGAATAGTTTTTTGTTGCTTCTGAAAGTACGATAATTATTCCTGAGGCATCTGACAAAGATAGCACATGAAATTTCACGAAACATATAAAAAAGTAGAAAACTACACTCCGTGATTGGCATGGAAATTTAAGGTAGCAAATAGACATTTCTTTCTTTTTAGTACATAATAAGGTGATTCTATTTCTGCATCCTGGAAAGTACTCTGTACTAAAAGTGATAACAATAAAATACGGCAAAGTACTTCAAAACATTTACGGCAATTAAAATCTCCTAACCTGGACAAATCTATTAACTAATGCTACAAAGTTCAATAAACTGCCCCAGATCTAGAGAGACAAACAAATCAAAACAGATTATAACAAGAAAACAGTAGTAGATTAGAAAAAAAAAAAAGGGAATGATCACCGGTTTCTGAATCGAGATATCAACTTCCAAATATTACCAGATCTTTAAGATTCCATAAAACCGAACAGTCACATAAATTGAACCAACACGAAGCAATCCAAAAATAAAAAAATGTTAAGCAAAAAAACTCAGATCTTTTACCTACAATTCTTAACATTAAGTGCCACTAACATGACCGAATCACTAAACAGAGACAGATGCGAAGCGAAACAGCTAACAACAAAACGTACGACAGAAAAACAGAACATGTAATACGATGAAACAAAAGACAGTGAGAAAATGCTTACATGTGATGAGAGTGGGATAGGAAAGATGCTTTGGAATAAAGAGCACACACTCTAAGCAGAGGAGACCTCGTAGAATTCCAAGTTAATGTGGTGAATGACAGTGTCTCTCTTCCAAAGACCCTCTATTTGTAGACGCCAACGGCACGCGTGACTGGGTACCGGAAACTCTTATCGTCAAAATTGTACGGCTGTTACATTTGACGCCGGAATGAAGGGATGCGATTTTTCGCGGTTGGTGAGAGAGAAATAGTTGCTTAAGCATAAATTCGCAGTGACATGTTACTAGACAGTGCCCATCGGTCTCAGCTCACCAACCTCGTTCCAAAATTTCAATTTTGACAAATAACATTTCTCTTCCTAAAAACATAAATATTAAACTACACGCTAAAATTATAATATGCTCGTAAATTTAAACAAAAGTGTAAACGCAACTCATACAATTGTTAAAACTTGAATGAATCAATTTATTATATTTTGTAATTTTATAAATATTTACATTCTCTTGTTCTATATTCTGAAAACTTTTTTGTTTAAAGATTTTTTAGGATGTTATTACTGTGTTTTTAAAATAAAGAACAGTTAAAATGTGTACATACTATATATACTTTTCTACAACATATATAAAATGATATTTGAAATTTAAAATAATAAGTACTATGTAATTTATAGAGCATAAGTGCATAACTAATTACTCTTTAAATGAGTTAATTGAACTTCATGCATAGTTCATTATAGTTTAGCTAGGAAAAGATCGACAGAAAACCATGAAAAGAAAATGAATACGCGGAAAGGGGAGTTAGAGTCAAACCTTATAAAGACTGTCATTCGCTGTCCAAATGGCGTCTGAAAATTTGACGGCGCTGTTTTGCTTGCTGTTAACACATTGTTGCAAGTGTAAACTGCAAACATTGGAAACGTGGTGATTAAGGGTAGGATCATAGGAGGTTGCCCACCAGCCAAACAAGGAAACTACGTGGTCATTATAAGAATTTTCATATACAAAGTTAAATATATTAAAATTTCATGTTAATATTTGTCGGTATTTCTTTTTTATCAATTTTTTATTTTAAAAGGAAATGCTATATATTTCAAATAAGTATTTTCAAAATGCAGAAATATATTAATTATATTAAAAGCAAAAAGAAAGTTAATACTTATTTGGAAACGCTAACATGATTTTTCATAAGATATATTTTATATTTCTCAATCGATATTTTTGAATATTCTTTAGTAAGATTTTTAATACTTTTAAAACAAATACATTTAAAAATACATGTATGTGTATGGTCAGAGCCGAAGAATGTTATAGTCAAGTCAACCATTCAAGTACTGAGACTTTGAAGGCGGCGTTGCACATCCGCCACGTGGCTAGAGAGAATTGCCAATAAGTGAGGGAATAAGAATCGAATTTTCTATCGTTTATATAAAAATATACAATATAAATAATAAATTATAATATTAATATTATTAATATATCAAAATTCATGATATTTTATAATTTTTAAAAATTATCCAATATTCATCTTATAACATAAGAAGAAAAAACTTTTTCCTATTTCTCGTATCAAACTTTATAAACAAAAAATGATATTTTTGTAATTAAAAGTAAAAATATTACTTATATCAAATGAAAAATATAAGTTATATAAACAAAGAAAATAAATTAAGGGAGATGAATATTTTTTTCATTTTGGTGAGAATAGACTATCAATCATGCTGCAAAAGTCAACTAGAATTAGGTGGGGATGTGTAAGAATTATGAGACTGATGTGATAAGCACTAAATATTTTGTTGAACCTTATTCTAATTAGTGAAGAGTGCTAGGTGTTTTATTGTCTAAAGCTTATATTTTTCGTAGCCTTGTACTAAAACACACTTCACATATTATGATTCTGACAACAACAACAAAAAAAACTCACTTGTTAAAATCATTGATTGTATAAAATTTGTTGTAAAGCGAGAAATTTGAGAGCTATATATCTAGCATCTTTCTTTATTGTGCCTGAAATATGCATCATCTCTGGTAGACACAATAGGTTTTCTCTTATTTATTATTAATAAAAGAAGAGAGAAGTTTATGGTTTTTGGTCAAAACAACGCAAGTGACAAGACCCAAGAAAGGGAAGATGGGCTTACTACTCCTCACAGTTGTAAGGCCCGTTATCGTCTGCAGTGAAAAAGCCAAAATGAAAAATGCGGTGAGCGTGGATCGAACACGCGACCTTCAGATCTTCAGTCTGACGCTCTCCCAACTGAGCTATCCCCGCACGTAATTAATCGTTGATTTTAGAATAATATGGATAATGTGTTCTGAAACATCAATGTAGTTACATGTGACGTGTTGAGTTAGAATTTCTTGGAAGAAAAAGTGTAGAGCTTCTTTCTCTGGTTGCTTCAGCACGACAACACCCTAAGAATGGGAGGAACTTCCGCTTTCAAGGATGAGTATACCTTCGGTGCGTTTAATTCTTCCTTGTTTTTCCTAACTTCATCACCGCTTGTTATTATTATTATTATCTGAGATTTGATTTGGTGTGCGCAGAGCAAAGGCTTGAGGAATCGCGGGATATTGTGGCCAAATATCCCGATCGAATCCCCGTAAGTCTATTTCTTCGTTTCAATCAATCTCGCCTTTCTTTTTTCCCTATAAAAATGGGAAATTTTTTTAGTTAATCAATATTGATTTTCATAATTTTTTGGATGGATCCAGACTTAAATATAGCTCCGTGTAGTCTTTTTTGTTTTTTTTCCTTATCTGTAATCATTGCACGTTTGTTATTAACGAATTAACGATTAATGTGCCAAATATAGAAAAGCACATGGTAACGGTGAGCATGCTTTTCGTTTCCTTAAACGGGTCATCATATGATTCGATTATTCTATTTGTTCTTCAGGTGATCGTGGAAAGATATGCGAAATGCGATCTGCCTGAGTTGCAGAAGAAAAAGTAAGATCAACTTGTAACAAACAAACATGGCTGTTTATAAGATCAAGCATGATTGAAATCATTGATAAGAGATAACTCTAGCCATGTAAATTGAATTAGGAGCAAATGTGATTACAGTTTATAAATTAATAAAGAGAAAATAATATTTACATGAAGTTGTATCACTTGTAAAATTGCATGAAGTTATGTAAGCAGGTGGTGCAAGTATCATGCATAAATGTTGCAATAGTTACTTAGTAACGCTTGTGATTGAGAATGAATGAATTTCAGTCCGTAGAGTAAGTAGAAATGGTCCTATAGACTGGGAATTCTCTATTACCCCTATTTAGATCAAATAACTCAGCTTCGGTTTAGCATTTCTCTAATACATATTCCTTTTGTATGTGTCTGATAGATACCTTGTTCCCCGAGACTTGTCTGTTGGGCATTTTATTCATATTTTGAGTTCCAGACTTAGTCTACCCCCTGGAAAAGCTCTCTTTGTATTTGTGAAGAATACCTTACCCCAAACTGGTAAACTTGCACTATAAGCCAATGGTTTATTTTTTTGTCTTCCATTTTGTTATTGTCCTTAAATTTTGTGTTTGTGATTATCTGCAGCTAGTATGATGGACTCTGTTTATAGATCATTCAGGGACGAGGATGGGTTTCTTTACATGTTTTATAGCACCGAGAAAACCTTCGGCTCGTGCATGATGTAAACTATCAAACTATGTACATTATTATTGTATACATCGCTGGCTTTGTGAAGTATTTGTATCAGAAACCTTGTACAAAATTTGTTGTACGGTTTTAACTTCTAATGAACTATTATATTCTGTTTAACCTTTGCAATGCTATAATGCGTGCTTTATAAATATGTAGCAAAATCAGAAATGGTGTAAGATGTTGCATCATTGCTGGTTAGTGAAAAATTAGAAGGTAGGAGTGTAAAGATAAAAATTACAATATGCTTGTAAAGTGTAGCAAAACTATTAGAAGTTTTCGTCATATCTTTAGACCATAGTTTTGGCTTAAAACAATTATGTCAACTATTGTTAGTCACTTTCCACTGATTTATGGCAAACCCGTGGCAAATGTTCGTCCTTTTTTATACATACGTTACATCTCACTTGGGAATTGGGGAACTTCAGCTACCTTAAGTTGGGTTTATTTGATCAATTTTCAATCCTCTCTATTTAATCTCATGGTAAAATCAACTCGTTCCTTTTATCCAAGCCAATATCGTACTTATCATAACTCATTCTCGCTTCATCTTGTGTAAAGAAACAAAAATCCCAAAAAGGGCTAAGACTGACAAACCCAGACGTAAAATATCTAATAGATGAGCTATATGCTGTAAGAATGCTCAGGGTTCTTTTATGGTCCAAGTTAACCTAAATTACAACTTTGTTAAAAGGAAATAAAAAGGTATCATGTCATAATTTTTTTTAACTTCTCAGTCCATCAACTCTAGTTGCTAACGTGCCATGGCTAAAAATTATCCCAAACATACGGGGGCATTCCCAAAACAACTATAGAGTGTGTATAAACATTATCCCTGCTTGCTAAACTTGAAATCCACTCAAATTAGACACAAATTGAGATTATTACTCCAAAACCAGAAATCGGATCGTTGATGTTATTCAAATCTATATTTTCCCTTCGTTTCAATTTCAGGATCTGAATCTGTATTTGAATTTTTAAATCTATAAGTGCTTCGGCAGAACCATGACCAAGTGGATTCTGATGAACTTCTTGGTAACTTGTGCAGCTAAAACCGGATGGAAATCAAATTAGAATTGAAGGTTTCCACAGGGGCTACTGGCCAGGCATATACAGAATAAATAAGGACACATATCTATGCAGCAACAAGGACTTATGATTACTTTACATCCAATTCAAAAGATAATAAAATTATATAACACTAACAAATGAAACCGATATTTCTAGGTTTTCAATTTTGACATGAGGAAAGTTATACACAAATCTGTAAGTATTGAGGGAAAAAAATTACGTCTTGAGAATTTAAAAGATCCTTTTTTCAATATTTGTCAGGACTATATTACGTGTGATCACTGTAGTGCTTTAGCTATATGTAACTTGTATTTGAATCTTAAATAACGAGTCAATATTACTAAAATAGATACATAAATTATTTTATTTTTATTATTCTATTGATGGAAATATTGACTTTTTCTTTTAGTCCATGGCTTCAATCCTCTTACATAATCCAAAATTGTCCCAAGTTTTACCAAACCTTTGACTTACTTGCTTGATGGCTTGTGGGAAGTACATGTTTCCGCGTGTTTTCGTCGTTTTAAATTTCGTTTAATTTGTTTGTTTTCCTTGTCGACATCTTTTGGGTCATGAATGGTTTGTGTGTGTATTACGATTCTTGCAGGGTTTCTTGTGATTGCCGCTGAAAATTATAATTTATTTACACTCACTACTTTTGCCTTTTTACTTTGTTAGAGGTGAGGATGCCCCATTCGGCCTTGTATAATTACTTGCCTTCCACTGTGCTTAGACTATTATTATAATGCTCTTATATTTTAATATTTTGCAACTGTTGTTAGATTTTTCTATCAATGATCTTTGACAAAAAAAATTTATAATAAAATTAAATATGCAACGGTGAGAAAGATTATAAGCAACGTTGAAGAAAATATGAAAAAAAAAAAACTGATTGCTCAATATTTGAAGAGGAATGGATGAAAAATTATAATTTTTTATAAAAATTGTATATAAATAATGTGAATATTATTTTTATCATAATTTTTTTAATACAACATAGATATTATTAAACTAAAATATTTTTTTTAGTAAAAAATGGATTACATGACTTTTAAAAATTTAATAAATTTTATCCATTTGAAAAAATAGTTTTTTTATTAATAATAATATTTTTATTATATTAAATAAAACTAACTTAAGTAAATAAATTCAATATGAAATAAAAAAATAAAATATAAAAAATTTAATAATTCAAATATTATCACTTTAAAGTATACTTTTAATGTTGGTCAAGAAAAAAATATTTTACTAAAAAATATTGGTGTTTAATACAAAAATTATAAAATATTTTAATTTTATGAGTTAAGACATATAACAAAAATGAATAATAATAGAATTTAATATCTTTTGTAATTATAAAGTGATAAACTATAATTTAAATTTTGATTAGAAGAAAAGGTGCATTGATTTTCTTTTCGATACATATTAATTTTATGTAGCTTAAAGTTTTTTCACTTGCTTTAATTCCTCATTTTCTTGCAACAAATTAAAATGTGATTTTTCTTGAAAGAAATTATATATTCCTCCCCATGAAAAAAACTTCATCTTACAAATAGCAGCATTGGGGCTTGTGATTACCAGGTCATGCATTTGTTATTGCAAATGCTACATTGAATTATCAAATTATATTAAATGCCATATGCAGCCATCAAAGAATAGAAAAGTTGTGCTTCAGCTGGCTGTTGCAGCCTATAGTCAATGGATCGCTCTTCATCCAATATACAATATCAAATAAGAAAACATTTCTTAGACCCTTAAAAGTTAGAATTGTATCAAATCATATATACTTACCAAATAGAATTAATAAAATAGAACGAGAGAGCGGTGTACAGTGTAAACACAACCTGAGAAGACAGAAGAAGAGTTCAAAGACAGATTGCTTCAATTACCATCCAAAACTGCAGGCTACAGCCATACACGTTTTTGTTTCAAAAGTAAGACCTACTCTCATCTCTCACCTTCTTCACTGTCATCTCTCACTCGCCATTTTTCCCAACCTATAAATATTTTCCCCCATTACATGTTCTCTCCACACCTCCACCTTAATTAGTGACCACTAACAACATACATGCTTCAATATCCCTCTCTTCCTTCTCCTCTCATTACTTTTCTGTAGCAGAATAAAAGAATAATACACATTTACTGAAATATCATTCCACTGCCATTTAGAAAGTAAATTACAATAATGGGTAGAACTCTCCACATGCATGTAATGCTCTCAACCTTGGTTCTAATTATCTCAGTTTCACCATTGGCATCAGCATCATTGAAGGTGAATTTCTATAAAACTTCATGTCCATCTGCTGAGGAAATAGTGAGAAGAGCTGTAAACAAAGCCGTTTCTCTCAACCCGGGAATTGCTGCTGGCCTAATCAGAATGCATTTTCACGATTGTTTTGTGAGGGTAAGTTCATCTTCACAATTTCCATACATCATAACTAATTCATTCTACTTAGTCATTTCATTAGTATATATATGTGCAAACATATCTAAATTTGTTGCAAATTGCTATATATATTCAGGGCTGCGATGGATCTGTGCTACTAGAATCCACACCGGGTAACCCATCTGAGAGAGACCACCCTGCCAACAACCCAAGCTTACGAGGCTTCGAGGTAATCGATGAGGCCAAGGCCCAAATAGAAGCTGCATGTCCTAACATAGTGTCGTGTGCAGACATTCTTGCTTTTGCTGCACGAGACAGTGCTCGCAAAGTTGGGGGAATAAACTACGTAGTACCAGGTGGACGCAGAGATGGTCGTGTCTCCATCAGTGATGAAGTGACACAAAATCTACCCCCACCAACCTTCAACTCTGAACAACTTATCAGTAACTTTGCACGAAAGGGGTTATCAACAGATGAAATGGTGACACTTTCTGGGGCACATTCTGTTGGTGTATCACATTGTTCTTCCTTCTCTAAACGCTTGTACTCTTTCAATGCAACCTTTTCTCAAGATCCATCTATGGACCCTAAGTATGCTACGTTGTTGAAAGCCAAGTGTCCACCAAGGAGCAATGGTGACGACACGACTGACCCAACAGTGGTGGTGCTTGATGCTTCCACGCCAAATCGTTTGGACAACAAGTACTACACGGGGCTGAAGAACCATCGTGGTTTATTGACCTCAGATCAAACGTTGGTGAGTAGTGGGTCAACGAGGCAAATGGTGCTAAGCAATGCTAAAGATGGTTCAACTTGGGCAGTGAAGTTTGCTAAGGCAATGGTACACATGGGTTCCATTGACGTGCTAACAGGCTCACAGGGCGAGATCAGGAGGCGTTGCAGTGTCGTTAACTAATTACAGTTGCACTCTTTTGCTATAAAAGACAAGTAAAATTGTTCATAGACGTATCCATGTTTTTTTCCTTCGTATTTTATTATTGGTTTTGGAAATAGTAAGATAATTGGTTTAGTATGATTGTATTTGTGATCATTCTTTTATTTTTGTATTTGTGATCATTCTTTTGGCCTTTAGTATGATTGTTTGTATTTTTGGCCTATTCAAGTGTAGACGTGTAATGGTAAGAAACCTGTGACGGTAATAAACAACAATTTTTTTTTATATTTTTAAGCCTATTTTTAATATAAATTTATTTAATAATCTTTTAGAGAATACATTATTTAATATTATATTCACGACATGTAATTTAAATATCTGTAAATATAATATCAAAATTTTAATATTTATTTATATTTTAAAAATTTATTACACATTAAAATAAAAAAATACAATAAAGCATCTATTAGTTTTATTTTTGTATAAAATTTTATAGAACTAATTGATTTAATAAGAACTTTCAAACTAATAATTAAATTATTTAATTTTACATTCTAAAAATAATTATTAAAAAATATACGTATAACATTCCTACATAAATATTCATATATTTCCTTTTGATCCGTATCAAATTTACTAAAACAAAAAATTATAAGAATATAATTAAATAATATTTATTTTCATATATTTTAAGTCTAATATAATATATTATATTCATATTTAATTTATTGATGCTATATGTACTTTTTTTACTATTTAAAATTATTAATTAGTAAAATAAAATATATTATTAGACTAGTCTCATAATATTTATATTAATAGTTTATTTTTATTAAATATATATGTTATATTAATGGAGGTGAATATAATGTGAAACAGTTAGTACATCTATGACTTCTTTCATAGTATATTAAATAATTGTTTTAACACTTTGATGGTTAATAAATTTGTTGAATCCGGATATCCAATTACTTTTTTGACAATTATTGGGATTTCAAAATTCAAAATGCTTGGTTGTTTGTGGTCGTATAGAGATTTAATTAGGCTAATATAATTTTTAACATTATAATTAAATTTATATAATGGTACTTTTATGTAATTAATTAGAGTCTTTAAATCCAACCGACCATTGGAGTGTGAAGAAGCTTTTAAAAGATACCAAGGCAAACAGGTTTTTATTAAAACGATATTAATCAAATTGTGTAAGGTACAGACATAGCATGAGTTAATTACCTGTCAAACATTAATTACCTTCGAGCGCTTCGATTAGTTTTTAATTTGGACAATGTTTTCTTTAATATTAAAGTTAGATAATAAAAAATTATTTATACTAATTATGGAGCTTTATGTTTTTTAAAAGTAAATATATAAAAATATTTATTTATATATAATATTACATACAAATGATTTAATTTACGCCAAAAGAAATTTCCTAAATTTTTTTAAAAATGTTTCTTCTCATAAGAAATGAGGAAGACAGTGGCTTGGGTTTACCAGGTCATCCATTTATGATAAATAACATTACTTTATCAAAGTGTACAATTGCCGTACCAACGCGTTCTTTAAAGAATATGAAAGTTCTCCATGTAGAGTAAGCACAAGTGGGTGTAGTAGTTAAAAGATTTAGGAAAATATATTATTTCACAGCAACGAAGAAATACATATAAAAAACAAGTGTAAAAATACATAACAGTCGTAATTTGTTTCCATTCCTTACAATTAGAAAATTAAGAAAGGGTGAGAGGTTGATAGTATAAAAACAAGCTAAGGAGGCAGAAGAAGAGTTCAAACTTGGAAGGTAGATTGCTTAAACTACCATCTAATACTGCAGATTACAGCCATACACACACACGTTTTGATTTCAAAAGTAAGACTGACTCCACCTTTGCAATGATCTCTGAGTCTCCATATTTCTCAACCTATGATATATATATTCACCCACCACAAGTTCTCTCCACCTCCACATTAATTATTCATCAACATACACACACGCATATCCTTCTCTACCTCATTACTTTTCTGCACCAGACTAGTAACTCATCATCATCCCAACACCATTTACAAAGTTAATTACAATAATGGCTACAACTCTACACATGCATGTAACGCTCTCAACCTTGGTTCTAATTCTATCAGTTTCATCATTGGCATCAGCATCATTGAAGGTGAATTTCTATAAAACTTCATGTCCATCTGCTGAGGCAATAGTTAGAAGAGCTGTGAACAAAGCCGTTTCTCTCAACCCGGGAATTGCTGCTGGCCTAATCAGAATGCATTTTCACGATTGTTTTGTGAGGGTAAGTTCATCTTCACAATTTCCATACATCATAACTAATTCATTCTACTTAGACCTTTCATTACAACATATCTAAATTAGTGGCGTCCTTGGAATATGTTCAGGGTTGTGATGGTTCTGTGCTGTTAGAATCCACACCGGGTAATCCATCAGAAAGAGACCACCCTGCCAACAACCCAAGTTTACGAGGCTTCGAGGTAATCGACGAGGCCAAGGCCCTAATAGAGGCTGCATGTCCTAACACAGTGTCATGTGCAGACATTCTTGCGTTTGCTGCACGAGACAGTGCTCGCAAAGTTGGGGGCATAAACTACGTTGTACCAGGTGGACGCAGAGATGGTCGTGTCTCCATCAGCGACGAAGTGACCCAAAATCTACCCCCACCAACCTTCAACTCTGAACAACTTGTCAGTAACTTTGCACGAAAGGGGTTGTCAGCAGAAGAAATGGTGACACTTTCAGGGGCACATTCTATTGGGGTGTCACATTGTTCTTCCTTCTCTAACCGCTTGTACTCTTTCAATGCAACCTTTCCTCAAGATCCTTCTATGGACCCTAAGTATGCTACGGTGTTGAAAACCAAGTGCTCGCCACAGAGCAATGGCGATGGCACTGACTCAACAGTGGTGCTGCTTGATGCTTCCACGCCAAATCGTTTAGACAACAAGTACTACAATGGATTGATAAATCATCGTGGATTGTTGACTTCGGATCAGACATTGCTAAGTAGTGGGTCAACGAGGCAAATGGTGCTAAGCAATGCTAAAGATGGTTCATCTTGGTCAGTGAAGTTTGCTAAGGCAATGGTGCATATGGGTTCCATTGATGTACTAACAGGCTCAGATGGTGAGATTAGGAGGCGTTGCAGCGTTTTAAATTAACCGTGGGTGCCTCCTCCTACTAAAATCAATAAGCTAATTTGTTCATAGACGCAAATATGTGTTTTTTGTTTATTTGAAAAGAAGATTGTTTCATTCTTTGACTTTATTTTTTGTATGGAATCATTATCATTCTTTTAGCTTTGAGTATGACCGTTTATACTCTTGGTCAATTCTATTGTAGATTTGTAATCAATTGTAATGAAACGTGAGCAAGAGTGGACTGCTCTGTTTGAATTATGCTGGATCCTTTAGAAGTTGACTTCTTACATTTTTGGTTGCGGATTGGTTATTCATCCAATCGGCATCTTCAATTGTCTTGGCAAAAAGAAAACGTTAAAAAAAGTGGCAGTCCAACATGATTCGAATTTTTAAAACAAAACGTTAGCTTTAAGGAGTAATCGAATAGAAGAAGGGGGAGTTTCACATCAAGTAATAGGTTTGAAATTCCATTTGCGCAGATTTTGAATTTTGATTATGTGGCTTCAGAACTCTGTTGCATGGTTAATATGCCCTTGATTAAATACTATTCTACTACTTTTTGTACTTTTGGTTTTTGATTGTTTGCTATTACTTGCCTTAGAGCGTATATCAGGTTAGAGAAATGATAAATGTACAATAAATTTGTACAATTTTTTTTACATCTTAACTTTTTAAAATGAACATCTTGCTCAAGGCAGCCTTTTCTTTTCGTTGTCAAACTTATGTGATCTGATCTGAAATTTCTTAGAGTATATAAAATCAATCAAAATTTTCCAGTAGTACTATTCCAATTTGAAGAATCTGCAAGAATGGTCCCTTTTGGGGGGAAAACCTACGTGGACGCGCATTTTTGTTTATCAAGATATGTGAATAAACAACTCCTATATTTCTGCAATTCCCTATGACAATCAAACTAGTATGACCTCAAAAATGCACGAGGGAAGAGTTGGGGAAGAATCGTATTTTTGGCTTTCACTATTAATGAATACATGCCGTAGCAGGGTATGTGAATTATTGCCAAGCAGAAATACCTGTAGAGCAAATGAATTTGTGAAAATAAGCTTTTGGTGTAGAAACCAAGAATTGAAGAAAAGAGTACATTTTAGTGTTATAGTATTTTACCAAAGGGGAGCCCACGGGGTATTAAGCTCGAGAAATGGGTATGGCCACCTGTTAGAAGAAGAAGACGAGATCTTTGTTATTGGTGATGAAGAAAGCGTTAAGCTAATAATGCTAAAACTATGAAAATACAGTTACATCTTACCATGTAAAACCACATGCGTGGATGACCCATTGGAAAATTATGTACCCACAACTCCATAGCACAAAATATGCGACTCTAAACCAAGGAAAGGGCTGAAAAAGAAAAATAAGGCAAATTGAAATCATAAGCTAGATGTTCTTAAATCGGTGCTTAGTTGGATTTAGTTGTGCGTGTGTTACTTACAAGATTATTTAACAGTGTGTCCAAAAGAAGAAAAACTGCGTTCAAGGTATGCATGCAACCCATTAACTGCCAAGTGCACACCAAAATAAATCAATGATGGTATCATTACTTCCAAAGATCAAATATTATATAATCGATTGGTCATCCAGAGAGGCAGACTACTAAGGTTTTCTTTGAGTGATATGAGAAGAACGAACATAAGCGGAAATGGAATACACAAATATTAGAAAAAAATCATCATCGTGCCACTTATGAGCCAATCAATTTAGAGGGAAAGGTATTTAAAAATAAGGTTTAGGAGTAGCAAATCTCACCATGTTTAGCTCGAAATGAGAAATTGATAAGAATGGGACAATTACACACCAAAACACAACGTCTGTTAGGACGACAGCCCCAGCACTAGTCTGTTAAATGCATAATCAGTTCAATTAGAATATTGACGACAACTTTAAAAAAAACAAAATTAAGGAAGAAGGAAAAAAAAGAAAGAAATCCTTCAGGCTTGATTCTTGTGAATTGTATTTCATACAAACTAAGCCCTTAGATAAATGAACTAAGTGAAAGCAGTTGCTTACATATAAGGGCCCAAAAAAGGATACATAAACCTGAGGGACAACTCATATGGCATATTTCATGCAATGTGGTGTGGATATCATCAGTAACCCCAGATAAAACAACACACTAGACCAACCTGATAGGTAATTTGCATGAGGTAACCCCAGAATCCAGCCCTTTGATTAAAGTCCTCTTCAACATACTGGCTTTGAAACTTGATGGAACCTTTGGTTTCTTTCTCTTTATAGACCATAGTGTTTGTAGACGTACTCTCTTCCGAATCCCTTCTCAGAAACTCAGCCATTTCCCCATTTTCAAGTGGAGGTTTGTTTAAAAGCTGCCAACATCCGTATGCAGATACTATAGTCCCCAACTGCATTCAAAAAGCATTACAAATGCACAAGTTGATGGCGATCAGATAAAATAATAACTGTTTCTCTAGAACACAACGATTTTCCTATGCATCTTAGATCCTAAATCAGAATATTTGAGATGGTGGTGCTTGACATACCGCAAAATATACCATAACTAATGTGAAAGTCCACCTGCAAATATATGAAAACGATCAAACGGTCTCCATGGTCATCGAACGAAAATCAAGCTTGTTCCTTTAACAGGTAATTTGATTAATTCCTTAAATTACATAATCGTAAGATATGATAATCATACTAGCTCTTAAAAAATGATCTTACTGGGTATAAAAATAGAAAGAAAAAGGTCCATCCAAGGCAAAAATATCAAACTGAATGCGAGCCAAGCAAAGAAATACGAAAGCTCTATATAAGAAAAGCCACAATGTGTTGAGGTTTCTCCAACAGGGAACCCACAAGTGATTGTAACACAAAGGCTTTGCTTTGGCCTTTACAATTTGAATCAAGGCTATTATAACAGAGACAATGAGGATAACGGCACAAACAGGTACTTGCCATCGAAGCCAGTACTTGGCGCCGTCACTGTCTGACATTAAAGAACAAGGTCAAAGGCTTTTCTTTCAGATATCCCTTACTACAAATGAACGGGTTGTGGGTTGGGTTGATGAAGGTGGAATTGTAGAAGACGAGACAAATTCTCAAGAGATGATGGAGGAAGAGGGCGTGCTCAGGCACTGCGCTCAAAGACCAGAGGAAACCGTTGACCCAAAGGAACTGTTTCCATCTACTTTTTTAAAGTTTGCTTAAATTGCTTCACAGGTTAAATAACTTTATTTTAATATTAATGAAATTATAATATTATATTAAAGAGTATATTATTTTTTACAGATAAAATGTTATTAATTTAGTTAAGATTAAATTAATTATTTTATGAGGTAATTTAGACAATTAATTTTTTAATGCTTCCAAACAATACCATTTTTTTTACCTTTCTAAATTAAAATAATTGATTTTTTTAGTTTGTTTAGAATATTTTAAATTTAAATAATAATTTTTAAACCAAATTTTTAAATATAATAAAAATAAATTATTATTTTTTAAAATAAGTTAAACTAAAGACAAACTTTGAGTTTGCTTAAATATCATGATAAGATTGATTTTAAAGTGTAAACATTTATTGCTTTTAAATTGGCATTGACCTTTTCAAAGCTAATTCTGTAAAACCGAATATAAAAATTAAAAATGGTTTTTAATTTTTGAAAATGAAAAAAAAAAATGTTTGATTATACTTTTTTTGAACAATTATTCTAAAAAAATAACAAAGACAGAATTTTTTTTTGAAAATTAAAACATTTTTTTAGTATCTTCGTTCTTTGATTTGAAAAATGAGAAAAAAATTTACTTCTAAAATTGTGTTTTAAATTAATGTTAGTAAACAACTTTTATCTTTTAAAATCATTTGTTAAAATTTATTTTACAATTTTTTTTAAAAAAAATGAAAATTTAAACATAATCAAGTAAGTCCATAGTTTATTGAAAAAGAATCCTTATCATTTGTAACTTTAATCAAAGAAATTGTTTATGTAAAATTGAAGGCACATCAAAATATCAACAATAAACTTGAAATTGAAGAGCATGAATTGGAAGGAAAGATGGTACTCTGTATAGTAAACAAAGATGGTAGCATCGTAGGCAAGAAGATCAATTGGTAATAAGAGTGCCATGATCGCAAAGGAAAGGAAACGAGTGGCCAAGAGCCACAAAGGGTGCACTCCATGGCAACAGCTGCTCCATAACTGTGAGGTGCTCACATTCACCACTCCATTGTATGCTCCACCCACCAGAAGGGTCTCATCCATTTGAGAGGTTCCTTCATTCTTCCATAGCACCCATAAGGCACCTATCAAGGCCCCACCAACAATGGCTAAACACACCAAGTCGTACCACTCTACCTCCAATGCCATCATTGTTGCTTCTTCAACCTTAACCCCTATAGTACAGTGCCTTCTTTCATGTATAAAGTATGAGAGTGCAAACCCAGTAAATGAAGATCTTGTTTCTTATAGTTGTTTTGGTAATTATAGATTATACACTTAATCAGTAGTACCAATCAATGATGGATTTTTAAAAAAATTTGCATGGGGTGCTGGTTGTTTTGACTTTCTAGTTTGACTGTCAGGTTTCCCATCTTTCAGCCTTGGTTTAAATTATGATAAGTAATATTATAGTTCCCAACTGTTTTTAGCATTATTTTCAATTTCTCAACCGATAAAAGTCAGCATAATTAGTTGATAGCTTTGTTCTTTAATTATGTTAACATGAATTTGATTCTTGGCTATATGTATGAAAATTTAAATGAAAATAATAATGGTATAAGATTTGAAGCCTGATTAAAAAATTTTAAAAAAGGTATTTTAAATATGGCATATTATGCACCAATGGAAAGGAAAACTTGTAGTTTAGAAGTTCGGTCACTACTTTTCTTCTCTTTTGTTTTTTTTTTCCTGGCATATTTAAGAAACATGAGTATACTTCTATAAATAAATAATATTTTTAATTAAAAATTATAATATTTAACATTATCAATATATTAAATCTCATAATATCATGTGATTTTAACTAAAAAATTATTATCTATAAATTTTTATACTATTTATTTTATGTAAATAAGTTTAAATTTAATTTTTTATTCTAGAAAAAAATATCAGTTTTAATTCTCATAAATTTTAAATATTTGAAAAACTATCTATCAGCATATATAATAAATATTTGAATAAAAAAATCATAAATATATTATTCCAGTTTGTATTTATTAATTCAATTTATCTTATTAAATACTTTTAATTCAATAAATTAGTTTGATAAATTTTATTTTTTAACTAACTTGTCAATTATTTTTATCAAATAGACCCTTAATTATTCACCTACTTTTAAAATGCTGTTTATGTCAATATATTGAATGTCTTGGACCAATTCAGTCGTATACGGCTTAAATATAATCTTAATCATACTCGTCCATCACTCAATCATTTTTCTATGTTTTTTTGGGAACAGCAGATGAACTAAATTTAACATGGGTATGGGCCGTAATAGCATATAGAAGACTACAAAGCCCAAGATTGTGAAGCCTAAAATGAAATTTATGAAACGAAATTGAGTGGGTATGAACGGTGCGATGCCGATTATTCTGTGATTCACTTGACAAATTATCACGACAATATTGTCACTGAGAGAGAGAGAGAGGTGGGAATTCTGAAAGATTAGAGCATGTCTGCAACTGCAACTGCAACTGTGGTAGGCTCTATTTCAACAACAACTAAAACTAGAAGTAGAAGTAGAAGTAGAAGTAGAACCGCATTTGCCGCCACAAACTTCCCGGCTACTCCACTATCCTCCAATCTCCTCCACTTGAGGTTCTCTCACATTCACACTAGTTCTTCTAAGCGAACCTCAACCTTCCATGGCTTCAAGCGCTTCTCCCCCGTCATGGAGTGGCAGGATTGCACGTATCTCTTTTCCTTTCCCTTCTCACTTGCAATTTCTATTCGCTTTTCTATTTTCCATCTTGTTGCCAACTATTTCTCGCCATCGATTTTAGTTTTTAGATTAATTAAATTCATTGGTTGGTGAATACAACAACTCTTATTGATGCTATCTCAGTTGCTATGACACCGATTTAGTGAGAATTTGACATTGTCTATGATTCATTTCATATTTCCCTTGTAAGCCATGCATGACTGTATGATTTCTTTTGAAACCCTGGCTCTTGATGGTGTTTTAATTATAAAACAAGCTGTTGGTTTAATCGGTAGACGACAATGCCGTGTTATTAACGTTGTACACTTTGCAATTGGTATCGGTTTTAGAGCTTGTGTTTGGGTTCTTCAGGCCACCCATTCACAGCTTCCAGCTTTAAATAAGAAAACAATATTGCCAATTTCAGGGTTAAGATGGAGATTGATGTGCCCGTCTCTGTTGCCTATACTTGTTACTCTGATCGTGAAGCCATCCCAAAATGGATGCCCTTTATTTCCTCTGTTAAGGTGTGCGTGCTTTCCTTCTCACCCACTTATTCTAAGGATCATTTTTCTTAATTACCATTATCGGGCACTGTTAAAAAAAAGGGAAAAAAAAAAGCCAAATCCTCTAGCTTATTGAATCATGACATAAAATTAACTACATTGATGAGGAAATATCTCTATTCATGTTAGCTAATACTGAGTTGTTCACATAACTTATAACATGTACTTGTGTTATTCTTAGTACCGTAAAAAATCTCAGTATATTATGGAATGTAATAAATTACAAGGCCTTGTCATATTGTCTAGAAAATATAGCTTTTGCTTGCATTTCTTTGCTAATGCTAAATCAAGCGTTTAGCTTGTTTGACTGAAATCTATGGTCTCCTCTACCTTGTTGCTAAGGGAGGATGATGTGACTTTAGGATCAGCATCTAGGTGTTCTTGCTTTGGATCCAAATGTTGCTGCACAGATATTTAAACGCTGCAACTTTCATTCAAATAATCTAGAAATGATTTTTGTTATGCATTTTGATTTTATACAAATGTTGGACTCATTTCACAGATATTGCCAGAAAAACCTGAACTGTCACGATGGTCCTTGAAGTATAAGGCATTTGGTCGTGATATTGAATTCTCTTGGCTTGCTCGTAATATGCAGGAAAAGATCCCCAATCTAATACTATTAAGTTCTTTTCAATAAATGTTCTTTACAATTCATATTCATGTTATATCACCTTCTTGCAGCCCATTCCTAATCAGAAAATCCACTGGCGATCTATGGAAGGTCTTCCAAACAGGTAAATTACGAGGTCATTTCTGAGTAGTGAATATCAAATGATTTTGATTGAATTTTATTGGGGAAGTTTTAGTAGTTCAACATTGTGGAGATATTTGACATGTAAGACTGCAGAAGTTCAGATACACATTTCCTTATTGACTGCCCTTTATATCATAATAAATTATCCAAGTGTTATTATAGTTTGATATACTTGATGATGCCGGAGGTGAACTTGATATACTTGATGTGCTGTAGTGATTTAGAAAATTAAAAGAATCAACAAATTCTTATTTGTACCATCGACCTTTGCTAGAAGAAGATAGGAGTGGAGGGGAGGGGAAATGACAGTAAATTTTGACATGAAAATGTGATACATGCATGATATTATTTCCATGCCTCCTCTTCTGTGTTTTGTTTTGTTTCCTAAACGTAGCATTAAGTAACACTTAGCTTATGCTTAATTGCCAGAGTATTTAAAACTCAAGTTTTACTTGTGACAAAAAAAAGAGTATCGTTTAAGCTTGGCTCATTTATTTAAACATATCAGATTTAAAACTTGAATTTGACTTAATTAATTTTGAAGTTAAGCTTTGCTCATTATCTAATTTATAATTTATTTTTTTACAAGTTTTGAATAATTTTTTTATTAATTTAGTACTTAATGAATATTTTTATGTTAAAAAGTAAGGTAAAATGATAATAAAATATAAATTTGTCTATATGAAGATATTGTAAGGTTAAAAATAACAAATTTTATTATAAAAATAGTATATATTTTTTTTAAAAATTTATGGTCACTTGTTTAAAATACAATTCTTGAAATTTAAAATTAGGTAAATAATACACACACAATAGTAATATTAAAAAATATATAAATTTCAAGTAAATACAATAAAAAGAGTTACAATTTTCTAACTATATATATATATATATATATATGCAAGCTATTCATGAATTAATGTAAAGTTTGGGCTTGACTTAATTAAATAACCGAGTTTAAACTTGTTTGTTTAATTAAATAAATGAGTTTAGCCAAGCATTTTTAAAGTTTGAATAGTACACGAGTAGCTCAGTTCATTATACCCCTATGTATAAGCTGAGGATTTAGTAATTGTGTATTAAATTCAGCCATGAAGGTAACTTAAAAGTAGTTTATTCCCATATATATCCTAGGAATTTAACACCTTAGTCCTTAGCAGGCTCTTGTAGTAATATTTTGCTGGTAAGGGATGCCAATATCCAGCTTTCATGCCTAAGGAATAAACATTTTGTTTAAACTCCAAGAGCCTGACGTTACACTTGTATGCCATATATAATATAGTCTCATGCAATTGAAGGGAATAAAAAGAACCTTCAACCTTTATAGTAGTGGAACACTCTAAGTGGTGATTAGGTTAGCATTTTCCTTCATCTGAGTTATGTAATATTTCTGCATTAAGATAGTAGATAAATAAATCTATACCTGTGCAGTGGCAATCTGTCTGGGACTGTCAAAATGTATGTCAAATGCAATGCTTCAATGATTAAAGAACTTCCTAGCTGTCTCGTGTTAAATCATGTAATCGGTGGCTAAAAAACATTTACTACATAAACCAAGGTTAGCACTTGGTTGGAATCCACAGAACTCGGTTTTAGACTAGTATTATTGAATTAAAAGAAAGCTTTCACAGAAACAGCCTATGGCAGAGCCTATCTCCTTGGAGAAATTATTCTCTGCCCTGCAGACCAGCCTCCTAAATACCCACTTACATCACGTGAATCTTTTGTCCAAAATGCTAGCCATCTGCACCTAAGCTAACTAAATCCTGGACCACTCTTATTCCTTCTAGAACAAACCTTCTATATTTTTGTTGCTGATCCATTGTCACATCCTTTTCTGCATTCACACTGGAACCATAGGTTCCATCAGCACTTGTCTTAGTCTAATCTCCTTTTGTGTTATTAAACAAAATTGAAAGGCATGACTTCTAAAATGACTAGGTTGCATGGATGCATTAGTTCAGTATTTTTAAGACTTTTAATAGCTTGATTTCTCATGTGGCAGAGGTGCTGTGCGGTTCTATCCAAAAGGTCCTTCATCATGCGTAGTAGAAGTAAGACCTATTATACATTTTTTTGCGTGTTTTACCTGTATTATATTCATAACAATTCATTCTTTCTTATACAGCTGTGTACAAATTTCATCTAGCAATGTAGCTTATATGGGTATTTGCTGATTTTCAAACTTTGATCCTATGCTTTAAATTTGGGGACACCTATATCAAATTGTAAGGCTCGATGTTTCAAACTAGCTACATGTTCCTATTGGTCCAACTAATTGCCTATTCCTATCAGTCCAGTAAACGACTAGGTGGGGCACCACGTGTATGGATCCAATGTATAATTTTCCTATTGGTCCCTTCTTTTTTTCCACGCATTCAACTTCTAACAAGAAAATTAGAGAACTTGAAAGTCATAATAGATAGCATTTTTTGTACATCTTTCCACCTCAGTTGGTCCTTAGTCAAGCACTAACTACTGCATTTTGTCCGTTACAGCTGACAGTCTCATATGAGGTTCCACAACTTTTAGCTCCAGTGGCATCGGTGAGTAATTTGGCCTAAAAATGCAAAGTTTTTAATAGCCTAAGTTGAAAAAAAAACACGGGGGAAAACGTTTTCCTTGTTTGGTCGTTTTTCTCAGCTTTTCACCCAGTTATAATAGATTCTGTATGTGAACACACTCACCTGTGATACTGCTTTGTACCTTTTCTGATGTTTTTCTCCCATGATATATAATTTGCAGGCACTTCAACCTTTTCTTGAAGGTTTACTTCAACGTGGTTTGGAAAGATTTGCTAAGTTCGCCAAAAGCTACTAAACCTCTGATTTTTTAATGATTGTCCTGATTTTTAGAGCAGGACTCCATTTCTAAAATTGAACATACCTGACCTTTTTAATGGCGATCTTACTTTTTGTCTAAACATTACTTGAATTACTTTTCATCCAGTCTTGGTTACATGGATGGATATCCCATTTTTAAGTGTTAATTATGTATACCTTTTATGGAACTCAGGGTCTTAATGCAAAATAAACACCCATCAGACGTAATGCAAAAGAGCTGTTCTTAAACCCTTTACCCCTTCTGCGGATTTATTTCAAGTCTAAATCACACGTATCTTATTATCTTTCACAAGCAGCAATAAAGATAATACAATAGAAACTAAGATATTCAAAACAATTTTATTGACACACAAGAATCTGACATGAATGTGGCGGTCATAATTGAAACAAAAATTGACTATAGTACAAAATAATAGCGTAACAACAGTACATATATACACCGCCACCATCCTCTAAACCGGACTATGTACATCAACCGACTACGTGAAAAAATGATGCCTGCTTTTTCCAATGTCTAAACTGAAGCAGCCAAAAACAGTAGATATAAATCTCAAAAACAACACTTTATTTGATGAACTGTATATACATCAGTTGCTAGCACTGCCTTCCAACAAGCTCCTCAAGCTACAAAGAGCCTCTGCAGAGAGGCTACAGCATCTCAAATTCCGCAGGCGTGGTGGCGATGGCTCTGGCTCGCTGTGATCAAGGGAAGAGAAGCATACAATGATCACCGTTAGATTGTCAAATGTGTTGAGGCGCAATGCTTCCATAACCAGGTCCCGGGCACATTTCTCAGGATCATCATGCCGCCTCAGGCCACGGCGAACCAGGCTAACTGCATGCTGACTTGACATCACATCCCAGATGCCATCACATCCTATGATGAGGAATTCATCTTCCTCTGTTAGAATCACTTGCCGTAACTCAGGCTCTGCAATCAAAGGTGAGGGGGCACCCTTAGGTAACTTCATGTCCCAGTCACCGAGTGCTCGAGTAACCGATAAAACTCCATTAAGATAACCATCGTCTATGAAGCCACCCAATTCTTCAACTCGCCTCCGCTCTGCCGGATAAATAGGTCTGTGATCTTGAGACATGTCAATAGCCTCTCCTTTGCGACATAGAACTGCTCGGCAGTCGCCAGCATTGGCCACCATTAGAAGCCTGAAAGCAGCATATAAAAGAAATCAGCAAAGCAAATATAGAAGGCATGCCATCTCCTTCACGCCAACAATATCCAATACATTAGAGATTGTAACCAGTGCAGAATCTTTCCCAATATTTACTGGTTCAGAGATAGGAATACAAGTTTAGAAGGACCATAAATCTTAACCAGTGACAGAGAGCACCTCAATCATGTAATAGATAGGGTTTGATTGAGGAAAAAAAAAACTGCACATTTTATTATATCAAATAAAATAGATTAATATATGCTAGTAGGCAACTATATACCTTCCAAATATCAAAGCAGTAAGAGCCGTGGTGCCTGATGAAGTATTCACACCGCAATCATCAGCCAAAGCTGAGTCAGCCAAAAGAAATGCCTTTCTGAGGGAATCCTCTACCTCTTGTAAAAATACGTTATTAACTTCAGATGTCTGTGGGAAACTGACATCCTCAAAGAAGAATTTTATCACATTTTTTCTTATGTAAGCAGCAGCTTCCGGTCCTCCGTGACCATCAAACACCTGAGAGATTTGCCAAAGCTCAATAAAATATAGAATAAGATTAAACAAAATCAAGAGACAAACATGAAAAGTTGATTACCCCATAAAAGGCACTTGGTGTGGGAAAGTTGTATAGTGATCCAAGGTGAGACGACAAGTCGTCTATCCTTATATGTTCATCTTCCATGTATCTCCGCGGCCCAATGTCAGCAAAACTACCAGAACGGATGCAAGGGATAAATTGCAAAATCGCAGATTCAAGAGCTGCATCCGAGATTCTTTCTGCAGACCTAACATCCTACACAAAAATAATCATATGCGTATCAGTAAAATGAGAATCAGAGTATCTAAGGACTAGACTAGATGTTACATATTTTGCATAAGTTGTTCATCATATAGAAACAATGATGCTCTAAACCAATATGGCCACAAGCTAACAATCAAATCAAAATCACAATTTCAAAAATCTAATGCAAAATTACGAGTATCTTCGTTGAGGATTTGATCTGCAAGAAACGTTGGCGAGCAGCAATGTTATCCTTCTAGTTACCAACTACAGTGAAACCCATCCCAGACAAATCCATCTCTACCAAGAGAATGAATTTCAAGTGATCAGAGAGAGATTCCCTAATAGTTGCTAACATACGACTAGGATCACCATAAATAAGCGATTAAACAAAACATATGTTCTTAAATTGAACAAGTAAAACGCTGTGAAGCAACCTAAACGAAATTAACACAATTCAGAAATCTTCACCTAAGCTCAATATATATATGCTGACTCCTAATCCAATTTTTTTTTTGTTTTATCATTTTATGTAGGGACCTTGATCCGAGAAAGAGAAACCAAAGAACTCACATAATTGAACAAGCGAATAGAAAGAAACCCATCATGCTCTATGACCATCTATGTCATCCTAACATCAGAAAAACACAGAATCACAAAAAAAAATATAGAAAGGGTGTCTGAAAAACTAACCTGTTGTGAAGTGAGTAACTCAGCGGAGACTGATTCAGAAGCACGAACTCGGTCAAAACTCGGAGGCGAGATGGCATCTGCATCTGCGATCTCGTGAATATCGCTTCCTTTATTCGGAAAATACTTCACATCCAACACACCCACGTTCTGTTGACACACAATCTCTGCTTCAGCCACCATGTTTCTATGCTGCTTCTTCCTCTAATCTTACCCTCTTCTTCTTCTCTCACGGAAACTTATTGAAACGACGAAATCCAACGTTGTGCCAAGCTGAATGCTGTGCAAGATTCCAAAAAGATTTGATTTTCAACTGTTTTATTTTTCTTATTTTCTGTTGAGGTTTCTGGGGAATTTTCTCGCGGTTTCTGTTGGGATTGGTGATCGAAAACTTCTGCAATACTGGTGTTGAAACTCAATATAAGTGGTTCCGATGGGATCCGGCGGCTGCCGGTAAACTTGTTTGAGTTACGGACACGTGCACTTTTTGCCACCATAGGATTCCAAGGAAGCGTTTGCCCCGCACGCGTTGAGGCTTCGCTTCACCGACACGTGACTGTGTTTGCGGGTTGACGTGTGACCTTTGAAGTGTTGGAGGGTTGCTTCCATGAAAAGACGGAAACACCCTTACACGTAAAAGCTGTCAGGTTTGACTTGGTGGTTGGTTACAGTTGGGACAGGGGTAACATGGGAAGTTCAGTTTTCGCCGACCAAGGATTTTAACTGTCTTCTCTTGTTCATACTTGTTGACGCGTTTGTGATGTATGGCATCTTTGTTTCACCATCGCCCTTTCTATATCTTCAAATCTTTTTTCATTTCTGCAGTAAACTTCCAAAGTTTAAATTAAGCTTTCTATAGTTACTTTTTATTTAATATTGTGGACCCTATTTTCCTTCTAAAAATATATTGAAAATGAATAATAATAACAATAATATCGATGAAGGGAGGTTCCCACATACATTTATAAAGGAATGTGAAGAAAATAAAGCTTGGTGTTGAATTAAAACAGCTATTTCCACCGTGAAAATCTAGTTGGATAGCTGGACAATTAATTAGCGTTTGGCATATTGTTGGAGATGAGAATAAACCGCAGGTTGATTAGTTAAAAGTATATAAAATGATACACAAATAAAAGAATTGTGGGTCTCAAGTGTTAAAATATTTTTCAATAAATAAGATATTTGATTTAAAAGCACAGTAATTTAGTATTTCACGTATTTTAGCATAATTTGGCACATAAACTTTAATGCATATATACGTGCATCTCATAAAATCTTGGAGTTGCTATGCCAAAAGGAGATTAAAACGAAAACACGCAAGTTCTTTAAGCTTGCAGAGATCTTTTATGACAGCATGCAATAGCCATATCAATATTAGGAAGCTTAATAATTATATATTTTCCTGAATTAGGAAGAGCCTAGTTCCCTTTAGGCCATGAACTAGCTACGTGTCGCATACCATTTTGTTAAAGAGAGATGGCAACTGGCAAATAATAAAACGACTGAAACAAAGATTCACGATGCAGCTTTGCCCACTATGCTACACACAACTTTAAAGGGGAAAAAATATTAAAAGTATGAGTAGAAAAAGTAAGTTTGGTGGCCCAACTTGCTAACCCACTATCTTATACTTTTACAGCGCCTCATTCATGCTTTTCATTTGTTGATTAAGCATATTTTTACGTCTAGCTAGTGCCCACAATCTTGACAAACTTTTAAATAGTTTAAGAATACTATCCTAAACGGATCATTAAGTATTAAATTTGTCAAATAATTTATTAAATATGCATTACGTGTTAAACTGCATTTAAATAATGCTAAGAGTTCAAATTTTGAAGAGAATTTTACTTATTAACTACTCTCTTTAGTTTGATAGATTAACGTATAATTATCCATGTGGAGATCATCTGATAAAAAATCTCTTCGCAGTTTCAATCTTACATGTAGTAAACAATTAGGAATAAGGATAAATATTGAGTTAAAGTTAATTAATTGAGTTTAATTACTTAAGTTCACAAAAGAACAAGTATTTAAGCAGTAATCATTTGTTTGACTTGTTGCTATGCCTTGTGATTTCTTTTATTCTTAGCAACACCTTCCTACATTGTCTTTGGATTGGCAAACTGAAATGATTTTAAATTTTAGTATTTGAATTCTTAGCAACACTTTTCTTACTAATCTAGGAAGATATTGTGGAATCAATATTTATTTCTACTTCATTATAATGTTATATAAACAATCAAATGGGAAAATTATTATATTTCACTTTATTCCATTTTATTTTACTAACTATTGGTACCTAAAATAACGTAGCTCTTATTTTCTGAGCATTCTAGATTGAATTTTAATAAAAATATATTAAAATATTTTACATTTAAAAAAAATAATCTTATAAAAATTAAATATTAAAATTAAGTACCACAACTGTATAATAATTCAATCATCTCAGTACTCCTCTCATCATTTGATGGCCCAGTGAAACATTGAGAAGAATATTCTCAAACGTTCACATTTAAATAGATAAACTCTAAATTTATTTTAATAGTAATAGTTATAACTTTTACATTAGATATATATTTATAAAAGTTTAACATGTTTTAAAATATATACAAAGATTAAGAATAACTTTTGAAAACTTGAATATTTAAAAATAATTAAGCATCTCGTATCACAAGAATCAAAGATGTCTCAACATAAAAAAAAAAAAAAAAAAAGTAATGATTTGCATTCGCTAATGATGTTTTAAAATCCAAACTAAAAAAATTGATTGGTCTCACGTTCTAAATCTTCTAAATTTTATCTGTGCTTATTGATAATTTTCCCAATCACTCAATTTGCAATAAAAATAAAAAACGTTAGCCAAACAGGCATTAACACTGCAAAGGCTTGAGCTTGCCAAATCCACTGTTTATCTTGCGTAACTATATGTCATTCTTAATGATTTCAAGATAATTTTGTTCTGTGGGTTATCTGAATTGAACCGTAACCCTCAAAATCAACACACGTATACCAAATGGAATGCAATATTAGAGCTAAGTGAACTTTTTTGTTTATCTAAAATACTACCCTATACCAATTTTGATTACTTTTTGGTGGTCCATCGTAGCTTTGTACTTAGTATATAGTAATTAGTCACTATTGTAGTAAAATTCTAATATTTTTCTCACGTCTTTGTTGTTTCCTTGGCATATAATTACAAGACATAAACAAACATAGATGGTTGTAGAGAAAAGGAAAGGAATAGAGGTGGGTGGCGTAAGAGAGACAGGGAAGTGAAGTAGGTACAATATTCCTGCTTTTCACAAATATCTTGGGAGTATGAAAATAGGTGGTGGCCAGCTACTGGTTAACATAACATGCCAACATCCTCATCTTATCCTTTTTTAATTACCTTTCATAACACCCGGCAAACCAAATGTTCATTTAATTGTTTTCCAAATTTGTGATCAGTGCTATCAATAAATAAATCTTTCATATATGCAAAAATGTCAAATAAGTTTTTAATTTAATGAACTGGGTTGAATTATATCATTGTTTTAACAACTCTAAATAAACTTATGAAAAATACAATCAACTTTAATTTAAATTGTATAAACATTTTTTCTTATACACATTTTAAACTTTTTAAATACTTTTTTTTATCACATCATTCATTTTATTTTACAATTTTTGTTTTCTATAGAATAAATATATACTTTGATTTTGAAAATAACACCTTATTTACTTATAATTTTTAAAAATATTATTATGTACAATTTAACACCTAAATAAATTAACTTATTTATATTTTTCCCTTTCACTAATTAGCATTAGTAAAGTGTTGTGAATTTATTGATATGTATAAACTATAAATATATAAGTATCACGCAAAAAAAATAATTTAATCCTTTAGAGTAAACTTTGTGTAAATTTTATTTCTAAAAATATTGATGTATACAAAATTTTCAATGTCATGATGTTTGTATAGAAAAAATATATGACACATTGTTTGTATAAAAGGATAAATAAAATAAAAAAAAATTTATGTTATTAAAAGCTTTCAATAAATTTGTTACCTCAAGCCTCAAATATCCTTGAGCTTGCTTCGATTCCTTGTGCACTCATTCACATCACAGGGCACAAACATAGGCAAATCTCATCGTTTAATTTCATCAACTACCTCTCGTTATTCTTCCCTTCTACCTTAGTTGCGCCATTTTTTCTATCTGCCATTGATTGCTAACGATAACAAGAGAGACGGCACATAATATGATAAGTTGTTAACTCTCAATATCTTTTATGCTTCTCCACTAGTGATTTAACACTTGCTCAAGTTTAAGGATTAGTTTAATGAAATATTTATTTATAGAAAGGATAATATTAGAGAGATCGAATGCTACTTTCTCTTTTTTGTGTCACCAAACATATGCATATTGTTGGACGTAGATAATCTTATTCTGATCAAAGTTTATGGCCCAAAACGAGAAAAGGGAAATGAACATTGGGCCATATTGGGTGTTCAAGTGACAATATTAAGTTCCTAATTGTACACTTCTTTAAAGAAGCCCACTGATGATGATCGACTCAAAATGAGGAAAAGAAATGGAAGCAAGCAGCATAATCTACGATGAGAGGGTAAAACCATCTATTCACAAAATTCTCTCTGCTTCAAGCATAAAAAGATATAATTTTCTAAAAATGAATGGCTTTCAGAAACCGGTGGCTTATGCTTCAGAGTGTAACTGTATTGATCAATTTACAGCTTATGTGACCAATTGTCTGTCTCACAACATTGAAAGAAAACAAAATAATTGAGATCATTATCATGTGTGTCCTACAGCTTATGTTTGGTTCAAGGAAAGAAGACATAGAGCCAAAGAGAGAGGATATTCATCATCATTATTATTATTATTTAATTAAAAAAACATAGGGAGAATGAAATGTTTAGAATTTCTATAATGTGCCCATAAACTATTCTTAGAGTTTTATTTATCCTCCATTCGCTTTTATAAAACCATTATTATTTTTCTTTCCTTTCAACCAAATTATATGATCTTTTTCTATCTTCGTTAAACCCAACATCATGTAAAGGAAGTCATTAGACAATAGAGATAGAAAGGAGGAGCATGAAAGGGGTAGGGATGTTTCCCACACAGTTGCATTTCGGAGATGATGAAGAAATAAATTCACTGTTCCTTCCCTGTTGAGGCATGCTTATCCAATTCCTCGGGGAAGGAGTGTAATATCATCCCCATCAACCAATGATCAATTAGACAATTGTAGAAGCCATGGGACATGCCTTAGGTATTCCAGCTTATGCTAAATAAACAAACAAATGATAAATTCCATTATATGATCCATATATTCAAGCAAGTTATATTTTACTAATATCTGTAACTAATGTAAGATAATAAATAACAGTAATACAGCTTCAAATAAAATTTATGTTAACGTTATATTTACTTATTATTTATATACATAAAAATATTCATTGATTGATTATAAATTTTTATTCATCTCTGTTGATTAATCATTTGTTTCTTTTAAAAAAATTAAAAGAATATAACATAATACGGAGTCAAGATTAGCAAAGGGTAAAAATTGAACAATGACCAGCGTTCAAAATTGATTTGAAAGTTTTGAATGTGCTAATCTTTAGCCAATTGGAGTTGCCAGGGGTCATCAAAATTCGCGAGGTGTAGTTGGGTCAAACCAACCACCCTTTTTTTATTCAGAAATTCAGTAAGTTTTCGTTGGGAATTTTCCAAAATAAATAATTCTATATTTGATTTTTATTGACTAAAATTATGAAATTTACAATTATTAAATAGGTTAAAACGTAAAAAAGTAAAAAGAAACTTTTGCATCCAATTGAGAAATGAGGATGATTACTATTTAATTTATTTTCTATGATTAAAGAGGAACAAGTCATACCTAAGTCTCCGGATCATCACACATAATAAATGATTTGCACATGATGTTTAATTAACCGTAAAGTTCGGTATTAGATATTCATAAACTGAAAACGTTTTTTTAAAATGTAACTTAACTCGCTCCACCGCCCCCAATTCTTTGCATTATTATTAAATAAAAATATATTTATTACTATTTTTTTTTTATCTGATTAGTAAAAGAATTTATAAATATAAAAGTAAGAGAATATCTGTTATTTTAAATAAAGGGACGGTAACAACAGTGCTTTATTATTGAACGGTCAAAAGAGCAAAGAGAGAGAGATGTGTTGTGTTGACTGTGGGATAAGAAGAGAGTGGGACACCAGAAAACAAAAAATGGTCAATGATTTGCATTTGTCGGATCTTCTTCACCTTTCTTCGTTTTCGCTCTCTTATTCCTTTGTCTCTTCTCTTGTTTCCGAATCCGCAGTTTCACTGAATCAGGATCCGTGAGTTTCTCTTCTTTTCTCTCCTTTTACGCATTCTTATTTCTCAATTTCCTCCCTCTTTCTTTCTTTAACCTAACTCGCCTCATGTTTCTTCCGCATCCTTTGCTTCTTTTCGCTGCTTAATTTCGTAATTAGGTTTCAATCTCACCTCTCTGCTATGCCGATTGCCACACACCACACTGCAATTTTATATGCCATTTTGGACTTCTTCTGTGTTTGTTACTAAAGTCAGAAACGATTAACATTGTATTTCGGATAATTCCTCTTCTTATATGAAGAAAGTTTAGTTGCGCTTTCACGTTTTTTTTTATATTGCTTTTCAATTGCAGACATGTGATGATTTCTTATGAACTAATTATGTTAGTTTCTTTGTCTGGATTCGTCTCCGTTTTAGTGTTCTACTAACAATTTTTGTCTTTGCGGGTGAATCCGTGATTCTACAATGCAGATTTTGGGCTAAAATTGGTGTTGAATATCTATTTTTCTCTTTAGAGTTCTGTAATTCGCTAGACATTGGTCTTTTTACTTGAGGTGGTGATTGAATTGAAGTTGCAGCAAGGTCTTCGCGATCTTTCTTTGCTTGAGGTGATGGCATCGGCGGGTGTAGCACCTGCTTCTGGATTAAGAGATGGAAATGCAAGTTCAGTTGCTGTAGATAGGTTGCCCGATGAGATGAATGGCATGAAAATTAGGGATGAAAGGGTAAGATAAAATGTCTATTTTATCTTAGTCTGTTTGCCTGTTCACCTTCTCGTCACCTTCTCGTCACCCACTTGAGAAGCTTCCTGGTAAATTTGTTGTCTACTGATGTCGTAACTTGTTAAACGAAATGCAGGAAATGGAAGCGACTGTGGTGGATGGAAATGGGACTGAAACAGGACATATAATTGTTACTACCATTGGTGGTAAAAATGGCCAGCCAAAGCAGGTCTGTTTATGCTATATTATCTATTACTTGGACAATGAAATTGTTGTCTATTTGCATTTGCATGGTTACTCATGTTGCGATGTTTTCATGATTGTAGACAATAAGCTACATGGCTGAGCGTGTTGTTGGACATGGATCGTTTGGTGTAGTTTTCCAGGTTAGTCCCTTGTATATTCTTTACTGTGCTTTTTTTTAGTTGGATAGTAATGAAGCTTTGCTGTATATTGATGTTTACTTTATCTTGTCTTGATTATGTAGGCAAAGTGCTTGGAGACAGGTGAAACTGTGGCTATAAAGAAGGTTCTTCAAGACAAGAGGTACAAGAACCGGGAATTGCAAACCATGCGCCTTCTGGACCATCCCAATGTTGTTACTTTGAAGCATTGTTTCTTTTCAACTACTGAAAAAGATGAGCTTTATCTTAACTTGGTGCTTGAGTATGTTCCTGAGACTGTTCATCGGGTGATAAGGCACTACAACAAAATGAATCAAAGAATGCCATTGATATATGTGAAACTCTATTTTTACCAGGTATATTTCTTCTATGTGCTATATTGAAATTAATTTTTTCCTTTCCTGTAAATATCAAAGAGATTTTATGAAAGCTACTGTGTACATCACGTTGTTCTTATTCCTTCTATTTCTTATTTTGTAGATATGTAGAGCACTAGCTTATATTCACAATTGTATTGGAGTGTCTCACAGGGACATAAAACCTCAAAATTTACTGGTATGTTCACTTGGAAACTTGTTCCTGTAGTTTCTTTTGTTTTCTGTGTTGATCTGCATTGTGCATCTTAAATTAGTGTATGAGCTTGTACTGGTTCACTTCTGTATGTATTTTCCCCATTTGTAAAACTACTTTACTTTCATATCTGATGCAGTAGTTCATGCATATATCTTTTGGATGTTTTCTGCTAACAGGTCAATCCTCATACCCACCAGCTGAAACTTTGTGACTTTGGGAGTGCAAAAGTCTTGGTTTGTTTATTCTCAACCTGGAAATTTTATTTTATTTTTTCACTATGTTATCTGATGTATTATCAATATCATGAATAAATTTTGTGTATATTTGACAGATCAAAGGGGAACCAAACATATCTTACATCTGTTCTAGGTATTATAGAGCTCCTGAGCTTATATTTGGTGCAACTGAGTACACCACGGCCATTGACATTTGGTCAGCTGGTTGTGTACTTGGAGAACTATTGCTTGGCCAGGTATCTATCTAGCTTTTAAGTATGTTTGATTTTGGTATAAAATTCATATATGTACAGAAGCTAAGAATGAATTCATATTGTTGTCAGCCTCTCTTTCCTGGTGAGAGTGGGGTAGATCAGCTTGTTGAAATTATCAAGGTAAGATAAGTTCTAAAGATTGATATTTTACTTTGTAAAATCCTGCATTCTGTTAACTGTCATTTTGTGTAGTTTGATATTTTTGTTGCTTTCAATAATCACCACTTGAATGTATGGTGATTGTGTTTACATGTATGGAAATATCCATGATAATAGTCCCTTGGTTTATTCTTTCCTTTTGCCTTGGTCAATCCCATATTTATTTCAATTACTTCTAAGAATCTGAAGAATTTTGGGATACACATGCAGGTTTTAGGTACCCCAACAAGGGAAGAAATCAGGTGTATGAATCCCAACTACACTGAGTTCAAATTTCCACAAATTAAAGCTCATCCATGGCACAAGGTTTTGCGATGTTAGCCTTTCCATTTATACATATTATTTCATAGACATGTTCTTATATATGAACCTTCATCATCAGATCTTTCACAAACGTTTGCCTCCTGAAGCTGTGGATCTTGTCTCAAGGCTACTGCAATACTCTCCAAATCTCCGATGCTCAGCTGTGAGTTTAAATCTTGTTGAAAACACCAGACTGTCATGTTCATGATCATTTTATGGCTGCCGTTCTTGGTAGTTGGTATAATCATTCAATGATAAGTAATGGACTTCGTAATTTGTTTTATTACAAAACTTCATCGATATTTTTTCCCTTGGAAAATTTCCGTGTAGTTTTTCTTAACAAGCCTGCATAATATGTATCCTGTGCAAATGTAGTATATACTATAGGGCATGGCCTGGAAAGTTCCTTCTCTTTCCCGGATGATTTTTTATCAATAATATTTCTATAATTATTTCCAATTGAAAATTTAATTAAATTATGTTGTTTGTGCTTTGGGCAATTTAGGTGGAGGCCCTGGTTCATCCATTCTTTGATGAGCTGCGTGATCCAAATACTCGCCTACCCAATGGGCGGTTCCTTCCTCCGCTATTTAACTTCAAAGCCAATGGTAACAACTAATTCTCTGATGAATATTATCTTATTATATCTGTGTATTGAATTGCCTTGAATGGCTCGTGTAATACTGGTATTGCTGGTGATCTGACACAGAGCTTAAGGGAGTGCCTTTGGAGATGCTGGTGAAATTGATTCCATCTCATGCAAGAAAGCAGTGTGCCTTGTTTGGGTCATAGTGTAGCCTTGTGTAAATATTATCTACTCTGTCTGTAGAAGTGTATGTAATCTGCTTCAGGTTGTTAATACCCCTCACCATCCAAATAGTTATTTTCTGCCTGTAGAAAGCTGTTTGAGAAGATCCTTCCTTAAAGTTGATTTCTCTTTAGGATTTAATTGGTGCCCTTATCTTCAAAATTTAACCGGTCAGGTTTTATTAAGTATTAATTAGAAGAACCATTGGTTACTCAAAATGATATACTTGAACACTATCACAATGTGATCCGGGGGAGGGGATGTTCTAAAGCTTGTTTTGATATACTCTCGCCTCTCCTCAATTATGAGAAATTTTTCTTTGGAAGATTATCTTGCTTTCAAGGAATTGTTGCTTATATTCTCGTAATATTCGATGTTGTTGATGTAACTAGCGTACTTTAATGGTCAATGCTAGTGGTGGTTGGTTGGAGAACGAAAAGGAGTAGGGTTACTACTTACTACCTACTAAGGAGCGAACACATGCTCATAATACCTTCTCTGTTTTGGTTTATTCCCCTGCGTCAGGTTGTGAGGACTTCCGTTCCATTCTATCCTTTTAACTTAATAAGAAAATCTGAATAGATAAGTATACGTTGTTAATTTACGTTATCTAGATGTTAATAGTATAAATCCTGCATGTCTATTAAAGGGCAATGCCACGGAATGATTGAGTGGCTTCACCGTCCCTCCGCCCATTCAAGCAGCATAACTTGACCATAACAATGGCAACGTGTTAATTGTATAAATTCTGCCCATTTATTTTGTAGAAAAGCTCGTTTCGGAAAATTATAAATAAGAGATTAAAAACTTGTGAGTTTCTTAAAGACAAGCTAAATTAAATAAGCATATACCCAAAGATTTGGTAAAGCAACCAATAATTGATTTATCACTATTAAATTTAACATAAGAACATGATTATTTATTGAAACTCAAATGAATGACTAAAGCTTATTAAATAGGAAGTGCAACCGTTCCTTTATATGTGTTTCATCTCAATAAATTTTAACTATCAATACATGTGTAATAAAAAAATGTTATTAGTACTTTTCCCGTGTTCTTTTTTCGAATACTGGCAAAAGGATAAACAATTTATATTGTCTTAAGTCTCAATAATATCTATTTTAAAAACAAAAAATTATATCTATCCACTAAATTTGAGTCAAATTTTCTTCCTTTTATTTCGTTAGAATTAGAATAGAATAGTTATTCCTTCATCTAAACTTTTTAACATTTAAAGGATAAGTTAGTATATGTGTTGGTCGAATTAAACCATCATACTGGCTAAATTTGTAAAAGAAAAGAGAGTTTAAAATTATATATTGACTTTAAGTTATTTATTTCAAGTTGCATAAATCAGAAGCACTCTGAATTTGTATTTGATTTATTTTTTAATATTCTTATCTTAGAATTGTAAAACATTTAAATATTTATTTTGAAGAGTGTGGAAGTAGATTAATTTTCACATAATAGTTAGCCGTGGATATTTTTTTTCACTAATTTTAGAGTTTTCACATTAATTATTATATTTTAAATGTGTTAATTTATTTTTTTAATTTATAGAAATATCTCAAGAAAAAAATGTCATTTTTTTGTTAACAATATATGTAAACGGTGTTGAAAGTCAAGTATAAGTAAAGAAGATAAGTAATATATAAGTGAATAATATCCTATAATCTTAAAATTTTGGATTAACGTGGTATCTAATATCTAAGTACGTTTGTATGATTTGTGCGGGAGCGCTCTAAACACATAGATATTCAACGTTATAAAGATGTGTATCAGAAATACGACGAAAGAGATCAGTCTCCTGGGAATTTTCAAAACAATCTATTCGAGTAAAAGAATGTCAACTTGTGTAGGCCAGTTACTGCAAAAGTCAGCCACTTAGCTCTAATTAAGGTCCACTTTTCTTTATCCTTTTGGGATACGTAAAATCGTTTAATTGAAACACTGGATTCAGTTTTAGCTGCAACCTTTTGCATGTTAAATGTAGTTTTTAGGATCACTAGACATATAGCTCGTGCTTTAAGCTGGAATTTTGATCCATCGAACGTGCTATCTGATGAAAATGCAAAAATTTCTTCTCTAAAAACGAAAACACAATAATAATAATTTTTACAGCCTCTATGCCGGTTATTGAGTTTGAGAGGCCAAGCGAAACCAAGTCAGACAAAAATGTAAACTGTCATCATTAGCTATATCAGTGACAGAAGAAACCGAACAACCGTGACCAGAAATAGTGGTATAAATTTGGGCGGCGATAGAAAGATAGAGACCAATATTTTGAAGTGCTGTGAGTGGAAGCAAAGCAAGAAGCATGAATTCTCAACTTCAGAGTGGATGGGCGGTTACAGATATTGACAAATCATTTTTTAATTAATTTCCAGACGAAGCCTAATTAACTATGATACTTTAAGGACTGCTTTTATTTGTTTTTTAAACGGAAATTTAGTTCAGCAGCATGCAACTTGCTATTATTTTTACACTCACATGACTATAGGTTAATAGTCCATTTTCTTCTTATAAAACTTACCTCACCAACTCTCAATAGGATTTAGATTTGGTACCTTATGTATAAAGCTATAAATATTCCATTTCCTCTGGTAGCATTCATTTTGATTGAATTGTGTCGTCGCCATATCAATATTTGTTGGGTGAATATAATAACATCGTTCATGCAGACTCATTAATTCTCGAGTTTATTTGATAATATAGACACTATGTGGTACTATTATTTGTGCAAATTATTTGTGACTGATTTTCCATAAACATGTTCTTTGGACCATCAAAATGGGATACGAGAAGCATATATATATATGGTATATTCAAAACAAGCACATTGGATATAGCTCTCTAACTGTACCTGCTATTCGAGGTGTGTAGGCGGATTTTTTAACATAACCTCCCTCTGCAGGAATTATACTACTTCCGTAATTCAGCTATCAAATATTCATAGGCAATTTAATGATGAGTGTCATTCAATATATATTCTTCATAATTAGTCAGTCTTTAAACTTATTCTAGCTTTAATATGCGTATATTAAGAAATGCTTAAATAAACATAATGCGCTTAAGTGTGTAAATGTACACCTCGATCACATCATTCATGGTTTGATAACTATCATAGCTAACTGATAATCATCATAATTTAATATAGTTAATAATGTGATTGACTCAATTTACTGAACTAAATTTATGCATTTTCTTTTAATAACTAAAATTTTGCTATATTAGTGTCTTAAAACACGGATTAATTATAAACATTTAATATTTTTAACTACTTAAAAATATTTGTTGCAGTATTAATATGATAAAAACTTCATATTTATTTAATGTTATTTTTTTTCCTTAAAAAATGTTATCCATAACAAATCCCTTGTAGTTATGGGACAAAATAGTAATGGGAAGAACATGGGAGGCTTGTCGACTAGCCAGCCTGACTTCTACTTATTCCTTTTTGCTCTTTTCAGAATTGTCATATGCGGACTCCACAATCTCTAAAAGAAGGGCAATGCCTATGAAGTGTTTGTCGGTTTCCACTTCTAAAACCATTAAAAAATTGGTAATGTGCATATGAAGCTTACCACATTGTCCACTATGACTTGTTAGTATAAATAGTAAACTCAGGTTTTCTGATTCTCAAAATTAAACTTGTTGCAACTTGTGTTCTAGTGCTCTTAGTGGTCACTTGTCCAAGGAAGGTAGAACCACTGCTTTCTTTCAATTTCCCAAAACTCAGGGTACCCAATTGGTCCAAAATTCTAGTCTTTATTTCTTTCATCTAGTTGTTGACACTTGACAGTCACAAAGCCAATTGGAATCTCAAGTTTTCAAATTTTTAGAATGAGACAATCTCATATTTTACCACTAGCATTATTCTCCTTATATTTTCTTACTTTATTTCTTTCCACCCAAGCTAGGTACCATTTCCATACAAAACACAAGCACTCACACTCTCATAATTCACCTGAAATTTCACCATCTCTAGCCCCAATGCCTCCACCTTCTTTCACTCCTGATGATGCTCCTAGTCCTAGCCCCACTGTTAATGACAACTACCATAATGCAACTAACTTATTTGATGTACGAACATTTGGAGCCATTGGAGATGGAATAAGTGATGATACAGAGCCATTCAAGATGGCTTGGGACACTGCATGCCAAAGTGAATCAGAAGTTAACACTATCCTTGTTCCCCATGGTTTCTCCTTCATTATTCAATCTACTATCTTCACTGGTCCTTGTCAAGCTGGCTTAGTACTAAAGGTAATGTAGTTACTCTTCACCTTTTTGGTTTTTCTTACATGGTTAAGGGTAAAGCTCATTAATTGACTCTGCTGGCCCACATGGAGAAGGTTGATGGTACTCTCATGCCACCTGATGGACCAGAATCTTGGCCAAAGAACAATAGTAGGCGTCAGTGGCTTGTCTTTTATAGAATCAATGGGATGTCACTTGAAGGAAGTGGTTTAATAGATGGGAGAGGAGAAAAATGGTGGGACCTTCCTTGTAAGCCTCATAAGGTATTGATGATTTAAAAATATTAACAAAGCAAAAAAAAAAATTCATTTTTTATGCTTCAAACAATATCTGATCCCTTCAAATAAATGCCACAGGGACCTCATGGGACAACATCCCCTGGACCTTGTGACAGCCCGGTTGTAAGTTGTCAAAACTCAACCTTTATTTTGTGCATAATTTGTCCATAAAAAAAAATTATTGTGTGTACATATTCTGTTTGTGATTGAAAATATAATTGCATATTCATCTATAAGTATTCCATATGTTGCAGGCCATGAGGTTTTTCATGAGTTCCAACTTGACTGTACAAGGACTTAGGATCAAGAACAGCCCTCAGTTCCATTTCAGATTTGATGGATGTCAAAGCGTTCACGTTGAATCAATCTACATAACAGCCCCAGCACTAAGCCCAAATACCGATGGAATACACATAGAAAATACCAATGATGTGAAAATATACAATTCTGTCATTTCTAATGGTTAGTCACAAAAATAATCCCCTAGTTTTCTCTATCTATTGCAACATCAAAAGGCATTTTATGAATTATCCTTTTATAGGTGATGATTGCGTGTCCATTGGATCCGGTTGCCATGATGTCGATATTAAGAACATCACATGTGGACCTGGTCATGGGATTAGGTAATTTGTTATTTATTTTCAAGAGAAAGGTCTATACATTGTCCCTGTTTTTATTTCTTGCAAGCTTGTATGCATTTTCTCTAGTTAACCTTATTAATTTTTTCAGCATTGGTAGTCTGGGAAATCACAACTCTAGAGCATGTGTTTCAAACATTACGGTGAGGGACTCAGTTATAAAAGTGTCAGATAATGGAGTTAGAATAAAGACATGGCAAGGTGGATCAGGATCAGTATCAGGAGTGACATTCAGTAATATTCACATGGATAGTGTAAGAAATCCCATTATAATTGACCAATTCTACTGCCTCACTAAAGAATGCACCAACAAGACCTCTGCAGTATTCGTATCGGATATAATTTACACAAACATAAAGGGAACGTATGATATAAGGCACCCACCTATGCATTTTGCCTGCAGTGACTCTATCCCATGCACCAACTTGACTCTCTCAGATATTGAGCTTCTTCCAGCTCAAGGAGACATTGTGCTTGATCCTTTCTGTTGGAATGCCTATGGAAATTCTGAGACACTAACTATTCCCCCAGTCTCTTGTTTGCTGGAAGGAATTCCTCAGTCTATTTCTGGCAATGACATAGATCACTGCTGACCCACCAGAATCATATTCTATAAAACAAAAATGTGTGTATGTATATAGATTTAATTACTAGGGAAGTAATCATAGAATATAGTGTGGTCTTGAGTCTTGTATTGTGATTGTTGAGGAGTTGTGTTTTAGATGCTCCTCCCAAATTGTTAACTATCTCCTATAGTTATAATTATGTCAGGTTTGAAATGCAAGTTTGGACTAGTTCATATCCAAAGCGCTTTAATTTGTAACTACTACATGTCTAATTATATATTTTGCAGTGGCATGCTGTTATAAATTTGAAACGCATGGGGTATGTTAGGATCTGAGTTTGGAAAAGATAGAGGATAGCATTAATTTTGGTTAAATTACACTATGATCAAATTTGAATAAATTTATAGAGAAATTTCTATTAAAAAAAGTATAAAAATAAATAAAATTTTTTAAAAATTAAATAAGAGAACTCTCGTCAAAACTTCTAAAAAAAAAGAAAGAAAAATACAAGCATGAGTTAGAGAAGTTTTATTTATTTTTTAAATGTTTTTTCTACAAAAACTTTTTTAAATCTTTATCCAAATTTAACCGATATTAATATAGGCAAGTGCTTAATGAATAAAGATTGCTGAAAGGGTATACTATATATAAACTTCCATTTTTTACTTTTATTAAAATGATTTCTCTCCATTGAAACTCGCACTTTAACTGAATATATATTTACATTCCTTGGAGATGAACTGGAACGTTTTCCCGCATGAGCGAGGTCGTCAATTATTGCGTCTAGACTTTGGTTTGAACAATTATGAACACTAGTTGCAGAACTGTGAAAATGGGTCAAAGATGAAAAGAAAAAAGCATTTAAATGTCACTAGTCGACCTCAGAATTTGGACTAATATTTATGCATAAGGATGGATAGATCACTACACCCCCAAATTGAGTATACGAATTAATATATTGTAATATAGCAACGAATGGCACCTGTGATGATACAGCAGATTAATGCATCCTTGAATTCACTGCTTATAAATCATTTATCGCACTCAGCTTGGTTTGTTAGATCACTCCATGAGCTTTACTATATTTTTTTATTTATAAGTTTAATAATTTGTTATTATATTATAAAATAAATATTAAATAAAAAATTATACATTCATTATCTTAAAATATATTAAATATCTTTTATGTAATAATTAGGAGGATTTATCAAAATACAGAATACAAAGATTTGGAAATTATTTTTCCTCTATACATGTGTTGTGAAAATTATGCTAGTCAATAAATCAACTACATCCTCATAGTTATATATTTCTTCCGTTTTACTATGTCTCTTTGAGTATTCTAATTTGTTGTAAAATATTTTCAATTATATGTCATTTATTAATATTTCATTTAAATATCTAAACGAAGTTATAACAACATTATAACTCTTTTAATAAAGATATTTTAAAAAATATTATAATAATTTATATAATTAATATTTGTTAAAAATGTATACGTTACTTTAAAAAATAAATAATATGAGACGAATAGAGTAGTTTCTTATTGTCAGCTATCTCAAATGACTAACTTCTTTAGTGGTACATTGATGAGAAAAGTATTTTAATTTTCAAGCATACAAGAAAGCTTTAATTTTGAATTGATTTAGGTTTACATATAAAGTTTAAATATTTGGGATTCCACGCTCGTCTTCGCTCGCTGTTTTGGCAAATAAAGACAGATACTCGATGAATATTTAATTTCTTTTTATAGAGCTTAATGTTTAAAAGAAGCACAGAACTATTGTGTCCATGAAAATATTATATTATAACTTGGTTGAGGTTGAACAAGTTATTCTTAAACCACAAAGTAGAAGATTCCAAAGCTGCCTTGGCATTTGTCTCTTAAAAGAAGATTAAGGTGATGACTGATGAGAGTATAAACAAATTAAAGAAAAACAATGGAAACATATGGGGGAATCTAGAACAAAAAGGGAATGATGATTGCATAATTATCAGTGAGCGTGGGTGATTTCAAGAGGATTTGTAGTCCATAACCATGACCTTCACTTGTAAGTTGCGTTTGGAAGTGGAGGGAGTGACAAATTTTCTTTTTCAATTTTGCACGCGCGGTGGCCACTCTAATCAATACTCAAGAGTGTCTTTTTATTCGAAGGAAGGTATTCTTGCATTCTCAGAAAAAGTAACACTCAGTGCACGGGCTAAATCCAATTGCCACCCACCAAACACACCTTTTCTCCAAGCTTTCCAAAGGGTTATTATTGTTATTACCATAGATTGCAAGACATGAAACATAGGGATGAAAAGGATATTAGCATGCACTTGCTACATTGGGATTCAAGGAAACTAATTTTATTTTATTACTACCTCTTTTTCCTACTCCACTTGATCTTCTTCTAGTCCTTTAATTATTTTGCACCACTTTGAAGATTGGTCATTCTATACACCCTTATACTCAAGGTGTTACAGAATCCATTTTCAGATATATGAAGATACAAAGATCAGATCACATGGAATGGTAAAGCATCTTGGCCAACACCATTTAATGTATAACTATATTCCAAAAGGCCTTTAGGGAAAAAATTAATAATAAGAACAACTGGGAGGTTAAGTGAAACATAGGTAATGACTTGGGGATTAGTTTTGGCGCGGCTTCAGAAAAAAAGTAAAGGGTTTGTAGTTCCTACTGCTTTATAATTTATCGAGGGATATCGCATGAATATGAGCATGGAAGGCTGTCCAAAGTGAAAGAAAAAGGTAGCAAAAGGAATCTAAGCCACTCAAAAGGGCATCTCCTATCTACCCACTACAAGTTTAGTTTATGTCTGTGCGACTATAACTTCATTTCTTATGAATATAAACACCTAAATAGAGCAAACACAGCACTTTCTTTATCCATTATGATGTTTGAAGAGACTTGTAACTTGTAAGAGAAGAAAAGGCAAATTTTTCAGAAAAAAAGAGTGGGGAGGGGCTAAAAAAATGATTTAAAACTGCAGAATAATTAATTGGGTTTTATCATATTATTTTATTTTTGGGTATACTACTTGCATTTTATTAATCTCGCGTTTGACAATCTATCTACTCAAAGGCACAAAATGAACATAAAGGAGACTGGCAATGGGGAAGGTTTGATGGCTTTTACGCACACCAATTCTAAGGGCAATAAAAATGGGTACCAGTGCTGAAGTTCGCATGAATGCACAGTGTGCTTATTAGTAGTAAACCAGTGAAGATGAAGGGTTATGAAACAATATCGAGCTAGATATTCAACATATTATAATGTTTCTTAGTTCTTAACATTGCTTTTTAGCGTATTCTCAAGATGTCGATTTTAACGCTGTGTCCGACAGAAGTAAGTTCCTTCCTATTTTTGGGAGATATATATAATTAATAAACAGAACTCACTCTACTTAAAATATTATCACTAATCAGTAATCATCTACATAGAAAGAGAAAATTCCACTAAATAGTTTTAAAGTATAAATAATACTGATGACTAGTGTCCTAAAGCTTAACAAATTAAGAGTAAAAAACAAATTATTAAAAATTGTGTTAGATTCTATTAGAAATTACAAAAAAATGTTTATACTTCTTATATTTTTAGATAAAAAAAATTAATTTCTTCAACAGTATCCTGAGAATATTTGTTAGTATTTGTCTAAAAGTAGTTCCTCTTATTATTAAATTACATTAATTTACGGACACTTATTTATATCTTTAAGTTATTTGCTGAAAGGAGAACTAGATTTGAGACTCAAAACTATAAATTTTGAAAGTATTGTAAGTGTTAGAGGCAAGAGCAAATCCGTTTAACACCCTAATTTAAAATAGATTTTGCTGACCTTATTCTACGAGTATTGATAACAAATAATTAATAATAATAAATTTTTATTAAAAATAATAATTATATTTTTGTAACTTTAATATAATAAATGTGTTTTTTTTATTAAAAAAATTATTTATGAATGTTTGAACTTAAACACTAAGGTTAAGAAAACCCTTTAAAATAATATATATTTTATGCAGTTTTGAAAAAAAATTAATAAAATTTCAAAATAAATTTTATTGTTCCTGATGGTTTGTTCGCCAATGTTGATCAATGTACATTAGTTATAACTTCCTTAAGTTTTGATATTCAAGTTGTTTTTAATTAATTAAGTTTACTTAGTTTTAAAATATATAAATTTAATTTTTCATTAATTTTATTCTACTTAAAATTTTTAATTTTATCCTATTTTTAAAAACTTAATAATAGAATCAGAACATAAAATGACTTCTGAAGTTTAATAATAATAATAATAATAATAATAATAATTATTATTATTATTATTATTATTTGAAGAATCGTTCTTCCTCGACTGATTTTTGTCATAGAAAACTAACTTAGGTTTAGAGAAAAAATGATTTGTATAAAATGAAAAATTAATTACTGCAGTTAAAAGTGCTTAGTAAAATGTGCATCAAAGATACTATTGGTTTAATTTAGAAAGTCGATTTCAAATCAATTCCTAACTCGTAAACGGAAAACTAATCAATCACTTGAAAGTTTGAGGTATAAGATTAAAAAAAAAAATTGAAAAATTAAGAGTATTTTTAATTTACTTTTTAAAAACAATTTTTAAAAAATTATGGTATAAAAAATTATAATGAGATTTGAAAATAAATGACCAAAAAACTAAAAACCTTTTCTTTTTTTTTTTGTCATGAACGAAGGTCATGTTTGGTTTCTTCACTTCAACACCTCTTTAGTTCCCAGAATTGGGCCTTAATGCTAGGTTTCAGGAATTAAGATGTCCATTTAGTGTAACATGGAATTCTGACCAAAAAATGGGTGTAACATGTAACATGGCTTTTGGGCCATTGGCTTAAATTCAGTACATTAAGCTCTTAAAAGATTATTTTGATTTGTTATTCTATAATTATTTTTTATCCAACTTATTCCTCTAAATCAGCGTTGTTTTGAGCTCTTTTATTTAGCCTTATATAGTGGTAGTTGTCATTTATATTTTAAATCTTATAATATTTTGAGAATGAGGTTTAAGTTTAAAAAAGGAAAGGAAGATAGTTTATTAATCTCAAATATGATAATTTTCTTGAATTTAAATAATAAAATAATAAACTAACATAAATTTAATGTCGTAATTAGTTATTTATTTTTATAAATATTTTGTATTATTTATTTAAAAGTTATAACTTATTCTTAATCTTTATATTTTTATAAGATTTTTAATTTTGTTTTTTAAATTTTAATTCCTTTTTTTTAGAGAAAAAATGACTTTGTCCTCTTGTGAACGTGGCTTGACAAAAATGAATAAGTGTATAAAAATTGACATATTGCAAAATTAGTAAATTATATCACTATTAAGGATTAAAAATATTAAATTTTAAAAAATAAAATAAAAAATATATTTAAAATTGTTCTGATTCTCTCTCTCTCTCTCTCTCTCTCTCTACGTGCTTTGTTTGAGAAGTTAGGACACGCAATATTGATTTTTTTTACATGTTATCTAAAATATCTTTAGCTTAGATGTAGGTAAATTAACTAAGTTAGGACTTGTAGATTCTCTTACGTGTGAAAGTTTTAAACCCTTTCTTCTAAGGCAATGATAAATCTCACTTTAAACTTATACTAAATTGAATTATTTAATTAAACTATTTCTTCTTCACATGAGTTAACATTTTTTTATGCTTTTGTTAAAGTGGCATCATGAGAATTGATTTGATATCTTTGCTTTCATGTGAACAATTGATGTATGGTATTAATTCTTGAGTAATTCACGAATCTAGAAAAAATAAAGTCGAATAAATTATGCTTTTCTTTTCAAGTGCTCTTTTTGAAATTTCTTGGAGTTTTCTATTCCTTGATTTTTAAGAATGAAAATATACTAATTAAGCATTCTTAATCAATACACGAAATTCTGGATTAGAAAATTAATTTACTCGTGCATAAAAGTCTACATAAATTAAGTTACTTGCAAATTATTTAATTATTTAATTATAAATATATATTCCAACTCACTTGTTTGATTAAATAAATTAACTTGATTTTCAATTTAAATTTAATAATAATATTATTACATATGCCTTCACCATGTTCGTACATTTAACATTAAACAAAGTGTATAAATTATTGGTTTGAATTAAATAAAAATAAAAATCCTTTTTATGTACAAGCCAAATTTTTAATTCATTCAGAAAGCATGGTTGGTTTATTGAGGGACAAAAGGAAACTTGAAAAGAAGAAAAGGCTTACTTGTTTGGAATAACCTCGAATAAAATAAAAAAGATTGTAGGGTCTGGGTTTTGTATTTCTCCACAAATTACAAAGAAAACAGTGGGAGAGGAGGGAACTTTTATAACACTGACAAATGCTTATATTTTGATTTATGTTTTTATATTATAAAAATTGAAATGTCATTTTTAACATATTATACTTTTTTTTATATATTTAACCAAATAAATTACTTAAATCTTAATTTAAATACTCATTTATTTTCTATTGTACTTATGCTTTTCTTTCTTTTTCTTACATTACATATAATATTAGAGAACAAAGAGTATTTCACATTATTTATCTTTACATCTTCATTTACACTCATCTTAAAGGAATTTAATCAGTAGAAATTATGAATAAAAGGTTAAATTTTAGATAAAAAAAAATAAATGCGCATAATTTTAAAAAATCTAGGAATCAAACTAGGCAAAAAATAAAAGAAAACTCGATATATTAAAGTAATAATGTAAAGAATTTACAACTGAAATATAGAAGATGCTTTATACTGTAATATAGTAAAAAAGTGAGTAATGTATGTGTACTATTTGGATATAAAAAAATAAAAATATAATGACTTTAGGTACCGAATATAGTGCTTGGACAACATAAACACGTCAATATCAGTGCACTCTTTCAGCGTAGCTTTAAGGACCAACATTGTATTGACTTGGGTGAAAGCTATGTACCCCAAGTCAGGCCTTTTTTCTTTTTATATTGGAAAAAGGAAAAAGCAACACACTTCTTGTTGTAATCATGCCACGTCACCCCATCGCTTCGCTGACGAAACACCAACATCCACGTTTTCAAATTAATATTTCTACAAATAATTGATATTTAATATTTACACTCTTTTTTTAAAAAAATTTTACCAAACACTATGAATAACATTTTTCTTTTCACACCATTATCAAGTTTTGAAATATATAAGACAAACATAGCGATTTGTAAAGATTCGCCAACTCCTTTTTTTTTTCTACTTTTTCTTTGTGAAATGCCAACCGCTCAGTTCATACTTGATATCAATTACACGTTTCAATTTTTACTATTTTACGTGATATATATAATCAATTTTAATTAATTGACAATATAAAACTCTTTATAAATAGTGTAAAATATACTAAAAGTAAACTAAAAACATAATTTTGACATACTAATAATATAACATTTTTATACTACTCTAACTCACTAAAATATATGATAAGTATACTTTCAGAATTAATTATTAAAAGTAATAATTAACCGTTACCAAAACTTTTTTTTTTTTCTCGTGGGAGAACTTATAATACGAAGACTTAGTTTGACTTGGTATAGAACAAAAAGCTTTTGTGGCATATTGGTCATTTAGATTCCATAAAGAACAATGGAAAAGCTTCGTAATGATGGAGAGCCACCATCTTATATGTCCTTATATTGATCACTTTGAAGCAGCAAAGAAGCAACCAAGAAACTACTTGCTGCTGTCTCCTTCTTCTCTCAAAACCGCACGCGTTCTCTCTTTTTCTCCGAACCTTCCTTACTTCTTGTCACCAATTTTTTATTCTCAACACCCTTTTGAACATGGATATCAGTGCCAGTAACAGCAGCAAGAAGAGGAAAATTTGCCGCGAAGAAGGTGAAGAAGACGAGGCCAAAATGGAGACGTTCTTCGCTTTGGTGAGAAGCATCCGCGAGACTCGTGATCGATGGATCGGTTTCAGGTCTGGTGAAGGCAAGAATAAAAGGAGTAATAAAGAAGAAACTAGAGTTACGGTTTGGAAACCCACGTTTCAAGTCGAAGATTTCGCGGAGCAAGTACAGAACGGAAATCGAGACCCAAGTTTGGGGTTATTAGAAGATGCGTCTCGGAGCAAAGAGTGTGGTAAAGAAGAAGAGGACGCGGAAAAAGGTATCGACTTGAGGCTCTCACTTTGAATATGAATGGACCCAACTAGATAGAGCACGTACTGCTACTGCATGTCCTTCTCAAGTGATCGTAGGTATTGGCTTTGGCTAAGTGTTATATTGGTGCATGAATCATGATGAGAAACATAGAGCCATGTCTTTAATTTCACCAACTTCATTGCCACTGCTGTGCAACTTGTAGATTAATTATTTAGTTAATATGTTTTTTTTGTTTTTGTTTTTTCTAAGGCTTTCAGTGATCAGCTGTACTTCTGAACTTCAACAAGTGAAAGAATCCTCTCTTTTCTGTTCGATCTATGCTTCAAAATTCAAGGGCAGAAACCCTTGGTTTTTCAACCAGGAAAATGATTTCATATATTATTTACGGGGTAAAATAGGTAGATGAAAAGAATAATAATATATATATAGAGAGAGAGAAAAAACTCAACACATTATATTTAATAATTTTTATAAAGTAAGAGATTAATTAATTCAAGACATTGTCTTTATATCTTTATATCAAATTTTATAAAGTTAAACATTTGTAAATATATATATTTTAAATACATATTACTATTAAAATAAAATAAAAAAATTATATTATAAAGTATTTATTTATTTTCTATATAAAATTTTATAAAATTAATCACATTTTATAAAAAAAATTAAGAAATATAAGTGTCGAAATATGCAAGTTTAACATTTGATATGGTTGGATCTGACTCTTTGTATGATTAATTTATATAAATTAGTGATAATATTAAGTTGAATTCTATTAATTAATTCAATATTTAATTAACAAAAATAATAATGTATTTACTTGATATCAGGAATTAAATATTTAGAGATGAATTCTACGTACAACAATTATTATTGACAATAAAAAGATGTGTAGATATCCGTCTGAAAATAATTTTAAATACTATGCCTATCGTATAAAATAATACTGAATTGAAATTTTTTTAATTAATTCAGCATTGGACTGATGGAGTTTATGACCATTAAAGAAAAGTATTTATTAGTGATCAAATTTAACCATAGAAACCGAGTAACTTAACAACTAATAATAATTAAAAAATATAAATTATTAAATAATTTTTTCAATTGCAAAAGTAAAATATATATTTGTTTATTAATTCGGTCACTAAATTATAAATAATAAGTTAGTGACTAAATTTTGCCGTTGTAAATAATGGATTATGTATTCAGTTATTAAATTGCAAAACAAAAAATATTAGCAACCAAATTAGTGTCTAAATTTTTTGTCATTAAATTAACAACCAAATTATGCGGTCACAAAAATAAAGATGCTTTGAAAAAATAAGTGAAAGTACAAAGAAAAGAAAAAGAGAGAGGGTATTCTCTCTATGCGGATACAGAATTGGTTCTCACATAGATTTATGCAACCATCATTTATAACTAACAATTTAATAATTTCTCCGATGAATTTTGTTATTAAATTAATAAATTATTGACTTATAATAAATTTAATTGCTAGATTAATTAGTAATCAATATTTTAGCAACCATCTCCTGTCAATTGCTAATTTGGTCACCAATTAATTTAACGATCAACATTTATTTGTAGCAACCAAATTTTTCAGTCACTAACTTTTCTTTAGTTGTGTGATGAGGAGTAACCTTTTTACTCACTTGATTTGATAAGAACTAATTCTAAATATAACAACCTTTTATCGTATTAAAAATTTATTTAAATATAATATAAAATATTATAAATTCAATAATAGTTTTCTTTTAATCTTGCTTGTTTATATAAAAAAAAATTGTTATAAGTTTAGATGAATAGAATTTCTGCCATGGTTTGTATTGCATGTAACATCTGTTTTTTTTTTTTTTTAATTTAAAGTTTAGTATAATTAATTTTAATAAAAATAAGTTTAAATTAGTAAATGCAATTAAAATTTATAAAAAAAATTAGTTTTCTGATTTTTAAATTAACACAGGCTCCTATATTGCATGCGTGAATAGGATAACATATGCAATCGGTGAGAATGACCCCATCAGAACATTCTTCCATTCAGACAGACTCAGTCTGAGACAGACCATAGGAATGAAATTCCACGGCAGACTTCAGTATTTATGTGTCTGTGTGTATATAAATAATGAGTTATACAACAATTGTTTTGTATTGCCTCTATTTTTCCTTACACATCCATTTAGCTAAACTTTTTATTTATTTATTTACAAATTTATAATTAGATTAATTATCTTCTTATATCATATTTTAACTCTCAACTAATTACGAATATACTACTTCAACACTATTTTAGATAAGAGTAACATAAATGAAATGTATGGTAAAATTAAAAAAAAAACATTTTTAATTATATTTTATAATATTTACACTAACACCTAATCCCTTTAATAAAACACGGAAAAAATTATTTGTCTTATTTATAACATAACTGACATTGGAAAATTTTAACTATTTTTTCTTATTTGCTTTACTCACCATTAATCTTCACAGTTTTGTTTTATACTTCTTTAGTTTTAAATTGAAATATAAAATTTTAGAGTAAAACATTATAATATATAAAAATTAAATAATAAATTAAAAATTAATATTTTTAAATAAAAATACAGTTTCATTTTAAATAAAATAAATTTAAGATGTGTGATTTTGATTTTAAAAACATAATTAAAATTGGGTGAAATAATCTATTTATTATAATCTTTACGGACGGATTAACCTAAACCCGTTTGTGATCAATTATTCTAAATAAAAAAAATGAAAATTAATTAGGGTAATAACGATGTTTGTCAAAGAACTGAACAAATTTTTTTAACTAAAAAAGTTATAAAAAATATTTATTTTTGTGATTTTCAAACTGTTTTAATTTTCTAATAAAAGGATTATTTATTTGTTTTTAATTAATATTTTATGGGTAATAGTTAGGATTATTTTTATATATGATATTTTAAAATAATATATACTAAAATATGGTATTTTTAAGAAAATTACAGAAATATAAATATGAATTCAAAAATCGTGGTTGATAATTTTTTATGCATATGTAAATATTCAGAGATAAAATAATTAAAAATTATAAAATAGAAAAAATGTTAATAAAATTTTTAATAAATTTTAAAACGTCTAATATTTTTTTGAAACACCAAAAACTGCCATCAGCAATTTTTGGTGAAGAATTGCTATTATCGATTTTTAAATTTTTTATATTGTATTAATTTTCTCCAAATTCTTTATTTTAGTAATTAAGTTTTTTTTATATAAAAAAGTGCCCTAATAGTTTATCAGATGCACGTTGCTTCTATTTTCTTTAAGACAGTTCGTAGAAAATGTTAACAATTTTTTATGAACTGTTTTATAATTTTTATGAAATATTCTTTATTTGCTTTTAACAAAATGAAGCTGTTGAAGACGTAGAAATAAAATCAGAAAACAAAATCTTCATAATAAAGTTAAGTTTAATGATATTGAATGAAATTAAAATAATTATATTATAATATCTTTTATTTTTTAATATATGTTTATGAACATGTTCAAAGTAACAATAAAAATGTTTATATTGTAAAATTTCATCATATAACTCTTTTTTTTTTTTTTAACTTATTAGTATGTGTCTCTAAAAATATTATAGTTATATATAGATAATGACATATTGGTACGGCAATTTAATTAACTTAGTCGCGGAAGGTATAAAAAAGTCAGATGTATGTCAGACTGAGATCACATGATGTTGTCATCACTTAGTCACAGTGACACGTGTTCAGGTAATGGTCGATACTCTTCGATGCGTCATTCTCACGCGTAATACTCCACACGTTATACCTACTACTCAACTTTGTAATCATTCAGTAAATTTAAAATCAAAATATTAAATAAGATTTTTTATCTGATTAATTAAATGTTAAATTTTTATTAAATTTATTTTGTACTTTGATTCATTCATTGTTACTTTAACACTATTCATTGAAAATATTTTTAAAAACCTTAATTCATTATCTGACATTTTTTTATTTTTAAATATCATTTGAAGTGGTAGATGCATCTTGTTGAAATATTTTATGTTTAAATTTTAGCTGTTTTTTAAAATTATGTTTAAAAAACAATGTATAAAAATTTAATTTAAATATATTTTATACTATTATCTAATTATAAATTAATATGTCAATAAAAATTATTATTTTTTAATAATTAATATAAAATTTTTATCTAATGTGGATTTTAAAAATTATTTTTACAATACATTATTTGTCACTTTGAGTTTAATTTAAAAATACTGTTAGTGTTATGATTTATACCGTTATTTTATAAATATAATTTTTTATTAACTATTGCAAAAAATATAATTTTATTAATATAATAATTCTTAATTTTTTATAATTATCTATTATAATCACCAATAAAAAAAATTTAGATCTGATAATGGTAATTTTTTTTTTTACATATACAAGTACTCAAAAAGACTTAATTTAAGTAATATTAAGTCTTTTGACATTCAAACTAATCTATGTTAGTTTAAAATTTTAATATTTTTTAATAAAATATAACTTTATTTAATAATTAAAATAGGGTAATAATATATCTTTCTCTAAACTTATATGTTTATGTTAAGGTTCGAGCGGTTAAAAGTAGGGGAGGAAAAAAAAACTCTAGCAGAAAACAAAATCAGTTAAGATTCTACTTGTTTAATTTTTTTTTTTTTCTAAAAAGGGGGAATTTTTATTTCTTAGTTGAATAATATTTTTAATGTAAAAACAATCGTATTTTCATTATTCATTTGAAATAAAAAAATATTTTACTCGTTCACTTACTTGTCTTAGTTGTGAAAATAGAAATCAGCTAAGTTTATTTTCTCATATAATTTTGTTTAACTTAGCATGAAAAAAGTTATATTATTAATCGATTATAAATATATTATTAATATAATTTTAAATTTAATTATTACAAAAACTAATGATTGTATATATATATATTTATTTATTTATTTTTAAAGAAAAATCAACAGAGAAAACACTAAAAATATACGTTTAAAAAATAGTGGCTGCAGTCTTATGTAACGCGAAACATAAAAGATTGAAAGTAACGTAAAATAAATAGTACCTGAAACGAGGGAGAAAGTCTAAGGGGAAGTGCATCATGTGTAGGAGAGGTCGAAATCATGACGAATCACAAGGCGTGCCTTACGCATGGAGCGATAGCACGGGGCAGTGACGTCATTAGCAAAACGTCACAAGTAGAAATTTGATAATTGAATTGAAACAATGAACGCGTAGGTTCACGTCTTCGTTTATAAAACGCACACATCATAGAATTGTTATACACGGCATTCCATTTTCAACAAAACTTGCTAACCCAGGAACTCTACACCTTAATCCCAGTACTCCTCAACCAACCAACCAACCACAATAACGCAGGTTAATTAATTTCCGTTGCCATGGAAAATAAAAAGAAAGAGGTGAGGGACGGTGAAGACGATGAGGTCGAAGAAGAGATGAAGATGGAGAAGTTTTACTCGCTGTTGAGAAGCTTCCGAGACGCACGTGATCGACGGCGAAGGGAGTTGCTGGAGTCGGACAATAACGAGAGAAACAGGAAAAAGATGAAGGGGGACACGACAACCAACGCCAAAGCCGAGGTTTCTTTCGAGTGGCAGGACTTTACCACCGAGACTCACTTCAGACAGCCCCCTTTGGTTTTCCCGAATCCGATTCCGTGTGACGCAATCAAAGACAACAAGGGTAGTAAGAAGAAGAAGGAACAACAACACGATCTTGCTCTCGACCTCAAACTCACTCTCTAACTGCCGCACCTTCAACCGAAAAACCGGTCATCATGGACCTTCAATTTTACCTGGTCTTGTTAAATGGTTACCTGTATTATTCATGAGTTAACTTTTTCTATATATATATATATATATATATATATATATATATATATATATATATTGCGATGATGCAATTTGCTGTCTGTCAAGTTCTTGTTAGCATTTTTTTTGCCATACATATATATTAATTTTTTAAATATATTAAAACTATTATTTTATTAATTAAAATATTAAAATAGTTTAATTAATATAAGTTTATAGTTAAAGACGTATATATTATGAAAAGTTAATTGTATAAATATTATTAGTGATATTATAATTTAATAAAAAATTAAATTATAATTATTAATTTTAAGATAACTAATGACAGTTATCAATACATGAATTATTATTTTTAACTGTAAATTCAAATAAAATATATAATTATAGTTATTTTCTTTTTTTATTTTCGTAGAAGAAAAACTCAAAAGAAAAAAATTTAAAGCATTTTATATTTGATAAATCAAATACTTATTATCAATCTCATAATCTTTATTATTTTTAATGACGAATTCAGATACACCTTGACTGTGATCTTTAAGTACGGGATAAAAAAACACGTAATTAGGTTGAGTGATTGAATTTCAACAGTTCTTTATATGTGGACGCCGTGGAATTCATTTCTGATCAGTAATCACGGAACATTGATTTCCAACCGCTGAATCATTCTTACAAATTGAAAACTGAATCTATCAAACTTCAAAAAATTGCATTTTATATTATGATTTGATTCAGTTAGTCGAACAGATATGCACTTTAGTTTATAATAATATTGTATAGATATACAATACATTCTTTTTTTAATTTAATATTTTTTTACTTTTTTTATCGACAAATTCATCATTCCCACTTTTATCTTTATACTTGAAGCAACACAAAAAAAGGAAAATTATGTCTAGATTAGAATCTCAAGAACACTATTGAAGATTAAAAAAAAAACAAAAGAGAGTTCTTTTTGTACGATGAACCACTTTGCAAGGCAGAGAGAAGAGCCAAGTTTTTTTTAGACTTTTCTCTTTAGCACCCTCGGATCCGAGACTTGATATTTAATAGGTCAATTTAAATTCCCCAAATCACTAAGAAGCGTCGGTGCTTCACGTTATTAAGGGAATAGAGTTGCTAGGTCCCTTAAATTCTATTTTTTAATCAATAAATATCTTAAAATTTAATTAAATATTCTAACTTTATTTTTTATTTAATTGATTTCTAAATTTTATAAATATATTCCTTAAAGTTAAATTGTTTTAATTAATTCTTAAATTATTTATTTACCTTAAATCTGAATCATTCATTGATTTTTTGTTATGCTTTATTTTTATAAATATCAAAACACGGAAGATCAACTTGTTGACAGAGTTATTTATAGTAAATGTAATTATGTTATTTGACTCAAATAAGATTATCTTTATTGGAAAATATATGTGAATATACTTTTCTTTGTTTTAAGTTGAAAAAGTAATTTTATTTTTATTTTTTAATTTTTAAAATACATACACATATATATATATATATATAATTTTTCAAAATTAAAAGATAAATAAAGAAATAAAATGATAAATTTTTATGTATATGTAAAAGAACGTAGTATATAATAAATGAACGATTTTTTATCAGGAACAATCTTGAGCCTCGGGGACACATATATGACTGACTCATGATCGTGAGGAGAATTCATCCCAAGGAACGATCCATATGTAAACATGCATGTTTGATTATTTTTTTTTAATTTAAAAGTAATCGCTTATTTATTATTTTTTCCATAAATTAATAAATATTTAAAAAAAACTAAAAAACAAGTTTGATGAGAAAGCATCATAACTTGCTATATCATAACTAGATCATAATTTTAAATGTAATTTTTTCGTAATTTAAATAATTTTTTTTATTAAAACTTACATGTTATTCTACTTTATATTATATTCAGTTATTCACAAACACAGTCTTGGTATATAATACTTCCTTTATTTTTTTTAAAAAGAAATCTTTGTTATTATTATCTATTTATTTACTAGTTTTTTTTATAGATCATGGATCAAGCTAAATAACTTCACGCTAGTTAATGTACCGATTTGGTAATTATTTATTTAGTAATTTGAGATGATATTAACTATTTTAATTAATTCTTAATTATTTTACGTATTTATCATAAATAATAGAGATATAATCTAATAGTTGAAGTAAAAAATAACTTTAATATAAACCAAAAATTGATATATTTTCATTATGTGTAGCATTTATTTAAATGAAAATATAAAAAGAAATAAGGATAGTAAAAGAAAGAAGTACGTCTTTTTAATACAAATTAGGATAAATAATTTTTTTAGATACATGTATATAAAAAAATTATATATAATATTAAATGAAATATTATTTTTGTTATATTCAAATAATGAAATTGGATAATATCATGATGAGGAATCGAATTAATTAGCTTTTCTATTTCTAAAGTATTTACTATACAAAAAAAGAGGGGAGAATGGGTAAGAAGATTCCTTGGTTAGCTTGCTCTTTAATTCCCTCCATTTTTATTCCCTCTTTAAACATATGTAGCAGGAAAGAATTTGGAACCATGCTTTTCTTTAGATATTTGGTGGTTCGTAGTCACTTTGTAATCGTATGTTTAAATATTTTGATGTTTGAGTATAGAATGGCACCCACGTAGGATTCCATGTTCCTTATGCCTTTGCGATGTCTTCGTTAGACTTATAATCTTGAAATCTGAAAAAAAAAAAAAAAAAAACGAAAAACTACTAATATATAACTATGTATATAGTTATAAAATTACTTCCTCCATCCCCTTTCGTTTATGATTTAGTTTTAATTTTTTTAAAAACTTTTATATTTAGTAGAAATAAAAATATTTCTAATAAATTAAGGAGTTGTTTAGTTTTTTTTTTTCTCATTTTATGTCTTTACCTTTCATTATAAAGTTTTTACCTTATTTTAATTATATTTTTATTTTTAAATATTTATTAAAAACAGTGACGATAAAGAAGTTGTTTTTCTTATTTGATGTAAATTTTCTTAAATCAAAGTAAGATAACAATTTTGTGATTAAAAACGAAGTTCTCAACAAAATATATTCTTTTATACATCATCCTAACATTATCAAAGAATATTATTTTAATTAAGTTTCTTAATAAAATACTTTCAGAGGTGAGAATCTAAAATTCATACAAAGATAATATTTTTTTATAACATAAAAATCCATTTATAAATCTATCAATATTGTCAAATTTAAACCTAATTTATACCTTTACTCCATCATATTCCTGTCCATCTAAAGTTTTTAATAATATATGAGAAATATTAACAACATACTTTTACACACTTTTAAATACACTTTTTTAAACACATTTTAATTATTTATTAAAATTTATTTAAAATAAAAAAATATAAATTTTCATTTTTTTACTATTAACTTAATATATTTTTTTATTTTTTAATAAATTTTAATCATCATGTGTTAAGGTACTTTCTAACATTCCTCATTATATAAATTGACGGAAGAATTGCAGCCTTTGATGGACAAGAAAAGCAGGCACCTTAGCTTATAAATATAACAAGGATAATATATGGAAATTTTAATTTGACTAGGAATAGACTCACGTTTAAAACACGAATTAATTAAATGTTAAATATTATGCAGCATCTGCTACTACTTCATGATTGGTTTTTCCACATATGTACAATATTTAACTCTTAGATGTTAAGGTGCAGAGTTATGAGTTTATTTTCATGTATATATATTGGTAAGAAATGAATTAAGCTTTGACTATATACGTAAAAGATTAACAAATTCAAAAGGTCATAAGACTTAATTTGAGTGTAATTTGTGATGTTAAACCCACTGTGTGATTTTAGTTAAGCCCAACAATACGTATCTCTTTCCATTTGAGTTCCTCTATAGATGATTTTCTATTCTTTAAGAATGAACAAAGGGCAAAAACTTGAAAAATTGGATCTCAAACCCTGACGTTTGAGAAATTAACACTTATTAATTAAAGACAAAGTTATACACCAACGAAACACTAGTCGGATATCTAATTTAGGCTTTTCAACTTTCATAGTCAGTGAGCTAAGTTTTGCACGCACTTCAATGCGTGAAAGAACGGAGTAATGGCATGAGAACATTGCTGAGTAAGCTGTAAATCAAACAACGAAAACGACAATTATAATTTAGATAGAAACGGTTAATTTCAGTGAACATTAACAGGCTGAATGAGCCAGCTAATAAGTCTCTCTATTATAAGTACACTATGCCTATTGCTCTTTGTTGAATTGGACCATCACTAGTCAGAGTAATTCTTTATACACTTTAGGCAAATACCTAATGCCTAAGCATAAGACAATAGATCATTATATCCCACATACTTCAATTGAGTGGTTATGGCAGACCCTTTTTATTCAAATATTTTTCTACGACTCACATGCAGTACCACACCAACATAAAAAACGTGCGATGGTATATCTTTATTTAAAAGTTCTCCAGTCAAATATTTGTTATTTTGGAAATAAACTATCATTATTTTAGCAGGAACACACACACGTTTAATGACTTTTATAATTCTTATAAAATATATGCATTAAAATTTTGTTAATGATTTTTGAAGTTTTCTTTTATTAAGGGAGGGTCCTAGTTACCAATGAAGTAAGTCAATGTTAAAAGATAAAGATGTCAAGAAAGAAGAAGTAGGAAAGGGCGAGAGCATTTCAGAATATGCACACTATGTAACTCATATATAATATATAATTTAATAAAATATTACTCCTACTTTTAATTATTTATTTAAAATTTACACTTAATAGTACCTTATTTTTATTACAAAACTAGAAAATTAATATAAGATGTATAGAGGAAATTGGAATACCAAAATCTTAATTGCTTGTTAATATATAAAAGAAAAAAAAAGGTCTCGATGCAATTTAAAGTTATTGAGCAGGCCAACTATTCTCCAAAAGATAAAGATTGTTTTTTAATTTGAAAAAACACAAAAACATGCCTGCTTTTAATTTGTTTAGGTTTTACACAAATGTTTAAAAATAAAAAATAAAACAATGTGATAACTAACTAAAAATTATCACCTGTTAATTTTTTTATGAGATCACGCTATCTTTAGAGACAAAAGTGGTAATTTGAAAAAAATTTAAATCAAATTTTTTTATTAAAATTTTGAAACAAAAAATATATTGAAGTTATTTCTTTTGCTTTTTTTCTCTCATAATATCATGGGAAAATTCAAAAACAAATATAAGAAAATCTTATTGTGAATGATTCGGGATTTTAAAGATACCACTTCAGTGTTTGTAGATTTTTTTTTCCCTTTGTTTGGAAAGGAGTTGACGAGGATATGGGTGTGGTCCTTCTTTATCTTCCAATTTTATTGGTAAGTGAGACGAGACAGAGTCAACTTGCAATCTCTCAAAGTAATGATGATGAACTTGATATCCGGCCGTTAATCTTAAGATTCATCTTGTTATTATAAATTGACACTTCATATAAGATTTTTATTTTATTTTATTTTTTCATATATGTGTTTTTTAAAAATATACTACAACCATGAAATAATCACTTAAAAGATGTCCGATTTTGGTGACATAGACAATATTTTCCTATCATTAACCCTTTCTCCTACGTCTTTTACTTTATACTAGTGTCAGTGGTGCCATTTTATCAGTTTCTGTAACACGTTGAACGTGCACTTGTGGTTGATGAATGGAGTGAGAGTCCTTTTGTGGCCACAAATTTTGAAAGGGTTACTTTCAAGTGATTCATCTCAACTCCACGTTCTACAGAACATGGTGCATGGTCAACCAATGCCACAAGAAGCAGGTGTATTCACATCCTTGCGTGTCTACACCGAATTAAAATGTATGTGTCTAAAATCTACGATTAATTATTATCAAAAAGTAAAATTATGCAGTGCTAATATTACATGTGGTGAGCGTGTGGATAACTATTCTCATGATTTACTCATCCTGTTAGTTTGGAGCCTTTAGCTGGCTCGTACTCAAATTAAAGGAAGCAAAATTCTAAATAAATTCGATTGACGCGTATAAATGGTTGAGATTGAATTGTGTGAACCAGAGTGGCGACTTGCATGTAACAAGCTTAACCACTACTCGAGATGATATGATTGAATGAATCCTACCTTAAGGAAATGGAAGAATACCATACCACTTACCACTACTTACTCATCCATCCATACTTCATGCAAATTGGATTGTAGGAGCCACCCCTTTTAATTTGGATTTGTGGTGAGAATGAAATTCATTTCATTAGCTAGTGATTTCTGTGTTATCCTTTTATATTATTATTATTATTTTTTCTTAAGCCAGTACTTTTCAAGTAAATTCTATTGTCAAGTGCTGTCTTGTTTTCATGATGCCATATTTGACTACCAATAAGGATATTCTTAATCTAATGGCATTATAAAAGAGGACCAAAGCTCCACTCGGGGATTTTCATTTTCATATGCACAGTGATAGTTAATGAACAGAAGTGATCGACAAGGTTTCACTGCATTCCATGGTGTTTGTTCTTAGTGATTATATTTACTCCTTGAGAACTGCATTGTATGAAAGCACGAATATGCAAGACTTGTGACCATTCTTTCAATATGTGTATGTATTAATTATTGGCGGTTATTTTTAGATACCCTATAAGTCTCCTTTTAAAGCATTATAAACCCTGCAATCTTTTGCTTCTATTTCATGTCTTGCTGGTTCGATAACCTCACTTGGAGTGGAACCACATTGTATTACCTATATTTTGATCGGTCTACAAAATTAGAAATTAAGATAATGGAATATTTAATCCTTACGAAGACACATCCAGAGTAATATGGAAAGATAAAAAGAAAAATGATGGCACCATTAAAATGAAGTAAAGAATTCATAATTGGCAGGGAGATGCAAAAGGATTTGTGCGGTGAGAGTGGATCGAACACGCGACCTTCAGATCTTCAGTCTGACGCTCTCCCAACTGAGCTATCCCCGCCTGATGCTCTATTAAATTAAAACTTATAATTCTTTTAATATCTAAAAATTAAAAAATATTAACTTATTTTTCAACTAAACCAAACCGCTAACCAAATCTTATCACATATAGGGAATACATTAAATTTTATTTATTAATTTTTTTTCTAAGAGTTTATGCCTATAAACAATGGCAAATTTTGAGACAAAATTCTGGTAGAAGAAACAATCCCAAATTTATATTCAACTAATTTTTTACTCGAAATTTATATATAAGATTTTTCTCACTTATTTCTAAATATTCAAGTAAGTACTCAGTAAGCATAGATAAAGAGTTAAAAATAATATAATAATTCCATAAATGGCTGGATGTCTGATTTATTTTAGTCATGTTTATTCTAAATAAAAGAAGATATTTGTATCGTTGCTCATCGTATTATCTGTGAATGTGATTCTCTTGATGTTGTGACTGTCCTGAAAGGTTTTTATCACCATGTTATATAAATATCTGCACTTGATTACCAACTTTTTCCAGCCACTTCATTTTATCCATGTTACCCGGGATGTTAATTCCATTGTTGAATAATGTTTAGCCAAGTCAGGTGTTTTTGAAGACTGGGTTCCACCTCCACAAGAGAAGTCTCTCATGCAGCTAAAAATTTGGGAGCTTCTCTTGCTATATGTTGATAAATAATATCTTTGATATATTTTAAGAAAATTATAGTTATTATTTGCTGACACACTTTAAATATAAGTTATGTTAATTTTAAATATATTAAGATTTTATTATTTTCAATTATGATTATTCATAAAATAATTTAAAATATCAAAATCCAAATGAATATTGATGAAATTTTGAAGTCCTTTAAAATATCAACCGAGAGGAATTTCTCCATCGCTCAATTTTATTTTATTTTTCTTTCATAACTCAAACGAATCGGATGCTTCATTTGCATATCTTTCTGTTGAAAGCCCACGCAAGAACTTGGAATTTGGGCCTTTCTATCACATAGATGAAGCCTGGTAATATTCGAAAGAATTTATGAACAGTTTATGACGACATTGTACTTAATCATAGAAAAAAAAATATTTAAAAAATAAAAAATCATGTAAGAATAGGTCTCTTACCTCAGAAGCGAAAATGGCAGCGGAATGAATCTGAAGTCGAACAATATTTCACCGAAAAAAGAAATGATGTGTTGGTTGGCTTGCGTGACTTGGTTTCCTTGTGAAGCTTTTGTCTCCCTTTCTTCCCTTTTAATGGAGAGACACCGGTTAGGCGATTCAATGGAGGAAGAGCCAAAGAGGATATTTGAGATGGGAAAGAATACTAAATAAAGGCACACTAATATTATAAAATTTGATTTGGGGTTAAATTATGCCTCTAAGATTGAATTTATGACATTATCAAGTCGCCATGCCCAAACCAACCATAATTTTGTATGCCCATTTATAGAAGCTGGTTTTCATTACTTTCTAAACTCACCTGCATGGAGTTGACTTATGTTATAATTGTTTAGGCTTAGTTTATATAGCTTTAAAAGAATAAATTGCATTTTAAAAAAATATAATTTATTATTTTTACTTTAAATCTTACGACTTTAAGAGTTAAAATGAGTCATGAGATTTAAAATTAGCTACGAACTACCATAAAAAAAATAAAACATTTAAATAAATTCAAGTCTAAGAAAAAGAATGGAGTTTTTAAAATGAAAAGAGAGAAAGGTAGAAGCTTCAAGCTAGAACGTGAGGATGTTATTAATTTAAAAAGAAAAAAGGAAAAAAATATGGTTAAAAGATAAAAAAGATAAAAGAGTTAACGGACATAAAAGTGGAAAGCGGAAATTATTAGGAGAGGGAATAGACGACGTTATGACGGGGAAACACGAAATTTGGATCTGTGTCCGCGTTGTATAAATTGGCGTAGGCCATGTTGTGAGTTGAGCTCCATTTCTTTTCTCTTTGTGGCAAAGAGAAGAGATCAGCCTTCGTCTTCTTCGCTCGCAACTCTCTCTCTTTCTCTCTCTCTCTTCTTCAAGGTAATCCTCTCTCTCTCTCTCCTCTTCTTCTCCTTTCTGTTCACGGATCTCTTCACCATTTCAATTTCACAACCAAATGTCTCTCTTCGCGATCTACTTTACTTTTTTCTGTTTCGCTGGATTTCATCCTAGATTGGTTTCGCAATTAATTTATCTTAATTTTGATATACGATCTGGTTTTGTCCTTGCTTGATCTGCATCGCGTGCAGTGAGATCGCACGATTTGCATCTCACGAGTTTGTTTTCTTCGCTTCATTCACCTCTCGATCGGATTTGAATCGCTCTTTTTCTCAATTTTGATTGTTCATGCATATTAACACCATTTCTTTTGCTTTGGATTTGATTTGATTTGTTGTCATTGAAATTGGATTGTTGTGGATTCAGAATAGTTGAAAATGGGGCTGTCTTTCACCAAGTTATTCAGCCGGCTGTTTGCCAAGAAAGAGATGCGTATACTTATGGTTGGGCTTGATGCTGCGGGTAAAACCACTATTCTTTACAAGCTCAAGCTTGGAGAGATCGTCACTACCATTCCCACCATTGGTAAGTTTCATCCTCCGTCATCTATTCGTTTGTTATTTCTAGTTTCTTAGGTGTCAACTGGTTTGTATTGATTGGTGAAATGGGGAAGATAATAGAGGAGACATTTCTAACTAATTCGAATCGATTTATCCATTATCCATGAAATAACGTCAATTTATTTCCTTTCCTTTTCGTACTAGCTTATTCAAATGAATGTGCGATCGATTATGACTGTTTTTTTCTTCTTTTTCCTGTTTTGGCTCTACAACTTTTCAAATATTATCTCTAGATTTTTGTGATGTTCGCTGAGATTGGTATATAGTCAATTTTTTTAGCCTAAATGGAGTGTCACTGGCATCATTGTCGGCCTGATAATGGCTCTATCTCATCTTTCTAATAATAAGTGCCATGTGCGATTTTTATTTTGTACTAATATTTCGTGTGGTGCAGGGTTTAATGTGGAAACTGTGGAATATAAGAATATCAGCTTCACTGTCTGGGATGTTGGAGGTCAGGACAAGGTATTGTTTTTTCCCCCCACTACATCTTCTGTGTAATTACTGACATTATAGTACTTGGGGTTATATGGATGGTTTAACAAACTGTCCGGAATGCTTTTATTGATTTTGTAACACAGTAATTGGCTGAAACTCGCTTGAGCAACTATGTATATGACACGGTTTACTTTTCAAATTTGAGTTGTGAGCAATAGATTCTGCATCAATGGATGTCAATTTGACCCGATGACATAGATGTACTCCTCTTCATCAAGATACAGATATGATTCAACATATGCTTGACATTGTTTTGCATGCGCTTAATTGAGGAATGATGTTCTCTGCAAATTGTGTAGTGTTTATGGTGAGACCATGCTGGGTATCAGTATATCATAAACCAATCGGCTATGAAAGCTTGTACTCTTTTTTTACGTCTATTTTTGAATTCAAGACTGGATGTACTCAAAATAATTCCCAGAGTTTGTGTATGTGACAGTCCAGGCTTAAAATGTCGTACCTTTGACCTGTTGTTATTAATAAGCTCTGAATTATTTTGAATTAATTTTCACAGTATGGTAGTGACCATTGACATGTTTTTCCTTGTAGATCCGTCCTTTGTGGAGACATTACTTCCAAAATACACAAGGACTTATTTTTGTGGTGGATAGCAATGACAGGGACCGTGTTGTTGAAGCTAGAGATGAGCTGCATAGAATGTTGAATGAGGTAATAAAATATATCGTAAATGAGTCAATATGAAACCGTCTATTTCATATTATTTGATTTCCCAGCATAATTCTGTGATCTTATTGGATATTCCTACTTTGGTAGGACGAGTTGAGAGATGCCGTGCTTCTAGTGTTTGCAAACAAACAAGATCTTCCAAATGCTATGAATGCTGCTGAGATAACTGATAAGCTTGGTCTTCATTCCCTCCGTCAGCGTCACTGGTAAACTAGAATAATGCTCTCGACATTCTGCTCCCCACCGTTCTCAATTTCCGGCATTCACCCCTTATTCACTCCCACTTGCCTTGCACATGCAGGTATATCCAGAGCACATGTGCCACGTCTGGTGAAGGGCTCTATGAAGGACTCGACTGGCTCTCAAACAACATTGCAAACAAGGTTAGCAGAATAGTTATTTTGATGGACAAGGCAATTTAAATTACCAAATAACAATTTTTACTGATATTTTTCTGCTTTTGGGTGATTTGCAGGCATAGAGATTTATTAGTTAAGGGTGCACGAGTTTACTATGCGGCCTTCAAGATCCCCAGTTTCTGATTTTCTTGCCCTGCTTAGATTTTCATTGCTCGACATGTATTATTTGTTTTTAAAAAAAGAACAGCAGTCTGTTACCGAAGAATAATTTGAATTTTTTTTCCATGTATAACCAAATAGCATTGTTTTACCCTTTTGATTTGCGAAGTCCATTGAATGATTTAAAGCCTCGAATATGTGTATGATTTATATGTCCTATTACATTTTTACGACCATTTGTATTCGACATAGCCGTTGCGAATTAGAGGAAAAGGGTTGCATTCATTCCGAAACCCATCTGATGATATTCATAATACTAAATAAAAAATTTATTATCATCCAAATCATTAATGAATGGAACATGTAATTTTTAAATTGGCAACTGAACCAAAATTTAACCAATTGAATTTGTATTCGACATGCAAGCAGGGTTGGGTTGGCCCGCTAACACCCTATTTCAAAGGCACAGGGTAAGCAGCACCAAGAAATCAAATACAAATGGATAGCTAATGAGTTTGATCATTAAAAGTCTATCGAAATCGAACCTAGTGAAAAATCTAAAACGTAACGAATGGAAAACCAATGCCGAATGGTCAACATAAAGTATCGGAATGCAGTAGAATGGCAGAAACACCTCTTCAGTTCCTGACATTCAGGTAATGATGAACAGGATTGTACACTTGAATTATGTATTTCCGTAAGTTCAGAGCAACAGATTAGCAATGGAATGACCATAACAGAGCAATCTTACCCACTTCCAAACATTTCTGTTCCGCAAAATGTTTGACAGCGGGCGTGCATTCTTCTCCCCGGAAGCATAGATGATGACTTGTTGCAAACAGCTGATGCTGATTAGTCTCCGTGGAGCCAGTAACATTTCATTACCTGGAATCCTAATCTTATTATACTGGCTCACGTTAATAAAATGTTCAACCCTCTTGTCTGAGCTATTTTCTTGAATCTTCACACACCTTCCACAGCTTACTCTGAAGACATAACTGGTCTCAGTCATGTTCCCAACACCTTCTGCCACAGCTTTAAGACCTCTGACTCTTCCTTTCATTTAGCCAACGTCATTTATAACCAGAATTTAAGCGAGAACCTGATGTCTCGATCTGGCTCTCCATACTTTCATGAACTTGGAGTGGTTGCCGAAACACGGCCATTTTCTGTGTCAAGCTCTGAAGAGCCTCGTGTCTATTTGCTAGTTCCATGAGAACCTTGATTCTCTTAAATGACACATTACTTGGCTTCTGCCCCTTCTCAATCATCTCCAAGAAACATTTCTCTGCTTCCCCCAACTTCCCCATATCACAAAGCAAGCCAAACAACACATCGGAAACCAAGGTAAAGGACCCAAAACCCTTATCCACCATGTCACCCCACAACTGCAGTGCCATCTCCACCTTTTCCTGCCTCCTAAATAACCTTATTAAGAACATACAAGACTGTGTATTTGGAAGGCAACCCTCAACCATCATCCTCTCATACAAGCTCCAGGAGCTCTGCAAATCATTGGACCAGAAATAAACCCTAAAGAACAAGTTGTAAGTAGTTGCATTTGGACTCAAGCCTTTGTTTTGCATCTCATGTACCAAACTATAAGCATCCCCAAGCCTCTTCGCAATGCAGAAGTTCCTAATGGTAGCATTGTAAGCCGCAACATCAGGGTAACACCCATACTCCTTCATCTCCTTCAAAACATCCCTAGCTTTGTCTGGCTGACCAATCAACCCCAACCCACCAATGATACTAGTATATGTAATCACATCCGGCGACAAATCCCGGTCACGCATTTCATCAAGCACTTTATAAGCCTTGTCCATATCCCTACCTTTACAATATACATCCACCAAACTATTGTACGTAACAACATCAGGTGTCACCCCCATCTCCCTCATCTCCTTGAAGAACCCCTCAGCATCCTCAGGGGTCTTCCACCCAGAAAGAAGAATGTTAAAAGTTTGCAAATTTGGGCGAAAATCGTGCTTCAAACTATGATAAACATTTCTAGCATCCGTCATGCTCTTCTCTTGGCAAAGAGTTCTTAACAAAGCATTGAAACAATTAATATCAAAATCAGGAACCAGCTTCTTGAACCTTCTAAAGGATTCCACAGTTTGTCTAACTGAACACACTTTGGCGATTCTGCCTAACACGATCATAACGGTGCGTGGGGTAATGAGAGATTGGTCTTTTCGTCGCGCTTCGATTAAAAGATCCCAAACGTGGGAGAACATGCGGCTTCTTCCGAGAATGTAGAGCATCGTGTCGAGGGAAAAAGCGGTGTGGTAAAACCCTTTTCTTCGGCCAGTGTAACGGAAAAATACGAGAGTTTGAGAGGGGTTCCCGTGGCTGAAACGAACCCTTTTGAGGACTTGGTCGATCAAATCGTTGGAGAGGAAAACGGCGCTTGATTTCAGGGATTGCATGAGCTGTTCGGGCGTGGAGGTGCTTCTGATAATGCCGTAAACTTTCTGTACGTCGTCTTTTGAGTTAGAGCTTAAGAGGCGATAGAGAATGGGGGTTGAGAGAGCAACGCGGTGCAACGGCGATTTCAGTGAGCAACGCCTCAGCAACATTTGAAATTTGGGGTGTTGTTCGTCAGCTACAGTGATACAGTGGTTCTTCGAGCAAAAGATGAAAACCAAAGAGGATCGGTTACGCTCGCAAGTCCCAGCGCGCCAGTTTCATGTAGTAAAAGGGCTTGCGATTGGGCCTTAGCCCTCCTTATATGCACTGCCTCACTCCACTCTCTCCTAAGCCCTAATGTGTTTCCATTATGATAGTTTTCCATTAAATATAATTTGCTCAACTTTTGAATAAATTTTTATACGCTAATCATCATTTACTTTTGCTAAACTAATAATTCCTACTTGAAAACCCAAATAAAGTATAGAGGTTTATGCAATTATGCTATATGTTAATTACAATTTTTTCTATTGATTGTTTATGCAGAAAGAAAAGAAAAGAAAAGAAATATATTTCTATTTATTTGTCTATATAAAAATTTAATGGAATATTCATTATACTGTTTGGGCAATATAAATTCAAAGAAACATGATATAATAAAATAAATAAAGAGTAAATCATGAAGTTAACTAAATGAATTTAACAATATATTTAAATACTTTGATCTATATATTTTCACAACAACAATAATAATATATGAGAATTTATCTAAAATTTTTAAAAGCTAAAATATTAACGATTTTCGGTGAGTAGGGATCTATTTGAAACTTTTTAGAAGTATAGAGACTCTATTAAAAATAATAATTATAAGTACTTAATTTTTTTGTGAAACTATAAGAATTAAATTAAACATTATTTTAACTTTAAAATTTTAAATAAATCAAGGGAAAAAAATAAGTTCATTAAGATGCCAACTATATAAGATATCATGTTATATTTGTAAATTAGTGGTCAAGTCATTAACATTAATAATTTAATTGGATGACAAAAGAATATGTCAGACATATTTTTTTAATTAGAAAAATTAGATTTAATCGATACAAAATTTTTAAAAAGTTAAAATCACACATTATAATACTAAAGTGAAAGTAAAAAATAGAAAGAGTGTTTATTGTCACTTTTCATTTAAATTTATTGTTCAAATATTATTATTAGTAAAATTTTCTTTAATCAATGAAAACATTCATTGAAAGAGTGGCAATAAATATATTAAAATGACAATAGAAACACCTATAAAAGAACCCTACCCTACAAGTTCAAGACCGAGACAATAAACATTTTTCGAATTACATGTTTATAGGCACTTTTGCCTTTCCCCATGATTATGACCAAAGAGGCATTTAGTTTAGTGCTCCTAATTCCTAAATACATTAACAAACGATCCCCTAAGGTTGATGGAAACAGATCCCAACAGTAATATTTTGCGTCATAATTGATTTTAATATGGAAAGCCCTTCAAACATTGATGACTAAAGTGCTAAATAATTCACCTACTGTGTATACGATATATTACTCCATCAAGAATAGTGTAACAAACGCAAAGCCCACTTTAATGTGCCATTTTATCCCCAAAAAAGAGTTAATCATCGTTTACTTGCATTTAGTGGCTCAATTAAAACATTCAAATCCAATGTAAAAGAACAAATGCTTATTGGACTACAAGTTAAAAATGACTCAATATGAAAACAAAATTGTAATGTAACCTTAAGAATTAGGCTTAAGAAATAAATTAAAAAAACTATATTTATGTATTATTGTGGTCTAGATCTCTCTTATTCTCTTAATTTAACCGTTTAGTTGGATATACATTAATTATATGTAAACTAGTGAGTTTGACATGTATTATATGGGGTATTATTGAATAAAAAATTAAAATAAATTTATAATTTTTTAAAAATATATTTTAATTAGAAATAATAAATATTTTATTTTATTGAGACATATTAAATTAAGTAAATAAATTTTTTAAATTAAAATAAATTATAAAAATTTCAATTTAAATTAACATCAAATTAAAAAGTTAAATATTTAATGCAAGAAAAATGGCATAGCATAGTAGAAAAGAAAATGAATTTATGTTATTTAAAATAATTTCTAAAAATACTTTTCTTTAAAAATTAAAACTTGCATTTTGTAGGTGTTGCATGATAAAACTAAATTTAAAATACAAAATATATTTAATCCTATATTTTCAAATTTAATGGAAAAATATAGTATCATAACATAATCTAATAAAATATAAGATAAAAATTATGTACTTATATAAGAACCTTATGAATTATAACACAATTAATACAAAAATTTTAATTATTAGTTACATTAGAATGCTTACACATTAAAAAAAATGTAGCAAAACTCTTTATACTGATTAAGATAAAAAATTCTCTTCCTTCCAAATTCTGTAGTGTGATGATAGTTAAAATTGAGTGAAAAGAGATTTACCATCTATTGTTCTTGAATGGAATATTATGTACAATATAAAAGTGAACCAACATGTAATAAAACAAACAAACAAATGGAATTGATATAACTCTGGTGTATCCAAGGGTGAACACAAACGTTCTTATCTTTATCTGCATGGCTGGGGTGCAACCTTTGCACAGAATATATATATTCCTTTTAGAATTCAAAGATATGGTCAACAATCAAATGCTCCGAAAGCATCGTAGGACATATGCGTTTTGCACCCAATAGAGTAACAAGATCATGGGAAAGCAAAAGGCAGAGGATCTAAGTGCTTAAGCAACAAAGGTTTGAATTGTCGCCCTATAATTATTCATTTATAAATATTCAATACCATTGTTTGGTACCTTTCACCAAACCAGCTGTAGAGTGAATCCAACATAATATGTTCTGTTTTTCTCCCTCGCAACAAAGACTCTTTGACCATGCTAATATCTATTACAATATAAGAGATAATTTGGATAAACTTTATAACAAAATTTATAAGAGAAATGCTATAATGATTTAAGAAAGTAAAATAAATATATTTTACTTGTAAATCGCTATTAATAAATTTAAGAATAAAAATAGTGAAACTTATTTATTTATTTATTTTATAGATAAATTCACATTCAATTTTGGTTGCATCCAATTAATAATGGAATTATACAAATTTATTAAGCATGAGTTGAAAGAATATGTTTCAATTATTTTAATAATAATTAATACAAAACTACGAAATTAGTCAAGCTTGGATACTTTGATCTTTTAAGCATATTTATGTATTGTTTGTTTGGCACATAGAATTTGGGATTACAAATTTATGGTTTCATTTCATAGAATTTAATAAGTAAGGTTAATATTCTTTTAGCCTTTATTTTCTAAATTATAATGGTTACAAACCTTGCTTCTATATTTGTTCTTTTATTATTGATATACTCTTGTTTTTATTATCTTCAATATTATTGTTATAATTATCATTATTAATCGTTGATATTATTACTATAATTACTATTTATTATTATTATTACTAATTTTACTATTATTATCGTTGTTATCCTTATCTTTATCCCTAATAATTATTATCATTCCTTGCCCTATTTCCATTATCCATGTTACTGTATTTATCAGTATAACAGTATTATCACCTTTCATCACTATTAATACTGCTGGTGTAAACTATCCTTGGCGCCACATCTTCATCTCCTTTCGGGATACAACCATTACTAATTATTGTTATAGTCTCTGCCATACCATTGCTCAATCATTGTTATTGTACATATAGTTATTATTTTTTCACTCAAATTTAATGTAATATCACCCATAACTACTACTAACTCGCTCAAAGTATTAAAATAGAATTAAAATTTTGCTTGAAAGTATATTCCAACAATTTCATTTTTTTGCACAACTCAAACAAAAGAATTATTATTATAAAATTGAAATTACAATTTTGAAAATCAGACCTTTTCTTTCGAGACTGATTTACATTATACTTCAATTTATTTTAACGTAAATAATTTGGGGTGTCGTCCTGCATTTATCTTTCAATCTCTCCCCTTACAAAATAGAATTTGTTAGCTTCTGCATGGCTGGTTTGTGTTGTCTTGAAAGGTAGTTTCAAGAGATGTCATTACCTTCTTACTCGGAGGAAAATAAAAAGGTTGAGGGTGAAAAGCATAGTGTACATGAGAAGTATGTGATGTGATAGCATGATCAGAAGGAATATCATGGACTCATTGCAACGAAGACATCAAAAGAATGCTCAACTAGTTAATGCTTATGTACGCACACGACAAGATACCCTCTTTATTTCCTGTGACAAGGAAAATACCACTAGCAAAGAGCGTTAACATGATTGCTCTCATGGGGAAGCTAGGCGACGAAGGCGTTAGGAATAACAACGTGTTAAGATCGAGGAAATACGAGGAAAAAGTTCATCACATGGATTTCTTCATTTACATGGCAAATTTTGGTTGAGAATACAGGGTCGAGGATAAGAAAACGAGACAAGTGATTTCGGTATATTTTGTTTCCACGTGTTTATAACATGAATAAAGTAACATTTATTTTATGTATTTTAAATTAAATAATACGAGAGAGTACATACCTCTAATTAATTTTTAAGATTTTTTAACACTATTAATGCAATTTGGCTATTATCTATTTTTTAAAATGAAAGATGTTATCTTATCTTTACTATCTAAATTTTAGTACTCGCACAGTCCCACGTATATGCCGATCGATCATACAGTGATGTGTTGTAATTGTAGAGAGCAGGTAACACGTTAATAGATTTTTTTATCTAAAAAACTCATATTATATCGTTTTTCTATGTTTTGATATTTATCTCTTACATAATTGTATCATGGACAAAAATTACGAAGGAAATATTTTCCAATAATGCAAATGTTCACTTTGAAAAGCATGTAGGGTGTTGTGGCTTTATCCTAGGGTCTAGAGCAGTATTGACACGTCGCTGTTGATATTTATATGGTCGATCGATTTTCATCATTTAGATGGAAACTTGAATTGAACCAACCATTGAATTTTAACCATATATATTATTGCTTTGTGACACGCAAATTCTTTTCCGGGGACACTGAACAGTAAATTCCTGCAAAAGATTTTGATTTGTATTGATTGTTGTATTCCTCAGCAGTTAGCAGCCCGAAATAGATCAATTAAGGTTCGAAAAACGACAAATAGAAGAACAGTACAATTTCTATAAATTTCTCACCTTACCCTTTTCTTTTTCTTTTCTTCTGAAATTATTAGTATGATTTACATAACGAATTACGTTTTTAGTTAGATTTGATTTCGATTTTAACATTCGTGGCAAACATCTTATCACTTGACACCTTCCTCTCTGTCATCAAATATAATTTGAATCGAGCCAACCATTTATGTTTTTCATGAATAACGTGTTTGATTTTGATTGAGATTTTTAAATTACATGAAATGTGAACTAGCAGGCCCGAAAACATTTGCGATGAAACCTCTTATATTTTGGTTGCAACCGGCGATTAGACTTATGTTTTCTCACAGAATCTTTAACACTTGAAAAAAATTTCCCAATTCGATGGCTATTTGATCTTTGGGTCAACGTGCAAAAACATATCAAATTTTCTCCCTTTTAGTCTTGCGCTGATCACTCACTTTGATGAGTTAATTGCATGAAGTCTAATTCATCTTCTTTCTCATTGACTACTCAGCTCTTGGTGCACAAAATTTCTCAGAGTACGTTCTTACAATATTAGTCACCTAACACACTTAATTGGAATCAAGAATGAGAAATTCGTGTATGTGTGAAGAAAAGTGGTGGGTAGTGTGAAGTTTTGTTTCCATTCCACGGTCAATACCATTTTTTCTTAGTGGGAAGAAACAGTGGACCCATCTCATGGTTTTCTTTTCCATGGTTCTAACTTAATGAGCCAATAATTTATAGTCGGTTTGGAGCACAAAAATCATGCCACAGAGGTCGGTCTCGTAAATAATAAATCATTTAGCGTATGCAAATCGTGGCCTTCATCATTATCCCATCACATTGGGACTAGGCATCGAGTACGGGAGTTATGAGACCTCCCCCTCCTTCCCATTTGAACAATAAACTTAATAGTAGAAATGTATTAGTAGTTTAAATTATTAATGAACAAAATTAACGATCAAAGTAAGATAACAGCTGTTCACTTAAAGGACAAAAGTAAATATTTACTATAAAGAGCTATGCTATTAATTTCTGTACTCTTTTTTTCGCACCTCACTCCTTTTTCGGGGAAGAAAATGGTTAAAAAAGTGACTGGGAATTGAGCTTATATCCCTCGCTTTTCGAAATATTTGACAAATTATTAAGGAGTGAATTTTATATGCATCTCACTAAATATTGAGTAGACTCAGATTATATACACAAGATAAAACTCATCATAACAAGCTGAGTTTCACATCAAATAAATATAATATTTTGACAAATGGTTTGGAAGGAAATGGATAAAAATGATACCTTTCATTTTAATGAATACTTTATTTTATAATTTTAAAATTAGAATAATAAAGTGAAACATTGTCATATACATTTGAATGGTATATTATTTAAATTTTAATATTTTATAATTATTTAATCCTTTTTTTTTTGTTCTGGACTCCTCATCCAAATAAACTAGGATTAATTTATAAATGAGACAAATATAATAGATTAATAATACTCCGGAGGAAAAAGAAAAAGAAAAAGAAATCATGAAATGTAATATTAAGGAGGGTGAACTGAATTTCTAAAAGCTTCTGAAGTAAAAACATGGCCTTGAAAGGATAAATTGGAATTTATCTTAATTATAACCATGCACGTCGCTTTTCTATTCTTTCGTTTTTTAAAATATAGGGTAGGGTGGGTTGGGTTGATTCTGCGTGAAACACAAACTGACACCGACCGACTTGTGGATTTTGTGATTGTTGCCCACTCATTTAAATTTATGAAAACTACTACTTTTTGCATGTTAACAAATTTACCACATTATTCTTTACCGATTAAAGGTAATTTCATTATTAATTTATAACTAACATGTGTATCAATGCTTTAGAAAACATTGCAACCTCCACACCCAATTTATAAAAACTTTGCTAATAAATAATAAAAATATTATCTATCAAGATAAAACTTTAAGACTCATTTAGGACATGAGAGTTGGATTGCTGCTGGTTGAGAATACCAAGGATCAACTCTATAGTCTTTCTTCTCGTGATGCAGATTGGGATTCACTTCAGGGATCAACCATTTCTTCTTTGGAACACATCAATTAATAAGTTTCTTGTATATTATGAAAATATCATTATATAAAAAATTAAAGCATGTTATAAAATTATTTAAATTTTAATGAATTTAGAAAAAAAGATTATTGTTATTATTAATAAGTATTTTATTATACTAAATATGAATAAATTAAAAAATATATAAAATTAAAATATAAATTATAGAAAATATAAAATATAAATTAAAATAAAAATTTTAAAAATAAATACTCAAAATTAGAAAAGACATATTATATAATGAAAAGGATAAAAAGTTAAAAAAAATAACTTTCGTATAAGATAACTCCTAAAACTATTATCATTTGACATAGTAATTAAAAATGTCTTTGTTTAAGAGTGGATGCTCACAATTAGTATATAGAGTTATATGGAGGAATGTTAACTGATTTTTTAAGATAGTTATTTTAATAGTTAATAAAAATAAAACTTATTTGACAAATTAAATAAAAAAAATTGATCAAATTAAGTTGATGTCTTTTATATAACGTGTTGATTTTTATATTCACATAATTTGTTTCCTTCGTTTTATCTCTCTACCTCCATCATATCTAAATTTTTGTTTTTATCAAAATACCGAGTTAGACTAATAATTAGTCAGAAAAAAAAAATTATGACCCAGGTTTGGGTTCACGAAATTAACCATATCGAAATATCAAGCTAGATTAAAGTTAATTAAACTCATGACAATGTGTTGAAATTAACACTCAAACTATCTAAATAACATTTCTCTGTCATAATTATGTGTATATAAGGAAGTTTGAATAGATTTATATTATTTAATACAAATAGTTAACACTAAAATTTCAATTAATATGTTATTCCAATATCTATAGATGTCATCCAGTTGTTTTATTAAGTGCTTATTGACACTATAAAGAAACCTATATGTTAATGTTTTAATTTGTTGTACGCTCAGCTCATTAATATAGTTTACTTATCCATAATGTCTATATATTAATTGTTTAGCTTTTCTTAAACAAAGTTTTTATTAATGGGAATAATTAAGTTACAAAATCAATGGTTAACTTTTAGTGTGTATGTAATTTTTAATACTGTTTGATTAACTTAGTTTTTTAAGACATTGTCAATTTTTAAGACAAAATAAAATTATAATTGAATTAAAAAAATATTTATATTAATTATGAGTTAGGGAATTCGGCTTTCAAAAGCAATAAAAAAAATTATATTGCCACGGATAATGCTTTATTAAAAAATTCTGATAATTTTAAGAATACGTATTAAATTATGTTAACAGTTTTGAAACAATAATTTTTTATGAAGCAAATTTGTACTTATATATTTTCAACCAATATTTAAAAGAGTGGTTATTTTTTCTAGTAAAAATGGCTGTTTGAACAAGAAAAGCAAGAGAAGAAAGGGGGAGGAAAGTGTGAAATGTTTACAAAATAAAAGATACAGCACCAAGTTGTAGTCTTGCACTAATCTTTCTTGGCGCGTGTCTGGAAGATAAGCAGGAGTCAACGAGTCAAACTCCACACAGCAACCTTAGTTCTATCTTAATCCTAAAAGTAACACTATTAAATTTAATTATTATAGAAAGATAAAAAAATTATAACAAAAACAAGATGGAATCTGGTGCATTGTCCGTGTACCCTGTCCGTGTGGTCCGCGTCCTTTTTTGGTTCCGTGGAGTGAAGATGTTGGAGTGTTCTTATTCTTATCCGACTCCATTATATATAACTCCACATGTCCCCAATTAACACTAACCAAATCCCACCCATGAGAGCCATAGATGTCAAGGTTAAGAAAGATGGGTGTGGCTCACTGCCACATCTGCACCACAATGAAAACGATATCGGCATCAGAAAGGGTCCATGGACGGTTGACGAGGATACCATTCTCGTCAATTACATCACCACCCACGGTGAAGGTCACTGGAATTCCGTCGCACGTTCTGCAGGCACGTATACACTTTCTTCTAAATTCATAATTCATTACCAGCTCAATTAGTTATTAATATCATGATCGTTAGTTACTTTAGCGTAGCCTACATGGTAACCAAGTTTTTTCAAAATTAAAATAAATAAACAGGCCTGAGGAGAAGCGGGAAAAGTTGCAGATTAAGGTGGCTAAACTACTTGCGACCCGACGTGCGGCGTGGAAATATCACGCTCCAAGAACAGATATTGATTCTTGACCTTCATTCTCGGTGGGGCAATAGGTAAAATTCACTCTTCATGGTTGTTTTGTTTTAGGAGTTAGATATACGGTGTAAAAATGCATAGAATGTTTTCGTAGGTGGTCGAAGATCGCTCAGCACTTGCCGGGGAGAACAGACAATGAAATAAAGAACTATTGGAGGACCAGGGTGATAAAGCAGGCGAAGCAGCTCAAGTGCGATGTAAACAGCACACAGTTCAGAGACGCGTTGCGTTACGTGTGGATGCCCCGCTTGCTGGAGCGGGTTCAGCCCACACCGCACACTCTCCAGGGTCCAAGCCCAAACCCATATGGAGCCGGGGTCCAAAACGGTTCAGACTCAGGAACAGAGTGTGCAAAAGCGAACCACTTCTCCTGCGCCGGTGGTGCTTACTCGGACTCATCATCCGGGGAGTTGCAAGTTCCTTCGAATTCGGATCACAGTGATTCTTCGGGTCTTGAAAAAGGGTCGGGTCCATGGGCAGGTTTGAGTAACCAGATTTTTGAACAGGGGAACGGTGAGTCGTTAGAAAGCCTGTGGAACGATGAGAGTATATGGTTTTTGCAGCAACTTTCTGATGAGGTGGATATAAAATACAATTCCCTTCCGTGACGCATCCTCCAATGCACAGTGCCAAAAGTTAAGCGTGCGTTGACGGTTTTGCTCACTTTTATGTACAAATTACTACTATCATTAGGGGATGAGTTTTCCTAGGGGAATTCATGTCTCAAATTTACCTTTTCTATTATACTTTTGTTATGTATCGTGATTTTATATTTTTTGTTCTCTTTATAAGTAATTAATAATAGCTGCATGAGAAATGCAAAATAGTACCAGTGGAATTTTATATAAGACTATCCATTTCTATTTTTCTAAAGTTATTGCATCGAATACATGAAGTTTGCTCGCGATCGTAAGTCTTTTCATTGAGCAATAATGGTTAAGATAATATATTTTTTGAAATTGCTTATTCAGTTTGAAAGAGATAATATATTTTTAACTAATTATATAACATGTAATTGGTATTTGAATTAGAGGGGATTGGGAGGTGTTTGTGCTTGCTTCTACGCTTGTTAAAGCAGATAATAATAGGTCTGCTTTTGAGCTTGAAAATGAGTTTGGGGAAAGCAAGGAAGCAATGTGTTCCATGAGTAGTAAGGGCCCCTTCCAACCCCATATCAATGCAAGTTTAGTGCTTTTATGAGGTTGACTCCTTTCACAACGTTGTTTTCCTGCTAATAACTTGAAAATGTCTAGTTGGAGGGCAGCATGCGAAACGTTATCGACCAGCTTAAATTGACATCTGGCCCATGTAACACGCTGTCTACTTTGAGGTGATTCCTATGTATTCATTCAATGCCCTCCACATCTCACAACTTTCCAATCATTTTAACAAAGGGTGATCATAATTAGGACGAAATTTTTGTTTCAAAAACTCATCATAAACAATTTACTCTCCTCCCTTTTTTTTTTATTAAAGCTAAGCAACTAACTTATCATAATTAATAAAGATAATCATATTTTTACACTATTTATACCAATTAATGATTAAACTAGCGGCTTGTATATAAAATGAATGTATATAAAGAATGGATGGGTGTCTTCTTAATACAAATTTCATAATAAATAAATTATAAAAAATTAATAATTAATGCATATAAAAATATTTGGTATTTTTTAATAATTAATGTATATAGTATTTTGAGAATATTTGTTAATAATTTTTAAATATTTAATTATTCTTGTGTATAAATAATTTTAAAAAGTTACAAAGTATTAAATATTTATTTTTTAAAATTATATTTAATTTTAATAAATAATGTTTAATTATTCCATACTTTTAAATAATATTTTTATCATTTTTAGTAGTAATATCTATATTAATATAGTGTGTATTTGATAAAATTTAAAAAAAAAGTCAGTTGAAAAATAATAAATTAATTAAAAGCTTAAAAATTTTGAAGTTAAAAGTTGATAGTAACTTAATTGAATTAAAAGAATCTAGTAAATTTAACTGTTAAATTGGTTAACAGGTGTAAAGTAATATTAAATGATATATTTAATAATTGGACTCTAACTTAAAATTTATTAACTATGCATTTTTAAAGATGACTATATCAGGATAATAATTTTTAATTTTATTAGTATAAGAAAATGATACTTGATGATATTAAGAGAGTACGTTGAGAGTCTCTTAATATAATTAAGTAAAGGAAAAATTCAAATAAGACCACAAAGACAAAAAAAAATTTGAAAAAAGTTAGGAGTTTCTAAATTCAAATTTTATGATTCTATGGTATCATTTATTCGGAAGAGATGACAGTGATGAACACATCAAATTGAAGCTCAACAGACCCAAATGCACGGTTTAGTCTCTTCGAGAGACTACTTTGCGTGTCGACAATCTCGCAACTGAGTCATCTCTTCGCTTTCGAGTCGCTGAATCCAACCATATTGGCACCACTGAGTGAGCTCTTTTCCTTTCTCACCCTATTCATTGCCCTTCTAATTTCATCCACCGATTGTTTTCTCACCATTAGTTTAAATTACTTATGAATCCTTTCTCTGTTCACACATGTTTGCATATGTGGCTGCTAATATGTCAAAAGTTTGTATTGTGACGATCGTTTTTAATTGGAAATGATCAAAGATTTGCCTACTTTCACCTCTTCTTTTTAATTTTTAACGCCACCTTTTATTATTTTATTCACTTGTTTTTGGGTTGAATGTAATATTGAACATTACATTTATTTTTTGTGAAATTGTTAGGGGGAAAGAAAAATTTTGTAAGTTCTAAAATTATGTTGAAAGATCTACTTTTCCAGGAGTTTTAGAGGGTTTAAAGAAGAGTCTTTCCATGCTGAAAAATTTCATTTTTAAGAAATCATGAAAAGAGCTTCATCCTTCTTTAAGAAAATCATATTTCGAGTAGTCTTGACAGAATATGAAGACTCATTTTTTATTAAAAAATAGGACTGAAAAGAAAATTATTTTAAATCCACAACATTGAAGACTTTTTTGAGGAGTTTCTAAGGATTTTCTAGTCCCGAGTCATGTGAAGCCATTATATGTGGCAAATCAAATAAATGAAAAATTTTGAGTGAATAAGGTCCTCGTTGACTCTGGGCAGCAATCAATCTCATGCCTAATTTCTTGCTAAAAAAGATCAGAAAGACAAAAGAGGACCTATTGCCCCATAACATGATTTTAACAGACTATGAGGGGAAGACCTTGGGTTCTAAAGGGGTACTAATTGTCAATTTAAGACCATGTCCCGAGCAACTATTTTTGTGATAATAGCTTCCAAGGCAAGCTACAATTTATTGCTTGAAAGAGAATGAATCCATGGAGTTAGAGTGATACCTTTATCACTCCATCAGAAGTTGTGCTTGTGGAACAACGATGAGATCTTAGAGTATGTTGACGAATATCATAGTTATTTTAAGTCTGAAGTTAATGTTAGCAGCCTTGATACCAAGACGTTTGACAAAGTCATTGCTAACATTTCACCACTTAGCATGACAGATGTGAGCGGCCTCTATTTTACCAAGAATGTCAATTTACAAGCGCCCTATGAAATTTGACTAGATCCTTCAATGGGTTTTTACAGCCTTCAGAATGAAGTATCAGAGGCCAAGAAAAGTTTGAATTGCAACATGAAGGATTGACCCTTTTGGCTCAAATTTTGGCCTATGTGGCTAAAAACAAAATAAAAGTGGCTCTTTAAGCCGCTAAGGTCCTAAAGGCCAATGAATCAGATTTGGCTATTGAGAACATGGAAAATTTGGCTTGCTTGGCCAAAAGTAGGAAGGCAGCCTCCGAGGCAACATAAATGGAGTAGCTCTTGATAAAGCCTTAGGATTTGCTAGTAGTCGAAGTGATCTCATGCACAGGATAAGAAATTTTGGTCTTAGAGATCGATAGATAGGAAAATTGGCTCGATTGCATTTATGATAACTCATCGATTAATTTCGAGAATTCATCTTGAACAGAACAAAAAATTGAAGGAAAAGTCTAAAATCTGAATCTTGTGAAAATTTTCCTACCCATAAAAAAAATTTAAAATATTAAAATTTATAAATTGGTTTGGGGGAAAGAAAAATTTTCTAAGTTCTAAAATTCTGTTGAAGTATCTACTTTTCGAGGAGTTTTCGAGGGGTTAGAGAAGAGTCTTTCCATGCTTAAAAATTGCATTTTTGAGGAATTATGAAAACAGCCTCATCCTTCTTCAAGAAGGCTATATTTTGAGCAGTTTTGACAAAACATGAAGAGACCTATTTTTGGTTGAAAAACAGACATTGACAAGGAAAATATTGTAAGTCCACGAGACTAATGAGGTATCAGATTTCTCTCAGAATTGGTTAGAAAGTAGAAACTAAGAGATAAATTATTCTAAGTCCACAAGACTAAAAGAGCTATCAGATTTCTCCCATAATTGGTTGAAAAGTAGAAACTGAGGAAAAAATTATTTTAAGTCAACAAGACTAAATGAGCTCACAAAATTTTCTCAAAAATTGCTCGAGAAAAAGGAACTTAAGAAAAAATATTCTAAGTTCACATAAGACATGATATTTGATGAGGAAACTAACAGGAAAAATGGTCTTTTGATGAGTTTATGAGGATTTTCAAGTCTTTGATACCTAGAATTGGTCAAAAAATAGGAACTAACAGGAAAAATATTCTAAGTCCACAAAACTGAATGAATTCCCAGATTTTCCTCAAAATTGCTCGAAAAAAAAAAAAGAAATCACTGGAAAAATATTTTAAGTCCATAACACTGAATGAGCTCTCATATTTCTCCGAGAATTGGTCAAAAAGTCAAAACTGAGGAAGAAATTATTTTAAATCAAAAAGATTATATGAGCTCAAAGATTTTCCCTAGAAATTGCTTGAAAAGAATGAACTTAAAGAAAAATATTCTAAGTTTACAAGAGACATAATAGAGCTCAAAAAGTGATATCGAAAGAGTTATAATGGTCAAAACAATTATCAACGGTTACCATTAGTGGAAGGTTCAAGACATGAAGAAAGATCATGGGCGATAGCAGTTATGGAAAAGCCTCAACTGACAGCACGATTATAAGCAATTGTGGATAATGGGTAACAATGATTGAAGGCAAGCACGTATGAAAAATAGTTGCTGAGAAATGCCCGTGAAAAGAGGAGATCGAGGGTGGTTTATTTGCCTATAAATACTATAAAGCTTTATATCATCGGGGATGACTTTTTGCACTCAGACATTGCACATAAAAGTCTCTGCATACTAAAATTCTGTTCCGCGCCAAACACCAGTTACCTGGAGTTTCACGGTTGTTGTTCACTATGAGGGGTCGCATGTTTACTTTTCTGCAAATTTACATTCATATTCTTTATTTCCAATTTCTGCTATGTTTCGTTCTTGTAATTTTATTTTTGTTCAATACGATTGTGTAAAACTTTGCTTTCAATTCAATTTTGCATAATTGTGATCTACTATTCCATCTTAAATACTACGTTTACAATGTCAATCTAGGCATTACGTTTAACAATAAACTTAAGAGAACTCAAAAAAACTTAAATTCAGTTCTTAGATTGCTCTTGAATGATTTATTCACAAACTATCATTTTTTACTGTAAACAGTGTGATTTAGTTTTGTAAAATTATCATTTGCTATTCCTGTTTAATCATCTACTTTACAACGCTAATTTGAGCATCACGTTAATAATACACGTAAAAGAATTTAAGAGAATCTAAATTCACTCCTTAAATTACTCTTGAATTATTTGTTTACAAATTATCATTTTTTACCATAAACAAAAATAAAGAGAAGATAACACTTACATGTTACTGAATTTTTATTTCAGAAATCATCTAATTAAACTGCCTTATCATTAATATTTAATATTATTAATATATTAAATATAAGCAGTTTTCACGTGCCAATCTATTGCATAATAATAAATTTTTAAACTAATATTTAATATTATTAATATATTAAATTGTGTGATTTTATGTAATTTTTTATAATTACGTGTATTTACACTTATATTAAAAATATTGTTAAAGTTTTAAATTAACCTTTAAAATATTTCTTATTTTCTCTTATTCAAAGGTAAGTTGTTATTGTGTTAAATATTATGTAATAGGATAAATTGACCTTATTAAGTAATTGTCGATTGAATATTTGTTTTTGAATAAACAAATATGATTTAGAAGTGTATATACATCTATTTAAATTACATATTTTTATTATAAAATATGAGAATTAATTTTCTTAATTGTAAAATGAATAATGTTTAAGTTAATCTAAAAAAATTCATGTGTTCCACTTAAGAAATCAAATTTGAATTCATTATTAAAAAATTGTTACATAAAATTACTACTATTAGAGATTTTTGGCAGTAAAAATCGAATTTTTTTTTACTGATTTTAAACCATCACAAACATCTTAAACAGTAAAATGATCCCAAATTGGTAATATGTAAAATGATATTTTTGATAATTCGTTTTTAAAATGTATTATTTTAGTAAATTAATTCTTTTTTTATTACTTCCAAATTAAGGATTTAAATCCGATCTCAGGGTTGATTACATTTCATGATATTTGGTTTGATATTTTGGATGGTTTATGCATATCTTATTTGTGTTAATAAAAAAGAGTTTTAACATATTTTATGGGTTTTTAGTATATGAATTATATACATATAAAGTTAAACGTAGAGATGGATGGCGGCTTGTATAGATTTGAGAAAGAAAAAGGATCGTGCACGTGTCCTTAGACGTGAATGTGTGTTGAAAGGTACAAGGCTGCAATATTGACTCATATTTTGCGTGGCCTTCAAGCGTAGGAAAAAGCTTCATTCTTGCTTCTAGAATTTAAAATTATTTCTGATAAATTCAGAGTTGTGCGCAGTTCCCCAACGTTGTTAGCCACTGATCCGTTGTCTCTCTGCTGTCTGTATTGTTTTTCCTCAATATCTGTCGTTTTACCTATCATTGCCGCAGATTATCACTCAAAATTCAATCTCAACTGTCAACACACCGGAAAGCATAGTTCTCTCTCTCTTTTGTGCCGACCACCATCCCCATGCTCAATTAAGTGATTTCTTCTAATTTTTTATATGTGTTCTCTTTTCTCTTTTAGTTTTCAAAACTCTCTTTTGAAATTTTATACATTGATTAGAATTATAGTTTTAAAAATAATTTGCCAAAATAATGAATTTTTAACACATACTGTTGACGTGGTGCTATGCTATAAGGTTACTTAGATTAGAGCAATATATGTCGTAAAACTCATAAATGAGGGAAGCGGAACCATACCCCACGTGCTTATCGATTATTCATCGTTGTTATTGACTTATTTCCAGTGTGTAGGTCCCATGATTATATTTAAATTTATTTTAAAAGATAATCACATTTTTTTTATATAAAATGATAATAAT